GGTACCTCCCTATATTCGGTACTTTGATGATTTTAGCGACATTATTCACCGGAATTTTTGGTATTTGAGACTTGTAATTGATGCTACAGCCTATGACAAAAAATTGTCTGTGCAGGTCCACGTCTTCGTATAGCTCCCATATAACGGTACCTCCCAAAATTCGGTATTTTTATGATTTTAGGGTCATTATTTAACGGAATTGTTTCAAATTACGTATTTAGAGTTCGTAATGGGAACTACAGTCTGTGACATAAAATTGTCTATGCAGGTACAGGTCTTCGAATAGGCCCCATATATCAGTACCTCCCTATATTCGGTAGGTACAATACCCACCGAAATTTTTTGAGATGTCGTATTTGACGTTCGTAATGGATACTATAGCTTGTGACAGAAAATTGTTTCGAATTTGAATATGGTAATGGCTTATGACAAACAAGGCCTATGTAGGTCCACGTCGTATAGACCCCAATATAACGGCTATATTCGGTATTTTTAAAATGTTAACAGATTTTTTTAAGGACTTTATTTTTTTAACATTTCCAAATTCGTTACAAATGGTGGAGGGTATTCAAAGGTCGGCCGGCCGAACTTATTGCTTTTTATCTTGTTAAATTTATTTTAAAGATATTGAAATTTGCTTGGCTATTTTGCTCTGACTCGTTGTTGTAGTAAATGAATGTGTAACAATGATGTATTTTTATTTGTTGGCATTAACCGTAAAAAAGGTTGTGTGTGATGAGAAAGCCATTAAAACTCCAAATCATGTAGCCGTGTCCTTGTGTTTTTATGCCTCTCACATATTTTATGGTTATTTGGCAATTTCATTGATTAAAATCTCAAGTAACGCACTTATTTCGGTATTGCAAAAATGGTTCCTGTTTCTTTCTGATCTTAGATAAAATCCTTAGAATGGAGAAAGCAAGTCATTCCTACATTGAGTACAACACTTCATGTTTCCTGAATTACTTATTACCTAACCAATTAATTTATCGTCCCATTCCCGAGTCATAGAAATGATCCAATTTTTTTGCAAAGTCACATACTAGCGTAGATATTGTTACTGCCACGACGTAATGGTCAAAAAATGCCGTTAATATTCCACAACTATGTTCACCTTCAAATATTCTCACACCTGTTCGCGACATAAAGAAAAAAACACAAGCGTAGAATGTCTACTTCTTAGTTCTGTAACATGCAAAACAAAAGCAATGAATGGTGGGTACAGTGGTCTGAAATTGTATTCAACGAAAAGAAAAATCTACAATTTGTTTAAAAAAAATATACTTCTTAGTTGGATATCGGTGCAATACATTTTTTGTGTAATATTTGGTAGATTTATAAATAATGGCAAAAATATAGCATAAACAGAAACCGAATAGACTCATTCCTTTTTAGTATTCATTCAATTGATTTTAATCCACTGTGTGGTCCCTGTTCCAATAACAAAATCATTTAAGTAATATTAAATATCCACAGGGGATTTATTCTAATTTTTACCAAAAATGTTATCTGGTTCAAAAACACTGTCCCGCCACCTATCATAATTCCCCTAAGTTTTTAGACGAACAAGGGTCTTAGATTTATTAACTGAACTGGCAAACAATTCACAGCGGAGTAAGTTTTTATTTCTGAAGATCATAAATAATACAATTTTTCCAAACGCAACTCATGGTGTTACGATGTCCCAGTGATGTATATTATCCATGGATGTACTTTCCAGGATATACAACAACATTTTAAAACACTTCCCACCAAATCGCCTCTGAAAAATTTCCAAAGCTGTACTCCTTTGCTGTAGACGTAGTTTTTATCATGCTTAATTGTTTACTAAATTTAGTGCTAAGCAACATCATAACAACTTGTAACATATCAAAATCTACACCCATATACACACACATACATCTAACCGTGAACTAAGTCAGCACATGCACAACCCGACCAATTCAATTGTATACAATGGGTATGGGTTAGGAATTCTACAGGCACTGCCATTACTAAGCCAACACTGTTATTATGTGTTCCACACCGAGTAGTAGTAATACGAACGACATGAATGTAGGAAGGCATTCATGTCGTCCGTCTGTCTGTCTGTCTGTCTTTCACTCATTCATTTCATTCATAGACAGATGAGAAAACATACGAGGATTGATTCGAAAGTAACTACGTATGAAGTGAGACAATCGTGCTTTTCATTTACTCTACTTTCAAACTTAGGGCCAGTATGGAGATGAGGAAAATCGGCCCACTCCTTCTGGTCAAAATTCAAAAAATGATCTCAAAGAAAGCAAAGGAATAACCAATTTTTTTCAAACTCTACTCGTCTTAATATAGCCAATAGCATTAGGTCAGGTGAGGTCAAGAGGGCAAAATCGATGTGTACATATACCTCTCAAAAAATGCAAAATAACTCACCGATGTTTCTCTTAACTTCTCACAACTTCTTCCACCCACATCAGATCGGAGATTAATATGGGACACTCTTTTTCTACCCGCCGCCATTCTATAGAGGATATATTAAATTTGTAATTCCGTTTGTGACTCTTCCAAATACTGCTGCCTAAAATTCTAAAGCTATTTTTCGAACCAATTGATATAGAAGGCTAAAATTTTACACACGTGTAGGCAGATTAGGTTCGTAAATGGACCATGTCGGCCCACGTTTTCATATAGCCCATGTAAAGATACCTATCGATAATCGATATTTTAATGATTTGAGCGACATTATTCACCCATTTTTTTAATTTTCGTATTTAAAGTTCGTAATGGGTACAGCCTATGACAAATAATTTCGTATGCGGGTCCCTGTCTTCGTATAGCCTCCATATAACGACACCTCCCCTTCTTCGGTATTTTGATTATATTAGGGACATTATTCACCAGAATTGTTTGAAATTGCGTATATGGAGATCTTAATGAATACCACAGCCTATATATAAAATTAAATGTGCAGGCCCACGCCTTCGTATAACCCACATATCACGGTACCTCTCAATATTCCTTATTTTAGGAATATTATTCGCCGGAATTGTTTCGAAATTAGTATTTGAAGTTCGTAATGGATACTACAACCAATGATAAAAAATAATCTATGCAGGTCCACGTCCTCGTATAGACCACATATAACCGAACCCGCCCCCTTTCCGCTTTTTTATGATATTAATGACATTACTCTCGGAATAAATTCGGAACTGTTTCAAACTTAGTATTTGAAGATCGTAATGGGTACTACAGCCTATGACAAAAAAAATATATATGCAGGCCCACGCCTTCGTATAGCCCCTATACTTCGGATTTCACTTGAGCGGTAGTTTTCGGAATTTTTAAAAAAAGTTCAAGTTACTTCCAATTTGTGAAGGGTATTTAAAGTTCGACCGGCCGAACTTTTGTTGGCATTTGAAATACAAAATTCATAGTAAATGTGGTTACAATCTCCGAATACCCAAAATCGGGATATATTTATTCGATATTTACTTCCGGAACTATTATTACGATCCTAAAATGGTAAATCACACACAATACCATTAAAAAAGTGACCAGACTTGAAATAAATCCCAAATTTTTGCAGGCACAGTTATATGAGGTCTTTACGAAATTGTTGATCCCCATTGACCATTTAATTCTAGATAATCTAAATAAAAAAATCCGTTAAAACTGTGAAATAAACCGCCTAAATGCTGAAAATCGGGAGGTATTGTTGTATAAAGAGGCTGTATCACAACATGGACCCATTATGACCACTTTTGCCAGCGATAAACTGAAAATCCCGCACTTCGTAAAGGTTTGTTGAAAAATGTGACGAGAATCTTCAATAGACCTGACTCCGAAAACATTAATTAATATATTTGAAATTGATCTAAGCTCAGATCAAAGACACATATGAACAATATTTTAGCTATCCATTTCAATTATATACTACTTAAAAGAGGTCTAATAAGGTTATATATGAATGACTAGAATTGTCAATCTTCCTACTATGACAAAATATAACGTCCACCATGGGATGACTTAAATTATAGATTAATAGTTTAATTCCGAATTTTGTATTTTCTGACAGTTTCTGTACATTAATTTTTTGCTAGCTGGCACCAATAACAACTCCGGAAAATTGATTTGAAATGTATATAATTGTCCTGTTCCTTGAACATTTTTGAGAGATTAACATGCAAGATAAAAATTGTTGGTTATTGAGTTGAAAATATGACTAAGGCCTTTAATATTTTAATAATTCAGAACTGGCATTACATGTTGACTTTTTAAAATCCTGGATCCACATTAAACATTTTTGGCAAAGTTTTGCGATCATCCTATTTAAATAAACCTTGATTGACCTCTGTAATAGAGTGATATCCTTATATACCCAGGCTGGTCAACCAATTCTGTTGTAAGTTATAACTTCATTTCACTCTTCGGGAAAAGAAACTTCTATTCTGTCTTATAGTACGTTTATATATATGAGGGTTAACCCACTGGATTTGGATTTAAATTGTCATATCCATTACTTTTACTTCAAATAAATCCTCTCAAAGAAGGTTAACCCTACAAAAAGTTCTAACGTAAACATGGCATTATGTTCGATTTATTCTCATAAGGAAAATTTCACCAAAACATCCCCCTGAACTTAATTTTCTTTGAAAACTTCAGCACCCTCCCTCGTGCCGAGCTTCGTGTACCTGTGTTTGTACATGAAATGGCAAAAGACATGCAAAAAATTCCTTCATAATGAATAGGAAGAATTGTAAGAAAACATTGAAGTGATTTTTATTGCCATTTCCCAACGTTCGGTAGTCGGTTGAGGGAATGCCACCACAAAGTGGAAACTAGAAATTCAGTTGTTCTTGAACTTTGTAAAAAGTTAGACGCCATTAGAGAGACCAGCCGTATTGGAGCAACAAACAAGGATATTCTACACATTTTGTTAGGCAGATTTCATATTTAAGTTGTTATTGTTTAATTTGGACAAGGAAAAAGAAAGAATATTAATTTACCGCCTTTAATTCCAGTTATAGTTTTGAGAGCGATCGTTTGTCTATTTCTGAGCCGAATTTGGCAGGTGAGTTGGTTGCTGAGCAAAATAAAATCGATTCCACAGACTGAACTAAGGATATAACTTCTTAATAGTTTCCAGAAAACCCAGTGATCGTTTCACCATTAAACACCTGCACGAATACGTTTGTGTGGATCAATTAAAGTTTTACCGACGCCGAAACCCTCCCGAGTTTTTAACCAAAAGCCAACTGTGCCTTTCCCACCCTTTCGTAGTGAGTGCCGAGGACGGGCTTCCATCCCAACGAACATTAAATACAGAATATAGAAGTCATTTCCTTAACTTGCCACTGGCCAAAAGAGCCCAATCCCTGAGACGAGCTACATCATTACGCCTAGAAGGTTTAATGCCCTTCAATAGATCGGAGCATCAGGATCGATATCTTTGGTTTACGCCTGAAGACTGGAGGAGGTAAGTCGCATAAATCAACGCCTTAGCATTTTAATATTATATTTTATGTTGTTGTTTTAATTCGTAGTTGCCGTTCATTTCCCATGCGAAAACCCGAAAGTCTTCGTCTGGTCGGATCCGTTGAAATGGAACCAGAATATCGTTCATCCTACATAACATATCCCATGGTGGATCGTGCCACAAAGATTTTACCCCGAGAAATGTTTCGCATACACTCACCTCCGAAGCCCAAGGCGACGGAAAGCAGTAGTCCAGCTGAAATTGAAATAATTCACAAGCTAAACGAGGACAAGCAACAAAGGGAGCGGGCTGCGGAACTGCAGCAGGAATGTCATTTACAGAGACGTGCAGTTACCGATGAGAAGGATCCCAAGGCTGCACCATCGGAATATAAACGCCAATTTGTCCCACCTTCAGCCAGCGAAAAGGCCCATTCTATACCACAATTGAGCCACATCCGAATGCAAGGTAATTTCCATGCCATACCCGAATATCAGGATAGTTTCAAAATGTATGCCAACTACAGCAAACCGGAAGCCATACGAAAGGCAGACAACTTGCGCATATCCGGTTCGGAAATCCAAATGACCAACGACAATGAAAACGTTTTACCAGAATATCGAGCGAAATTCCACCAACCGCCCAGGGATATTGAAAAGGAAAAGCCTCTCAAGACAGAGGATCACCTCAGACCGAACGGACAGTTTTCCAAAGATGTGCCAGAATATTACGAGAGCTTCCGTGATCCCCAGATCAAGCAGGTGCCCGAAAAGGGTAAATGTCGTGAGCCCTACCTACACTTGAAGGGAAAACTGGAATTCAATCCGGAGTACCGAAACACCTACGTCGACTTTCCCCGTTCAAGGCCAGTTGTGACAAAACCAACTTCCAGCTTTCGTTTACCCACCTCCAATGTCATAACCCCAACCAATGCCAGCATAAAACCGAAACGTTCCACCCCAAGTCCCTCCAGATTCGCTGAGGAAGACGATATCCTGAAACCCACACCAAGTATTATAGAACCGGATACAGAGTTTACCCAATCTCCGGAATATAGAAAAGCTGCTTACCAATACCAATTGAGGGAGAGATCTCCCACCCAGAAGGCCATACCACAAATGCCGCATATTAAGGACCCGAAGAAATTTATACGCTACGACCGCAAGTCTCCAATACCACATGCAAAGGCAGCCAGCACCAGCAATTATCGCCAGCGTAGAACTTCCATATTAGATTCCCAGTCGTCATCGCCTGGCATGGAGAACATTGGTCAAATAAGGCATAAACCGCCAAGATTTGGGCGACGTGCCGGCGATTCAGCGTTAAGAAATGCGGAAAATTGTCGCTCCAACACCTCAATAATTGAGGGCAATCCCAAATATGCATTGTCCCAACGCAAAGATGTTGCCTTCAATTCGGAAAATATTCACGATTCGTTTGTGGTATTAGATCAGAAACCTGGTAAACGTTCCCACTGGATATAATAGTAGAGTAGTATGTAAGGAAAAGAAACTTCATGAGATATAGTAGGACAAACAAACCAAAACTGCCACCTGATAATGCAATAAAATTATTCTCATGTGTAATGAGTCTCCTTTCCATGTTGTTGTTGTTGCTATTTTTTTCTAAGCTAGCAGTGCGGGCTAAAATTACTTTCAAAAAATTTGAACGTTTTGGTATAAAAATCAGGGTAACATGTAAGAGGTTTCCTTAAGGCTAGAGCAAATTCGTTGGGGACCAAGGATTTTAAACACAAATAAATTGGGAGAAGGAGAAGTGTGGTGTCATTATTTTTAATCCGCTAATTCATCTACGACGTGGTTATGTGTAAATTCAATCCAATAAGCTTGATAGTACTCTGATAAAGTCAAGGTTCGGTTCAGATTACCATACTTTGTTCAAGTTGGCCGGGAGAGCTCTTCGATTATTCGAGATCTGAATAAACACTCGTGTCGGGTAAATAGGAGGGAAATGCTGAAAGATTATTTGGAGAGGAATACCAAAAGGTTTCATGATGAGAGACCTTAAAATACCGAAGTGTTGTTCTACATCAAGGATTGTACTACGGAGGATTTCTAAACATTCGGTTTACAACTCATCGAGTCTCACATGTGTGTCTGTCGTTCCGTTCGTTTGTGAAAATTACTGTCACTTTTGCACGGATTGACCTTGGTGAAATTAAAATGGGATATATGTTTTATGAAAAAAATAAAATCGAATAAGACAGCCAATGTTGTTATGCAACCCCTAAAGATCAGATATCCCAATTGAAGATATCTTTACGGTTCCGCCATATCTTCTATTGATTTCGGTGTAAATTGGTGTTCTAAACTCCTGATGGAAATAGTCTTTTTCTCCAAAAAAAAAAAAAAAAAAACAGAAAACATAGGGCCAGTCGTACTTTTAGCTCGGATCATTTTCCAAAAGCTCTTTGAGAGGCGACCCCCAAGGAATCGGCGGCAATTTATAATTCCAATCTCTCTATGGCTGCAAAAAATGATCACACGGTTGTCACAGTATATACCCCATCATCACCAATGGGTAAGTAAAAATGTCCAATTATTATATCTTTTTATACCCTCCACCATAGTATGTAGGGTATATTAAGTTTGTCATTCCGAAATATACATTTTAGACCCCACAAAGTATCAGCATTAAATTTTATTAAAAATTTTATTAAAAATAAGCCATGTAGGTCCACGTTTTGGTATAGCCCCCATATAAAGGTACCTCCCTATTTTCGGTATTTTGATGATTTTAGCGATATTATTCACCGGAATTGTTTTTAATTTGGTATTTGAGGTTCGTAATAGATACTACAGCCTATGGACAGGAGATTGTCTGTGCAGGTCCACGTCTTCGTATAGCTCCGATATAACAGTACATCCCTATTTTCGGTATTTTGATGACTTTAGCGACATTTTTCACCGGAATTGTTTCTAATTTGGTATTTGAGGTTAGTAATGGATACTGCAGCCTAAGGCAGAAAATTGTCTGTGCAGGTCCACATTTTGGTATAGCCCCCATATAATGGTACCTCCCCATATTCGGTATTTTGATGATTTTAGCTACATTATTAACCGATTGTTTTTAGAAGTTTGGCTTTTGCATATTGTAATGGCAATGCAATGACAATTGTTGCCTATGCATATCCACGTCGTCGTTTAGACCCCAATTTGCCAAATTCGTTCCAAATGGTGGGGGGTATTCAAAGTTCGGCCGGCCGAACTTACAGCTTTTTTACTTGTTTATATGTCATTCATTTAAAAATATGGTGATGGAAACTGAATGTTGGCCAACGCAAATAGCAACTTGTCCTATATGTAGATAAGTTAAAAGTAATATTTTTTTTTTCAAATTTCCGACTTCCGTGGTGCGCCCAAGTGGAACATTCTAGTTAATTTTGGAAGGTCATTAAATGTATAAACTGTCCAATTTTCTGGCCCATTCTAATCCAGGTTTTTGGTTATCAATCATATAGAAATCTTACTACTACATCAAATACAGGTAGGCCTCTTTTAATACGCTATTTGAGATTTAAAATATATAAGAAATTTAATAGTATTTTTAATTCAACTCAAAATCCTCTAAAGGTTCAATATTTCTAATTGGTTCTAAATATGTAACCCGCTTGGGGCCATAAAAATTAACAAAATAAACATTTTTGTTCGGAATTATTTAACATTTTGGCCAGCCCATGTCCACCTGTATGTGTTATCTTCAAAGCGAAACAAAACTTGTGTACATAAATTGAATGATAACACTTACGAAATTCCTCCAAGACTTACAATTCAATTGAAAAGTTTATTGACTCTCTGATGTGGAGAAAACATAAAAAATTGGTTGGCAAAAAATGCGGGCCACAGATAACACACATCGGGCCTAAAATGATGCGTTCTACGATATGAAAACCCAAACAAACCATTCAACAATTTTTATCGGCGTAAACAAAAGACCAAACGTCCAATGCTATCTTATCGCTTGTTAAAGCTTTCGATGAGAGTATGCGAGCGCCAACTACCAATTTTCTGCTCTAGGCACTTGACTCATCCCGCTAATGTGTTTAGTTATTTCGAAATTTTTGCAACGTTAACATGACCCAGTATTTGGAGTCACTTCGAAACGCATGACGTCCTCATTTCAAAATAAATCCAAACGAAAACCAGGATGGATCCACACCAAACATGTAAACCTCCGCACCATATATTAGGCTACACAATACGATCGCGAACGCGAATTTATGTGTCATACGTTATACCAAATATTCTCGAATTGTTGGTCTATATGGCCCAAATTACGGGTGACTGTGCCGTAAGTTACCAGCATTTTAAATCGCACCAACCCGACTTTGGATGGGCTACGGCTTGCCTGATATGGGTGCCGCCGGTATTCTGTTTCCTCATAGTGATGTGTTCCAAAGCACAGTGGGAGAAGCCCATACGAAATGGCACACGTTTCAAATTCGTATGCAAACAATTAGTGCAGATGATCTTTTTCCCATTCTTTGTTATTTATCGGTAAGTTTCGCAGAAAACCCCAGAGGGAGAGAAAATTTTGAGGGAGCAAAAGAGAGAAAAGACATAACCAAAATCCAAAAAAAAAACATTTACTTCCGCTGATATGCCAAGAGATAAGAAACGTCTTATTAGAGCTTATATTCTACAAGATGTCTCATTATCGAATGTGCAGCCAACACACACGTACATATGTACGTAAATGGACAAACAATGGGATGGGACTTCCCCAAGCAAGGTGCTATACCGGCTGTTCAACTTGAAAAATAACAAGTGGAAACAGTGTTTTCCAACCTCTGTATTGGCCCAAAATTATGGAATTGAAGATTTTTGCAGAATAAGATTCCGCGTATTACGAACAATAAATGACAACGCAAAGTTCATTGGGAGGAAAACATTGAAAATATACAAAATAAAGAACTATTGGAGGAGCATCGTGGGGTTACACCTAAACGCGGACCGGTATAGCTAATTTCCAATACAAATCATCCTTACCGTAATTTTAAACTTTTTGTCAGTTTCTAAGACGTATATGAACCATTTCGGTGTCTATCGAACGAGCAAGTTTTCGAGGTGTTGCGAAATAAATGACAAATTTTGAATATAACCCCATTCATTCTGTTGGGGATAAAAAAGGAAAATCCAGTTGGTCAAATTCGAAATATGCGTTGGGTTCATAATGTCTAAAATGTTTTTTCTCTAAAGGCTTCCTCAAGCAAACAAAAGTTACTTGCAGTCTAATAGGCTTGACATAATTATCTCTCTCTCTCTCTCTCTCTTCGCTTCCCCCAAAGATTCTCCAAGAGCGTATTTTGGTCCATTGAGGCTTTGTTCCATGACGACGACGATAAAGAACGTATGCTGTGTCTCGAACGAGCAGAAGAGTGTTCCACATTTGAACTGTATCGTCTGATACAGGCCTATGGACAATCTGCACCCCAGATCATCCTGCAATTATATCATATGCTGACACAAGATTTATTCCGGAATTTTCAAACGAGTATGAATCAGCAAAAAACTTTGACCATATCTTCTTTTCACACAACCCTCATTCTATTTCAGCGAATGCCCAGGCAATTAGTTTGGTATTTTCCGCCATTGATTTGGCGTCAATAACCACAACCTATCAACGTTTTGAAAGTCAAAAACAAGTGGGACGTCACTATCCATGGTCAACGCCACAGCAAAAACAAAAGAAACAACAACTACTAGAGACAGATCGCTGTCTCAAGGAGGAATGTCTGCGCAAGAAAAGGCAATCGGAACGTTCTCTAACTAAATTTCCAGAATCAGATAAAATAATGGAAAATTTCAAATCCCGTTTATCGAATCAACCAAGCCAGGACAATGCCATCGAACCTCACAGTTCTGTGGGCAATTTGAGTACAGAAAGTGTAGAGAATGTCTCCGAACCCATTACCCATTCTGTTCAGGTACATGGCTACGATGAAACTGACAACGAAACTGGTGTTGATAATAGCAACGATGAAACTGCCCTACTACAACGTCCTCCGGAGGATTTTAACAAAACAGATGATGACAAACTCCAATCCAGCCCAAGTTTCCATTTGAAACCCATTAAATACCGGTCATCGATTACACCAACAATTCTTGAAGAATGTAACGAAGTACCAAATAGTCCAGCCCCCTTACCTCCAATGCAAACTACAGATTTTCATCGTGATACAGTGGATGCCCCCCAATTGCGGAGCCAAACCTCTAACCAGAGCAGTAATGATGCGGCCTACAAACGGCGAACTCGTCCCTTTTCTCAATTGGAGACATTTAAGGACATGTTGCTGGTGAATGCCCAGCTCTACATTAAGGAGAATGTACCCAGACCACCAAAAATGCTAACGAAGCGTGTCGATGCAGCACCGAAACCAGGCAGTACGCCTCCCCAAACGCCCCGAACACCCAAAGATGTTGTGGACTTTTTCCTGCCACGCCCCACGAAGGTGGTCAATGGCATAGAGCAGGATGATTTTGCTGGCAAGACAATAGCATTTTTTGGTTGGATAGCCTTCATCGTCATGCGTATGCTGTCGCTTTCCACGTTCTGTGTTTTCTTTCCCAAGGCGTTTCTCATCATAATGGGAGTACACTATTTGCTAATGTTGGCAGCCCTGTACTTGGAGTCACGCTTCAAGGGAAGGCTTAATCGCACCCTGTTTTACTTTCTGCTGGCCTATGTCTACCTATTTGTGCTTTTGGAGTTTCGCATTAAATTTAAACATATTCGCGCCTGGTTTGTGGGTTTCTTCCTTCTAACCATGGCGGAAAATCTAACCATGACAATGATTTGGTATGCCCGAGAAGAATTCGAGTCATGGTGGTTTGGTTTCATCTTCGAGGGCATTATCTACAGTGGCATACTCTTTGTGGCAACAATTTTGGTCTATTACTGTATATTGAAACCGAAAGACGTCCTAATACTGGTCGAAGAAGACCAACAGCACTCAACGAATAACGAACAAAATACGAATAGAAATATTTAAAATAGGGTTAAGGTCTTTTAGAAATAAATATTTTATTTTGGATTAAGAGATGATGAGTTGGGAAGATGGGTTTAATTTTTGTGAGAAGAGTAGGGGTGGTGTATATAGATGAATGAGGAATTTCTGCCGCAGTCACTTGAATTTGTTTTAAGTCACAACTGAAGGCATTCTTTACTTCTCCCTTCCAAACTACAATCTCCATGGATTTCTGGAATGCTAAAGGCATGGCAACAATACAATTAGTTTCCAATTTGAACATTGGCAACCGTTTATTTGTTTCAAAACATTCGTAAAGAAAACTTCCCAGTTGCATTCGTTCTTCACCGCCAAATATGTGTGACCACAATGGGCAAATTACCAGTGAAACAAAGGATAATTTCAAGCAGCCAAAATTGAAAAGACCGCCAGGTGAGTTGGCTGATTTTGAGCTTTTACAAATTCTAGTCTATGTCTTTTTATTTTTTTCAGTTACACGGACCCAACGTTTTGAACAATTCCTTTGGCAAGAAATCTACGATGAATACATCCGCCACAACGAACGACTTACCAATGTGGGTGATGACAATGCCACCACAGAATATTTTGATGAATTCTGCAAGGACATGCCAACCGAGGATGTTGCTGCCAAAGAAGCTGTAATAAATCGCTATCCATTGTATTGTACAACAGCAATTACGCTGTGGAACACCAATGGAGATATAACAAAAGATTTCAAAAAACGATATTCGATAACTAGGCCCGTTGAAGAGAATTCAGAACAATTTGGCTGATTGAAATATAAAAACTTACGTATCTTGCAAGCATTTCTCATATTATTTATGGCTATAATGGTATAATAAAATTTGGGGAAGGGTGGTGGAATAGAAGTGGAAAAAAACTTGAAATAATGAACCCGATGATATAAACAAAAGAATATTCAAATTAAAAGTTTGATTCTCTTCTTGTGGCTCTGTTCTCCAGTAGATTTCATTTACTTAAGCCATTTAGAACGTTTTCCAGAGATACGTATTTTAACCTTGATTTCGGGAAAGTATTTTTCATGGAGGTCGATCCGGGTATATGATAGATCTTCTTAATGTAGGGATATTTTAAAAACTTTCGTATGTAATAGTCTTTTTTAGAAGGTGATTTTAGCGACATTATTCACCGGAAATGTTTTAAAATTTGGTATTTAAAGTTCGTAATAGATACTACAGCCTATGACAGAAAATTGTCTGTGCAGATCCACGCCTTCGTATAGCTCCCATATAACGGCACCTCCCGATATTCCGTGTTTTGATGATTTTAGCGATATTATTCACCGGGTATGACTCAAATTTGGTATTTGAAGTTCGTAAATACCTTTTTCGGGTCCAGAGATATGGGTCTTTCCAAAAAAAATTTCGAAAATACCGAAGAGTTTTTACTAAACTAGAGTTGTTCCTTACATTTATTTAAATTTCGATATCAAATACGAGCATTTTTGCCGCCTATATATTACGTCATGCCCTTGTTTGTATTTGTAACGAGTTATTTTCCTACCCTAGCAAAATGTTAAAAAATTAGTTCTAGCTTAAATTTATTTAAGTTCTTTCTATATATATTATTATATATTTCAAGCACTTACTTCTCTATAATCGGCTCTCCATTTACGACCAAGATCCTGTTCAAAGATTTACACCTGTTTTTATATTTTTTAACAGCCACTTTTATCGTTCCAACTTGTTTTTGCACTTTTTGTATTGAGACGAGCCAGGAACAGATATGCACTCATCTTGTTACACTTGCACATTTTTGTACACAACACGACGCGAAATAATTTAGTGTTTTATGTTTACAAACGAATTAACGAAGCGTATCCCGAATGTCCTAACGATGCACTAGAAAATCGTATATCGTATATAATATCGGTATCGCAATTATTGGTCAAAAAGCAACACATAAACACTGCAGTTCTTTGTAGAGTTGTTTTTTTTTTTTTTTTTTTTTGCAAGCTAGAGAGCAAACCAGAGTTAAGCCGATTCTTTTTGCAATATAAACTTATATGCACTCATTTTCACGTACACACACTTACATATTCTCGTACACCTACGATAGTACAAAAGACAACAACACGACGCGAAATTATTTACTGTTTTATATTTACAAACGAACTTACGAACCGTATACCGAATGTCCTAACGATGCACTAAAAAATCAATTAATACCGGTTATTTACTTTAACTCTGTTCAAACATCACTTTTTCAATGCTCGTACGATACATTAGCAACGTTGAAAAAACGAACTACACAAAAGCCACAAATGAAGCATGATCGGCAAAATCATAATCGAACAGCAACACATACACACTGCAGTTCTTTGGGGAGTATTTTTCTTTGCAAGCAATTATTGCTTTAAACGACAACATTGCAACTGTAATTTACTTCTTATTGTGCATCTAATTTGTCTAATATTCACGACACACCGCTATTAGCAGCGAAACCCCGCCATTGAATTGCTATCCATTAATTTCACTTTACACCTTCTGATCAAACGAGATTCTTTTTGCAAACTAAACTGATATGGACTCATCTCGTCACACTTACGCATTCTCGTACACACACGATTATACACAACACGACGCGATATAATTTAATGTTTTATGTTTACAAACGAACCGTATCCCGAATGTCCCAACGATGCACTAAAAAATCGTAAATCAACCTATACCGGTTATTATTTCACTTTGACTATCTCCAAACAGCTCACTTTCAACTCCCATACGAATTTTTTGCATTATTGAAAAGACGCACATGGAAGCAACAAATAAAGCTCTAAGCAAAATGAGCGGTAAAATCATTGCCAAACAACAACACATATGCACTGAATTATAGTTGTAGTGGTAAACACTTTGCCAGTTGCATTTCTTTGTGGAGAATTTTTCTTTAAGCAATTATTGCTTTAAAAACCAACATTTCAACTTTATTTTACTTCTTAGAGTGTTTCTAAATTGTTAATTTTCACGACACACAACTATTAGCAACGAAAACCACGCAATTGATTTGTAATTAATTAATTTTACTTTTCACAAACGATTTTCCATCCGATCACCCGAGATTCTTTTTGCAAACTAAACCGTTAATCGTGTGCGGCATTGCCATTGTGAAATAATATGGTCTTCTGAATGGCAATGTATAATGTCAGGTTCACACTTAACGTGTTTGACTCTCTATTCGTTATTCAAAGTTTAAATTGCCACATAACAATATATTCATGATTTTATTTGCTAAGAATTTAAATTATGACATTTCAAAATGCAAAATAGAAAAATTAATGAAATTAAAAAAAGGCAGGATTAAAAGTACAGTATTGAACGCTATATATACATTCATCCAAGCTTGTACATACAAATCTAGGAACAAAAAACATATTTTATGTATGAATGATACAATAAAAAAGCAAGGTAGAGCTACCACCTGATTACAATTTGTTTCTGAGTGCGCCTGACTTCTGCCAATTTTGTGTTAAAATTTGTTATTATGATAAATAAAAACAAAATATTTTCAAAACTCTCTGCTGGATACTTTTCAACATTTGTTTTTGTTTATTTTTCATTTTTTAACAAAATTGTTATATTGGGAAAACCAGCTAAACAAGAATGGGATTTTGGGGTTATTCCCCAAGAGTGAATCTAAAATAGTAATACAATACAGTTTTATCCCAATATTGTACAATGTGCCCATTAACATCGAAAGTATGCATTTATTTTGCAAGCGAATTTAAAATAATTTCAAATTATTGTATTTTTTTATTCAAAACAATATAAATAAGGGCAACCAAAAGCAAAAAATTTTATTTAGTGGGTAGCTTTGTTCTACCTTCTGTAGTTGTACCATGGTATTATAGCGCATTATATATAGCCGTGGAATTGAAAGATTGGACAGTTTATATCATACTTGTGAAAGAAATTCCAAGCAGTTTATTTCGCGCTATTTAAATTGTTCTGAAAACGAGGAATAATATTTTATAAATAAAAATTTCCTGTTGGATATAATTTTGAGTGATTCTGACAAGAAGAGGACGTAGCCTAAAGGCCTGTATTTCTGTAATTTTACGAAGCTGTTCTAACTCCTTATTGTACCATGAATGTCTATGTGAATTAAAATTTATTATGATATTCCTCTCTGCTAAATTCCTTTTCAGATCAAATTTTAATGAGAACATAGTTTTGAAATAGACGAAATGTCAAAACTTGCTTACTATCCTCTAGTTTTCCAATTTTTTCGATGTCATACAGAGAAAATCGGTTATAGTATAAAATATTACATCTTGCAGTTCTGAAACAGACTACTGTTTATATTTCTTACAATGATTTCATCCACAAAAGGTGTTCTTACGTCTAAAATACTGATCAGCTTTGAAAACTGATGTGCTTAGTTCATGTTATTAAGATAGTGACGAAAAAAACCTAAAAGTACTGTATGAATCAACTATTTTTTTCACCTTTTTACCCAAAATCTATCAAAATGTGCTGTGTGTTTTTTTCGTTGTTATCGTTATCGATATATAATAACAACCACAAGGAAAAGGCTTTATCTTATAATATAAAGAATATCCAATTGTGTGAGAGTCATGACATACACACAACACAACAATTTTTCGACAATTACCGAAATTAAAAAAATTCGAATTTATGGCCCCAACAACGGATATTGTCCGTATCTCATACCGTGAGAACCTAGCATAAGTCAATCAAGAACATGGGAACTTTATTACTTTTTTCTCTTAGTGGCAACTCTGCATCTCTAACATTGACGTGTCTTGTGTAGATATCAACGATTTACTGAAAATCAAGTAAATTTTACTGGAATTGTGTGAAAAATTGAGTTTTTCATCCATTTTTCATAATTCGGTCGCAATATTAGACCGTACTACACAATTCCGAACAAAAATAGCGACTGAAAATGATTAGTAAATGTAAGTATTCTTCCCAAATCGACTTCACCTCTTCACAATGTGAAGCCGGCTGCAAAACGTTGTGATGCCGGCTGATTAAAGCAGGAGCCTCTCGACGCTTAACACAAGTCACACCTTATGATTTATAAATATTATTTTTTTTCTTGCCGTAATTAAAGCATTGTTATTTTTGGCTGTGGCCTTCGTATTATGCGTCATACCCACGTCCTGGGCGGCACGTACGGTTGACAGTCATTTATCATCGTCGGACCTACAACGTTTCCAAAATGTATTCTCGGCAGCGTTCTCGTCGAATGATTTGCAATCTATTTACTATGCCACACTCAATATTGAGCCCACCAAATCCGAGGAAAAGAAAGAGCTATGTCAAAAACTCAACAAATTCTACCAAGAATCAAAATTGAATGTAAGTCCAATGTGGTATTTGGATAGATTAGATAATGTAAATAATAATTTATATATTTTACAGGAATTTGAGAAAGATTTCTATTTGGTTGGAATTACAAAAAATCTAAAGTGCACAGAAAAATTGCCGGAACAACAGCTTTCAAAAATCTATGCCGCTTTCAAGAGTCCCGTCAGTTCGGCTCAAGAAGTATTTTACCGCGTAGCCACACACAAGTATTTGGGTGTGGAAATCGATGAAACAACCAAGGCAAAAATTGTTAAGAACTTGCAAGATATTTTGAAAAAAGATGATACTCTAACAAATTTGGGTTATGCCTTTAACGTTGCTACCGAACTGGGTCCCTCTGCATCCTTTATTGCTGACCGCATTGAAGACGCCATTGTGCAAGCTGATGAAGTTGATGGCAAGCTGTTACAATTCGAAGGTGGGCTATCTATTACCTCGTTGATAATTAATGGTGCATTCAAGGCATCTAAAACTTTTGGAAAATCCCTGCCTATCGATGCTACTCAGGCCGTCAAATTCGCCAACTACTTCCTATCCCGTCGTTCAGTTCAAACTGCCAAGGGTGCCCATGTTCTAATCGAAGCATTGAAGACGCTCTCTTCAGCATCCAGCAAAGTATCTCCAATCTGTATTCAATTGATAGGAAATGGCCAACTCGTTGCCGAGTCACCCGTACTCACTGTTGCTGTGGTTGATCTCTTGGGCAAGCCTTTGAGTCCAGCTCCTCAAAACGTTGTTGGCAAAGTTTTTGCGAAGAAAGACAATTCAGTTTTAGCCGACAAAATCGCATTTACTTCTAAATCTTCTGACAAGACCACATATGTTGCAAACCTTGCAACTTACAAGCCTAGTCGTGCTTTGTATGTAGCCGAAATTTCTGCCGACTCAACCTACACCCAAAAGTTCAACTTTAAAGTTCTTGGAAAAGTTAAGGTTCAACAATTGGAAATTGGTGTAGGTGAATTAGATGCAAGTTCGGCCATTAAAAAACAACCAGTCTCTTATCCACAAAAGTTGAAGGAACAATTGTCAGGCGATCATACCCAGAAAGTTCTATTGAAAACCACTTTGGTTGAAGAAAGTCAAGCTACCAAGGTTTGTTTTGCACTGTTTTATATTTTCTTCTCCGACTCTAAATGCTTTTTTTGTTATTTTTTAGCCCATAACTGTTCATCAGGCTTTTGTCCGCTTCTATAATGAAAAAGAAGATAAGGAAATAATTTACATCGCCGAGCAGGATAGCTCTAAAGCTTACAAATTCGACATGGACATTGGTGCAAGGGCTGGAGATTTCAATTATGTCTCAGGAGTCTATCAAATTTATTTGATTGTGGGTGACGCATCAATTTCAAATTCATTCCAATGGTTGGTTGCAGATATTGAGCTGAAATTCCCTGCCGCATCAAAAACAGGTATGTTATTTGCAGAATAGAATTTGAAACATGATATTAATACGTTATTTGTCTTTAGAAGAAAGGAAACAAGTTGTACGCGCACCCTTGCCCGAAATCGAACATCAATTCCGTGTGCCTGACAAGCGTCCGTCTCGCATTGTATCCGATGTCTTCACCGGTCTATGTTTAACTCCACTGGTGTTGCTTTTGGTATTCTGGTCTAAATTGGGCATAAATATTGGCAATTTTAATTGGCAGCCCAGCGCCATTGGTTTCCATCTAGGCTTTGGTGGAATTTTGGTTTTGTTTGCCGTATTTTGGTTCAAATTGAATATGTTCCAAACATTGCGTTGCCTTATTCCCATTGCAATATTCACATTCCTGTGCGGTAACCGTCTATTACGTCGTCTGTACGCCCAACGTATGGCCAAAATTCCAGCATCATCATCGTCGGTCTCAGCGTCATCGTAAAACGAGGCACATTACATTCTAAACTTAACTCGTGACTAAAAAATTAGAGAAGCAGAAGAAGAATATATAAGATTTTAAATGTTACATATTTGTGGTACACTACTCCTTGCCCTCGACCAAGCCGTTGTATAGTTGTATGGTCAATGATATTAGCATGGACAAATGATATTATCATGAGTCTATGATATTAGAAGGGCGTTTTGAAATCGAAAAGCACATTTATTTATATCCTTTCTATATATTGTAAGCAATTTTATGTGTTCTAATTTAATGCAGAAATGTGTTTTGCACAAGATGTACATTTCGGCGTTCTTCTTTTTTTCCATTTAGGGAGTACTGAAGTAAACAATAAAATAAAACATTTTTAAAATTTAAATAGTGCTACTTGTTTAAAATCTGGGGCAATGAAAATCTTCGTCAGATGTGGTAAGAGGTCAAATTGCAGATAGATTTCTAGATATTTCGTACCAACATAGCAATTTAGGAGGAGTCATAGCCCAACTCTACGTTTGTCCCTGCAAATTGTCCCAAATTCAATGGACTTCATTCCTGAATGCAACAACGACTTTAAATACGAACCATATCTTGTTTCAACCATATGTGCAGATTACCCTGTACACAATGTAGTGTTAAGAGAATACAAAATCAAGACATGGAAGATATTCTGGAAAGACATGATTTCTCTATTGTCGTCATGAGTAGTATTCAATGTAGTCGGGGCTGATAGTTGAAATCTAGTCTTGAGTAGGACATTTTTAATTACTAAATAGGTTATACCATGGTTGAAAAATACAGGTAGATGCGGTTGGGAATATGGATATGACAAAATTGTTTAAATGTCTTTTCAAATATAAGTAGATTTTTAAATGTTTTCTTATACGACGTCATTCGGAGGTTATTATAATACGTGTTTTCAATAAGTTTTACAAATTTAAATAATTTTTCATTCAATATTTTCAATTCCAAAATAAGATTGACAGTTCAATGTCCCAGCAGCTATGTCGATGCTTCTACCTATATTCTTCTACCATTGGTTATACGTTGACCGCATAAGGCCACAGCAGATTGTACGCCCTAAACATTATCGATAAAACAACCACAAGCCAACGGATTTATCGTTAGTTTTATCGGCCATATTTAACGCGTCAAATAGTTCAACGCACGCATCTGTTTGGTGTGATAAGTATTAACTGTTGTTTTATGAATAACATTTATTGCATACAACGCTTTTCAGAGGTTGTATAATATGTGGTTTTCAAAAATTGCAACGAAATCGAGTACTTTGGATTATATTTTTGACAGATCGTTTTACCACCAGCTGTATTAATAAGGCTACCTGTATTATTGTATCGTGACAACAAAAACAAACCGCTTAAGTGAGAGTACAAGAGTAGCAACTGTGATAAGAGAGAGAGGATGTATTTGTTTTTGTTAAAAAATAATGGACCAGAAACAGTTCCGATTTTTAATTTTGCATTGTTTTTTAATGGGGAAATGTGCTGTTCAGGCCAGACAATGGATTGAAAAGTGCTACAAGGAGTCCGCTCCATCAATGAAGTTGATAGAAAGTTGGTATGCGGACTTCAAGGGTGGCGGTAGAAACAGCGATGATGGAACACGCAAAGGTACTGGTGACGGAGTGCATGTGGACACTGATGATAAAAGTCTTGTTGATATCGATGATGTTGATGACGAAAGTTGCAAAAGCACTCATAACGATTCAGAGCACAGAGAACTTCCAGATGAAACGACGGTAAAACCCGACAAATTGGATCAAAAACAATTTCGAGTTCTCATTTTACATTGTTTTCTAATGGGTAAAAATGCCGCCAAGGCGAAGCAATGGCTGGAGAAGTGTTATGAAGGTACCACACCATCCAACACAACGATAAAACGTTGGTATTTTGACTTCAAACGGGGACGCAGAGACACTGACGATGCAGTACGTAGCGGTCGGCCTAATGGGGCGGTAACACAGGAGAACATTGAAAAGATTGACCAAATCGTGTCCAATCATCCGAAAGCCAAGTTGAAAGAACTGTCTGAAATGATAAAAATATCCAAAGAACGCATTGGCTTCATTCTGCAAGAGCATTTGTCAATGAAAAAGTTGTATTCCAAATGGGTGCCGCGGATGCTAACAGTTGACCAAAAAGAGCAACGTGTTTACGACTGTCGACAGTGCTTGGAAATGTTAAATCGTAACCCAAACGATTTTTTCAGACGATATGTGACAATGGATGAAACATGGATCCACCGCTTCGTCCTGAATTCATCAGAGAGTACAGAAAATGGTGAGCCTTGTCTGAAGCGACGGAAATCACATGTTTCAGCTGGAAAACTCAAGGTCTCACTCTTTTGGGATGTGGAGGGTGTAATATTTATTGATCACAGTGAGGAGGAAAATACCAGCGCATATTATATAGGTTTATTAGAGCGTTTTAGGGACGAACTTGCAATAAAAAGGTCTTATAGGGCGGATGAGAAAATCTTGTTCCATCAAGACAACGCGCCATGTCACAAATCCCCAAAAATAATGGCCAAACTCGACGAATTGAAATTTGAATTAATTCCACATCAACCGTATTCTCCCGACTTGGCGCCAAGTGACTACTGGCTGTTTGCAGATCTCAGAAAAATTCTTGCTGGCAAAAAATTTCGCACAAACGACGAGATTATTAGGGAAATTGAGGCATACTTTGATGAGAAAGACACGTCGTTTTTCAAAAACGGTATCGAAATGCTGGAGCGGAGATGGAGTACATGTATTGCGCTTGAAGGAGAGTATTTAGATGAATAAAAAACATTTAAAGAAAAACTATGTACTTTCGCGTTTCATTCAATTATGAAGAGTAAATTTACCAGGTCATCTTAGAGTAAATAGCTACAAAATATATACGTTTTATTCACAAAACCATTGAGGTTCGATGGTGTATAAATTAGAAAACTAAAACTAAACAAGTTAAAATTTGATAAGGCCTCTTGTTAAAATATAGTAGTAATATGTTTTTGTATGTAAATATATAAAAGATTCCATTTTAAACCACTTCCGCCAGGAAGCCCTCTGTGTCCTCGGTTACTATTGCATCGATATTATAGAAAATAGCATGCAAAGATATAACAAAACATGAAGCACCTGCAATGAAAAAATTGTTTATGAACAAGAGACAATGATGAATTTAGCAAATCAAAATCTAACCCAGAGTCCAGAAAAGTGCGGAGCCTGCTCCAACCAAGAACAATACAGGAACTGAGGCAATATTGAGGGCCATTATTTGATGGGCGGGTGACAACTGATGTCCAAAGACACTTACAGGGGCTTGGGCTTTCCTGATCTTATTACTGGCATAGGCCACACCAGCCAACACTATTAAGATCAAGGGGGAAGTGATGCTGCAAAGGCAAAACCGAGAATTATTTACTACCAACATTGCGACCCAATGAAACTTACAGACAGTAAATCATCAAAACAATGAAGACAAAGATGTAATTGCTTTTGAAATAATCCAAATTTCTGACGAAGCGACTTGTCAAGCGCGGCATACTAGCTGCGGCCTTAAAATTGCCAGTATTCAAAAACTCAGACCAAGGACGAATGTATTTGCGCGTCAATTGCACCAGCTCCATCGGTGAAGGTATTTTCTGAAATTGTGTAAAGGTGCTAAAGTCGAATTGAGACTTTGGCTCCGTTTTGGGGACGTTCATGTCGCCTGACATATCCACCTTCACATCATCCATTGTGTTAGTGCTTTTTTGGATGCTGGTTAGAACGTCTTGTTGTTTTGTTGTTGTATAAGTTCGATACTCTTGATTCTTGTGATGTCAGCAACTAAAGACACGTAGTCTCTTTACAGCGTATTTGTTTATAGTACGATTCGTTCGTTGATTTTATCGTTCTCTTTCTTCTCGAAGCAATTGGTATTTATTGTTATTGCTGTTTTATCGAATTTTTTTTTTGGGAACAATGAGTAATGTTTCCCGCAAATGTACTCAGTGAGCTCCCAGTGAGAAATTCTTTTTTTTTGATGGGGCAAGTGATTTCATTTTTAACAGCTCTACCTAAAATAAAACGTACTCGCTCGGCGCTTTTCACAACACAAGTTAAACACTTAAGTAGAATAATTTCAACATTGACCATACCCATATACGCCAGGACCATATCATAAAATCTACCAACTAATACTGTTGTGAAATGTCAATCATTTTTAAATTTCAACCAATTGTTATATTTTTATTTGAAATTTCGTTTCGTACGCTCGATTTATTTCGATAACGTCAGCCGAGTGCGTCGCATTTTAGGTAATTAGTTGCTGTACGTGTCGTAAATATTTGCACTGACCGAAACCGAAAAGCAATGACAAGACTGTGAAACATGACAGATTAGTTTTAAATTGAGTTTTGAACGTGAACGGACAAGTGCAGCAAGAGGGAAAGCAGTAAAAAATTTACCAAAAATTTAAAGTAAAAACTTTCAACAATTTTAATGAAGTTTTATTAATTGTTTTGTAATTTTTTTACAAAATGTGTCGTTTCGCAAAATAAAAGTGTAAAGAATAAACTTTGAGCGGGTAAGTCAATTTCTTAATTTTCTTTTCCCAAGCAAATGCATTGATAGTTACAAAAAAAGGTGCAAAAGCATTCAACTATTTAGAGGAGGGGTGGGGGAGAGTTGAATTTCATAAGTAGCAGTTTTTTTTTGCAAATAACGTGGATATGCGTGGATAAAAATTAACATTAAAGAATGGTTCTAAGGTCCATAGAAAAGCCATTTATCATTATATATGTATCTCCAGCATCTTAACTCGAGGATATTTTTGCCAGTATTTTTTCTTAGGGGACCGATTTCCGGGCACGGATATATGACTCCGAACGCCGGCTTTAAGACCCGGGTTAGAACCGGATCTGCAGGTTCTGGAACAGAGCATATATATTTCCTATCGCATTCATTTATAAAAATTCTAGTCAAGGCATATTGAATACGCAATACTATCGGCAAATTTTACAAAAAACTTTTGAATTCTAAATATCAGAAAATTTGTGAAAAGAGAAGAAAATGGGAAATTTTGCTGGCAAGTTATAAGAGCAAATTACGCCTTTTGGGCGCAATCTTCATTAGAAGGTATCAATACAGATATTTCTAAAGTAGTAAATACCTATCTTTTAAGTCTGTTTTTCGTTCTGTTCTTTATTTTTGTTTTTGAAAACGTTATTTGATATTTCATGTTCAGAGACAGATGGCATAAAAACATTACCCAGTAGATTTTAAATATAAAAAATGCCGAGCATTGGGAGATGCCGACCTTAAGAGCATTTGCACCTACCTATTATATTAATTTTTATACCCTCCACCATTCTATGGAGTGTATATTTGCTTTGTCATTCCGTTTGTAACCCCTCGAAATATTCCTTTGTTCGTTACTTCACTTTTTTACTTTTCTCGTTGGCGTCGGTTTGGTAATCCATTCAACTTTTACAATTTTTAAATTATTTATCTATTTCGTATAAAAATGTATATATAAATATCTTGGAACAAATGCGTATGCGTGATTTAAAAAACAATAAAAAAAAACTGACCGCCAACATAACCTCCAACAATAATAATTATTATTATTATTATATTAACAATATTGATATGATAGTATATATAAATAGGTGCTATGTTTTAATGTAACGTCTTTAACCTAACTAACCTCCTTTCAGACCTTTGAGCACACCCTCAAACAACTCAACCAAATATCTCCAATATCCAATTGGTGAAATTTGTGGTCCATGGTCCAATTGGACCCACCAATAGAAGTGGAAGTGTAATAAGAAAATTTATTAAGGTAAGTGTTAAAAAAAGAAAAAAAAAAAAACAAGAAGAAATTGCTCTGTGCCAATCCAGTCCATCTGCCCCATATTCCGGTCTTGGTTTACACTCATCGACCAATTGTACTAGGCTATGCCTGGGAAATGCAGCGGACATTTTTGACCTACCTACAGTCTAGATTATTCAATAGATTCAATTTTAGCAGAATCAAGTGCATTATCTTCATCTGAGTTTCATTCATCTAGAAAAATAAAACCAAAACTGTTCTGATATAAAATATAAATGTTCAGATATATAAAGGTACCCGGAAAATTAGGAAATTAAATTGCGCATTACCGATTTTCTTTTACCCGACAGGAACCACATGTAGCCGGATCTGCAAGTAAAGAAACTTCCCCGATTCCCCGTAGTCCCAAACTCTTATTTTTTGTGTACTAAGAGACTTTTGTGAGTTTGTTCTACTACCTTCGACACCTTGATACTTGTATAGACAATGCGTAGGATAGAATAACTTTCGGAAATCGATTTGTAAATGTCTTATCTCCATATTTTCCAAAATGAAAATATTGTTAGGTTTTAAAATAAATTACCACTTGTTTTGTTTTTCCATTTTAGATTGTTCCATTATGTCTAGATATAGGCAGTGCTGCGTTCCTGGGTGCGAGATCTCTGTCATGAGATTTTGCCTCAAGGAAGTAAGTATGCATGGCGTAAAGGATGCTTGGAGTACAATACTTTTAGAGAGACATGGAATATCAACGAAAAAGACGTCTCGAATATGCGGTAGACATTTTAAGCTTAATATGTTTTCCAGAAAAGCATATCAGGTGCAGCTTTCATCTTATGCGACACCAGTTTTGTGTTTACCTACATTGATAGCTGATGAAGGTACGTTCTTTTAGTTCTTTTTACACAGTGTTACATAACTATCTCTACTATCTAAATTCTGACTGAACTATAAAATACTATTAGCAACATAAGCAACACTATGCCAAGGATATGATGTATGATTGTATATATAACACCTGTAATTTAACAATAATGTATACCGTTGCATGTTTCTTATTTATCACTAACGGTTATGAACACCTTACAATTAATAAAATTTATAGGTGTTAATTTTGGAAACAATGTTGAGGGAATTGTTTATAAAGAGAGGTTAGATATTGAAGAGTTCAAATGTGAAGCAAATGTAGAAAATTTAGAAATTAATAATAATATAAGTAGTGTAAGTAGTATTATAGAAAAGAAGAAGTAGAATCAAGTATAAACAAATATTTCTGTTTGCAAAGAGAAAAAAAAATTTTCGCAGCGAAGGAGGCAAGTAAAGCCAGTATTGCATTTGCTCGCGTCATCACACATGACTCGACACACCTGAGCAGTTAGATGTAGTACAACACCTTCAACTTCTGTCAAAATAAAATTATGAATACATGATAGATAAGTTTAAATGTTGAGGGAATCGTTTCTAAAGATAGGTTAGATATTGAAGAATTAAAATGTGAAGTAAATGTAGAAAAATTTAGAAATTAATAATAATATAAGTAATGTAAGTAGTCTTATAGAAGAACAAGAATTAAGTATAAACAAAGATTTCTGTTTGCAGAGAAAAATTAACTTTTACTTGCAAAGTTGGCGGCACTTGAAAAAAAGTTGAGTTTCTCCTAGCAAATGGAATTTTCCCAGGGAAGAAGGCAAGTGAAGCCAGTATTGCATTTGCTCGCGTCATCACAAATGACTCAACATCCCCGTACACACCTGAGCAGTTAGATGTAGTACAACAGCTTCAACTTCTATCAAAAGAAAATTATGAATACATGATAGATAAGTTCAAATTTGCTCTCCCCAGTACCGAAAGTGTTCTAAGATTGCAAACGAAACCAACTCTCGTAGGATTTGACGATGATGTTAAAGAAAATTTGTGCACTATTATTGAAGGGATGACTGAACAGGAACGTACGTGTGCTATCCAATTTGACTCATTAAAAGTTACTGACTTGGATAGTAATGTCGTTACATATTCTTTAGGACTGCAGCTTAGTGGGTTATGTAACGAGTGGAGGATACTATTAAGATTTTTACTAACACGGGAATATAGCATTTCGGTACTGGAAGGTGTACTTCGAGAAGTACTCGTTGGCCTAAATGGACTATCATTGAAAAAAGTTTTACTAATTTGCGATAGACATTCTGTACATGTCCAATTCTTCCAGCAATATCGCGGCTACCTTGGACCAAATCGTGTGTGCTTTTCTCCAAATTCAGAAGATATTTTACATTGTATGTTCGATAATTCCCACTGCTAACTAATTTATTAAATTACTTTTTAGACAATCAAGTTTTTATTAAAAAAAAAAAACAGGTGGGGCAAACAGATAGAAGTCGCTTCTCCCGCACTAATTTTTAAAATTTTTGAGTCTGAAAACGATTTAGATGCTAGTAATAGGTCTTGTTCGCAATTGCAAAAAGCTCATTTTGCAACAAGCTACTGCAAATCTTATTCATACGAAAATAAGCCAATGGATAGAGCGGCAGCTATTTTCAACAGAAACGTGCTTGCCGCTCTCGACAGTGATATATTTTCGGAAACCGAGCAAGTAATGGTAGAGGCGACCAAAAAATTATTTGCTGGTATAATACCAATTGTAGGGCTTTGAACGAATAATTTGATAAAAAAAATAATAAAAATGAGGCGTGCGCAATAGCTTTTAGATCCATATTTTTTTTTGCAATTTGTTGAGTGCGATAACATACCTTTTATGCTTCAGCAATCATTGGAAACAATGATGTCTCTATTGCTGGAGTATGAAGGGATTAAACTTTGTAGAAATTAGAAAACGTTGCAGTGGTAGACCTACCTTTAATGATCTTATTAATGTTAAATCAAGATCCGATTGTGTCATTTAACTTGCCAGATCTATTGACAGAATATTATTTTGGTCCGAAAATTGCTTTAACGCGTAACGTCGTTTTTTAATAATACAAGCCACATGATTTGCTTTCACTTGATCCAAAAACAAAAATAAGACGAACGTTAGAAGCCTCGCTTCGGGTTTTTGTTAATACATTAAAATGTCTAACGTATAATAGTATCTTCTTTTGCCACTCATTAGCCTCTATTTGTTCGATTGATACGTTTGGTTGTTCCGTTCACGTCTGTCTGATATTTGGCTCATCGTGTATATTGAGCTTTTGCTGCTTGTTTTTCGAGTTGCGTTTACGTACATAATGATTAGTGGCTCTCTGTTGGCTTATTGGAATATTTTTTTTTAAATCCTTTAAATATTTCACTATAGAGCAGATAATCAGGTATATAGGAAACCTAACCATGGTTTGAAACGTATTTTTGTACTTTTATATATATAGCATGTATAGCTTTAGTTGTAGAATTTAAGTAGTATTTAGAATTTTTACTTGTTTTTAATGTTTTTAATACATAAATTTATTTTCTAGTTATAGATGGGGGTTGTACGGGAAAGTGAAGCGAATACAAAATGTAATTTGTACGCAAAGCCTCCCCTTTCCAAATGTCAACCTCGCCCACACATGGTGGCCCCTGTTTTCGCTAAATAGGCTCTGGCGAAAAACTTATTCATGGATTCTCCTGGGCTTTCATAAAGGAAATAATTTTAATTTCAAATTTTCAAGTATCCACTCCCTGGACCCTGGATGCTTCTTGCAGAAATCGTGCTAGATAATCGCTAGCTTTTAACTCTGCTTGATAATCTACACCTTGAATGCCATACTTGTGTGAGAGTTACCTCTTCTAAATCCCATTTTTAGCATAACTTTGCTCCTTGGAGAAAAAATATGATCGGTTGGTAGGTAATATGTGTGCAACCGGTTTGTTTTAACATTTCCGTTCAGAAGTTAGTAGGTATGGATTTCAAAAGATCAAAGTGTAAAAGTAATGAATTAAAATAAAAGTGGGTCACATTTATTTAGCTGCCATTTATTGTGCCACTTATTAAAGGGAAAATGTGGGAACTTTCAATTTAATAATTTTATTTTATTGTATATAATACTCACATATATAATAAATACATTTAAATATATATTGATTTTCTCTTTTTTGTATCGGTTTGAATGGATGTTTGCATTGTATTTGTGACATGTGTCGGGGTAGTAAGGACGGGGGGATTTAGTTCTCTTATGTTGATGGTAATGCTGATGTCGATCTCTCCTTGGTTAATTTATTCGGAATATTATCTGCTGCACATAAAATGTTCATCATCCGTTTACAGATTTAAGAACTTGACATAACCTAAATAACATAGATTTAAATTTGAATTTTATTAATTATACAATCTACTGTTATAATTCAATTTATTGTTATTATTATTGTAGGTTATTTTGATGCGAAGAAGAACGTATTTCTGCAATATTTAAATAATATTTCATTCGTCTCGTGGGTTAGGTGTAACACTAATTTTGATTTTCATGTGTTTCGTTTATAGGTCCATATCTCCATGGAATGGACATTGTTCAACGTTTGATCCTGACTTAGAAACTAAATACACTGAGATTTAATGAAAACACTCTTTTTTCTTTTGTAGTGGACAAAAAAGCTTGAACGAAAAACACGACAACCATTTCGGTTTCGTTTAACCAGCAGCCACTTATAGACCTATCTCGCGCATGGCACTGTACAAACAGGAATTCTTAACACATTCTCGCGGACCCAATTGGGGACCGGGAGTGCCTCGCAAGATCATTAAAACTGAACGAGCAATTGCCTGACAGTCATTGTTGTTGGCACCACAGACTGCATCGGCTTCGGCAAGGTACTGGTAGTCGCAGGCTATTTGGGAGGTGCCCTACGAAGAAAAAACGGTGTAAGTAAATCGAGTTTTCATAATTTACGTAATTATACTTACGCATAAGTAACACAATTGATGTACTCCACAGAGAGGCAGCAATTCTTGGTTAATGTCACCACTTAGCAAATCCACGCCGCGGCAACGTTGGGCCATTGACTTGAAAGTAGCAATTAAATTTTATTAAAAATTCAAGACTGAATATTGTGCTCCCCATACCTCTAGAATAGGACATTGATTTGTACCCAAAATATAGTTTTTATTACCCAAGTAGGCATCATTTAGGGTCTCATAGCGATTTGGTCCTTGTATGGCTTCCTCGTATTCTCCAAATTCGTTGGGAACATCTGGATAACGCATGAAACCATTGCTCTTCTTCATTTTTCGTTTCATCTCATCATCCTTGTCATCATTAATAACCGGTTGTGATTTGCTTAGAGATTTTTCACGTTTAGTCGCCTCTAACGAGGTGTTTTCCGACGATTCCGAAGAGTCGGGCTCAATGATGTTGTGCATAAGATGATTTTCATTTTCAACGGATTGTCTTAATTTCTCTAAAGCTCGACGCATTTTCTCCAAGCTGTAGGCAGTAGCAAGACGCGACAGAACACGATCCTTCAAACGCTGGATTTCATCGGGATCACCAATTCCTTGAAATAATTAAATGTTCGCATTATTATTTGAGAATACATTTCATTAGAAGGATTTGCATGATAAATATTCTTGTATGTATGTGTGTAAAAACTAGCCCTTTCGGGCAGGAGAAACTTTTTAGTATGTGTCTCCATAATAAAAAAATCATAATTCAATCTTAAATATGGACTATCTATTTCAAGTTTATTGAAAGCACCCACCTTCATGAGCTCCAGTGTATTTAATTGTTTCGTTGATAATAAAATCTTCAATGGCTTGCAATTTTTTGTTCATATTTTCCAATTTCGTGGGGTCAATGTTGCGTTTCTTTTTATCAGCATCATCGCTGGCCGATGGTGGAGCATCTTCTTCGGCATTGCGCTTCTTCATATCAGCATCACTATAAAATTAGAAAATATGAAACTCAATGAAACCAAGACAAAGGTTATGAAAGTTGATTTACGTTTTATTGGAGTCCGCAATGCTCATGGCCTTCTTCTTACGGTCCAAACCGAAATACTTTGACCAATCGATGGATTTTTTTCTGCGCATGGTCATAGATTCCATTGTGTGCCTCAGAGGGACAGCAACATTACGCTTTCGCTTGGCTGGAGACGTGGAAGCAGTTGGAACATCACGCTTCTTTTTACGTTTCTTGGCTTCTTCATCGTCCTCCTCATGATCGTGTTCATGGTCGTGCTCTTCATCTTCTTCCTCGCTTTCGTGCTCCTCTTCGGAATCTTCCTCCTCTTCTTCACCGCCATCGTCTTCATGACTTTCGTGGGATGCAGGATGGTTGCTTCGTTTACCATGTTTATGCTCGGACATTGTGTGACCAGCATGTTGGTGATGATTGGGTTCCATGGTGGTGGCAACAGGTTTGATCTCTTCAGTTTTGGAGGCATTTCCATTGGTTTCAAGACGCATATCAGCAGCAGGGTTAGCGCTACTATCGCTGCCATGTGTCGTTGCCACACCTTGATGTGGTTTTTCATCTATGGAACGTTTTTTCTTCTCATCATTGGCTGCTCCGAATAGTTCGCTCAATTCTCTCTCGACATTCTCATCAGTTTTACCCATGCTGTTTAGCGGGCCCTCATTGCCAATGTGATTTGTAGACCGTTTGGAGACTGGAAAGCGTTTCCTACGTTCAACTGGCAACCATGGTAGGACCGGATACGATCGCTTCTTTTGCATAAGCATGTAATATGGAGGCATGCGCATGCGTTTCTTTTGCTCCTCATAAACATCTCCCCCATCGATTTCGTTTTCTTGTTGTTGGTATTTTTCCCAGAGATTACGCAGAGCCTCCTTGTAGCGATCTTGGTGTCCATGCTCTTGAGAACGTTCAACTTCCCTTAAAAATTGATCGGTTAATTCGGAACGATCTATGCTGTCGGGCATGTCTCGTTCACGGAAAATCGAAGCAGGACTTTCATCTGAAAAGCACATTTAAATAACACTGTTAGTGTGTATAATTTCCCAGAATTAGGGTCATTTAAACGACCGCAACGAAGGGATTCAACTCCGACAGCTGTTTTATAGCACAGATTTTCGCCACATTTTCTTTAGAATGTCCACTTACCATAGAAATTGCTGCGCTCTCGAAACACCGATGAACGCTTGCGTTCATCCGTGTATGGCGGCAATGAAAGCCTATTGCTATCTGCATCAAATTCATAGCCACCAAAGGGTCCGAGGCTCAAGCCACCATGATCGGCTTCATAATTTTCCCGTTCCAAATATTTTGCTAGCTGTTTGTTTATGCGATTTCGCTGTTTCTTTGTGTTGAAAGTGTAGGCGGCGTCTGTAAATTGGTTAAGAAGAGGGGGGATACACATGGGGAAAACGGGAAAATGTCGTTTTTTTATCAATAGCAAATGAAAGTGAAAAAAGTGGATGAGTGAGGGGAAGCAATGATGGCTTGCTTCAGCGGGTGAGCATAGCTTTGAATGGTGAGGACAGTGCAAACATGCAGCTCATAAAAAACATCAATGTTTTGGGGTGCATGAATGTCTGCATGCGGATATTTTTATAGAAGCGGGATAATGTGGGTTAATATGTGGTAGTGCTAATGATAAGTGTCTGAGGTAATTTGTAGCGAGATAGTTTTTGTGGAATCAATCAACGTGATTTGTCATAAAATAAGGTTGGCATTTTCAAATACCGGTAAATGTCATAAAAACAGAGATATAGGTGATTTTTAAGATTCCTTGAGACTATTAGAATATATTTTGTGAGTGTGTATGTGTTGTGATTTCTAAGATAACAGCACAGTGCATAACATTTAAGCGCATTCGAATTTTTCATTGTTAGATTAATTTTATATTTTCCGTAAAAATCGAATTGATAGCATTAGACTCTTTAGCGTTATAGGCGCTTTGAAGGAAATGTAAAATCATCAAGGATCATCATGCAAACAACGTAATATTACCTTCATCCCAATAATCCTGATCGGGTGATGAACCAAAGGCGCCAGCCATATACCTTGGTTGTTGGCCGGGTGGGGCATTCAATGGATATTCCTGGCGGTGTAGTTCGTCCACGGCTGCCTGCAAGGAAAATGGCGAACGTTGTGCCCAACCACTCGAGATGGTGACCATCCATAAGATGAATAAAATCGCTGAGCTACGTCTCATTTTGCTATGCTAACCCGTAACCTGTTGCTGAGCTGGAATACACAAAAAAAGGAAAAACGCAATAACAAATAAAACGAGAAAACAAATCAGAAAAACACTTGATGAAGGATTCTGGAATAACAATGTCACTAATTTAATATTCATGGGAGGTGGTTTGTTCGCAACCTTATTGTTGGCCTTAAATCAAATGAACAGCCGGAAGGGTTTCGATTTAATTTGCATAATAGAAATCATTCTTTTAGTGTTAAATGAAGTTAAAACAACAATCCGCCATAGAGACAGGCAGCAAATCAAGAGAGAAGAGATGGCGAGAGCGAAGGACGAGAAGATGTTTTACAAGATTGCCTGAGTTAACCTTTTAACTTTAACCCACCTGTAGATATGTGCGTACCTTGTCGGCATAGACAAGTGCAAATTGGTTAGCAGTAAAAAGTGTTGTTTAGTATTTTCTTTATGCCAAAGTAGCGTCATGCTTCAACGCTGTGCTCCTATTTAAAATTCATGAGTAAATATTTTTATTTCATTCTTGGAACTATGAATATCTTAAGAGTTTCTTAAGTTACACATAAACTCATATAAATAAGTATGTATTAAATACATACATATGTATGTATGTGTGATATTTCTTGTCCTCCAATAGATTTGATTCTAAAAGCTTTTAGGGTGTAAATCAATGCTTTTAATGGCATCAATACAATAATTGAATTATTAAGGCATGGAAGTGAAGTTGAAATAAATTGGAATAATTTCCTGAGCCTTTTGTCAACTCCTTCCGAAAACTGTCAATAGATGTATACGTTGTAATGCAGGTCCAATATAAACGTATACAGCTTAGTGAGGTGAACAATTAGAATATACCGTTTGAAAGAAAATCCAGGCATTTCATTTATTTTTCGAACTTTTAAAAAATTACGGAAAATAGAAAATAAATTTAAAGCATCTAATTTTTAATAATTCTAAAAGAAAGTGGGCATATCTTCTGGGCTTTTTTCAGTAGTTTTACAAAGTCTGCTTATTGTAGCATGGTTTCAACAAAATTTGATTAAAACTGACATGAAGTCTTACATACATTTAAGCTAGAAGTTCTGATACAAATACAAAGGTATTTACATGCAATCGTACGATTCTATTTTTAATTTTTATTATATTGACCACTTCGTATCTTACCTAAGACTTATAAAAATATTACAACTTGCCAGATTTAGACTATATCGACTATTTCCTATACTTTATATGAGATATGTGCAAATTTTTGAAAAATGTGGAAATCTGCTTGAGCTAACAGATCTAGCGGACCGAAGTATTCCACTTTCGTACATCATCTACAGACACAAATACATACAGATAAAAATATTGGTTGTTGCAAAATTTGAAGGAAATCGAACATTTTTATCCAATTTTATGCGGACCTGAATCTCTACTATCTTTATAACAGATCTTTTATTGATGGAAATAATGAGAAGTGCCAATCTGAATGAAATCGGATGTTAATTTCGTGTTTTATGAGCTTCCTGGAAAAAATTTTGAACCTTTGTGGGGGAGGTACCAGAAGAAGTGGGCCGATATATCCCATTTTCACACCAGACCTTAGGTATATACAAATATTGTGATGTCTGAAATTTGAAGAAACCCAGATTCTTATTTTGGATTTTATGATAGTTTTGGTTATTTAAAACGTTGACCCTTTGTGGGGGAGGTACTAGAAGGAATTGTCCTATCTCTACCATATTTATAATAGATCTTGAGTTGACGGAAGTATTGAGATGTGCCAAGTCTGAATGGAATCGGATGTTAATTTCTCGTTTCATGTACTTCATGAATATTCGAAATTTTGACCCTTTGTGGGGGAGGTACCAGAAAATGCAAATTTTTAAAAAATGTGGAAATTTGCTTGTGCAAACAAATATAGTATACCGATATATTCCATCTTCGCACTAGACCTTGGGTTACTAAAAATATTGTAATGTTTGTAATTTGAAGACAATCGGACAATTACATCACATTTTATAAGAGTTATAATTATTCAAAATTTTGACCCTTTGTGGGGGAAGTACAGGATGGAACGAACCGATATTTTTCATTTTCGCACCTGACCTAGCGCTGATGAAAATATAGAGATTTGCAAAGTTGGAGCAAAATGGGATTATCCTTTCTCTTTTGTGTGCAGTAAATTATTTTCTTTGAAAATATTGACATTTAATGGGGCATGTACCAGAAGGAGTGGGCCGATATTGCCCATCTCCGAAATTGATATAAGTTTGACAATAGTATTTTGATTTACCAAGTGTGGATCAAATCGGATACTCCCTTCGAAATTTATCGAACGCACCAGCCAGATAGACAGACGGCGGACAGACAAACATCGCGAAATCGACTTAAAATGTCTGAAACGGATTTGATACAAAGAGACCCAGGGTTTAAAACCGTTATTTCGATGAGGCACGTTTTGGCCGTATCAAATGATATTACCCTCAGCCATATGACTAGGCTGAGGGTATAAAAATAAAATTATAGGAAAGAATGACAAATAAAAGGTCGTATAATCCAAAATTTGGTTTCAAAAATTTATTCGATAGACGTTCCCAATTAATTTCATATTGCCTTTGCTGTTTAAATCACTTAACATTTGTGACTATGTTGTTATGATATCGTAACAACAGGGCTATATTCACCCGGTGACAATAATATGACTCTGACTTGCACCATCTATAAATACTATAGTTCTGCCCTAAATATAAGCCCATTAATGGCAAAAAAGTAATATGTTTTCGGTAAAAAATTATGTCATTATCATGTCATTTATCAAGGAAGAATATAATTTAAACAAGAAAACATTAGACCCATAAGTAATATGCGACTTGATTATGGAGTGGTTGAATTTTGCCTCAAAAGTATAATTTTGCGGAAGTTCGTGCCTCGCGGGATTTAATCTTGTATTTTCAGTTGAATTGTTATTGAATTCATTGTCAGCATAAGCTTTCGCGTTATTACACAATGTATCTAACAGGTAACAGGTATTGTGTAGATTTTGAACAATTTTGTTTTCTTCAGTCTGTCCATATCAACGTATTTATGAATAAGGCAGGGTGTATATAGCGTATGAGTAATTTACAAAAATCATACGCTATGCCATCTTCCATTAGCCTTTAGAAATGTACAAACTTTTAAAAGTATACACTCAAAATACCCGTTCCACACAAACCAAACCAAAAAGAATAAGATCTTGCTCACGAATTCGTGTCCATTGATATGAGGTATTATCCATTACTTAGCACACAAGCTAAATCATTTCCGAGAGCATTTTAATTTAAGTGGATTAATATATATTTGCGATGTGCCTAAATGTACAAATGTATGTATGTGTATGTGTGTGTGCACATTCATATATCCTATAAATCAAATACTTTTATGACGGCATTCAACTGGTGTACATTTTATTTTGACCACATTTTCCATGCCACCAAGTAGAAAGACTGAATGAATGAATGCCGTTGATGATATTGGAATTTTGGCATTCCATCACGTAGCGTTAAGGAGATTATATGAACTAGACTCTTGCTATGTGCCCAATATTGAGTGTTGAGTGGAATGTCATTGTGTTTTTCCTTGGACTCCTTAATGACATCAACAATGATGAAGTTTTTATGGGGGAGGGGGTGTGTGTGTGGGCGAGTAGGAACCAGAAGACAGCATTGGTGTTTGAGGTTAGATGTCACGGCAAATATTTGAAAATAAAGTAGAAAATTCCTTTCTTTTCTCCTGACATATTTGTGAAGCATCATAGGAATATGATGTAAATGAATGTCAGGGTTGATTTCAACAGATGCTGCAACCGAGAAACTTGTAAAACAATTCACACCTGTGTGTGTGAGGAGTAATATAAAAGACGAAGTGCATACATATCTACATATATTATCTAATACATTACATTAAGGGCATTAAAAATTAAGGAACAAAAAGTTGGGTAAAATTCCAAATGCCAGGCTTAATTTGGTAACTCAATTGTCCCTTTCCAAAATTGCAGAAATGTTCTACTTTTTACAAGAATTACCGACTTTCCTTTATGATATCGAAAAAGAATGACAAAACTAGTAGATTCTTCCAGAGCAAATGTAATGCAAATTAAATTAATTTTAAACCAATGAAAACAGCGGTAATTTTTTCCAATTTTTTTTTTAAATTTCCGCCACAAAAAATTGGGTACCTTGAAAGTACTTCAAATCAGTGGAAATGCCCAAAACGAAATATACGTCAAATTTAAAGCTAATTAAAAAAATAATATATGATTCGTTTGACAATACAGGGTGATATGAAAAAACTGCAACCAACTTCAGACTGCTGTCATTTCTAAGCCACTCGTCCGACAGCTGTTAAAATTATTCAAGTGACAGCTCATTATATTGTTTACAAGCGTACAGAAGCATTTTGGTGAGAATTTTCCAGAAAAAAGCTATTCGTGATGGAATTCAAGCGTGATAGTGTGATTTCTTTATATTTGGCTGGAAACCCACAAGTGGCTATCGTTAGAGCACTCCAGCATTTAAATGTAAATAAATCTTTTGTGTCTCGTACCGTCGCTCGTTAACGTGATATTGGTAGCATATCCCGACGTCAAGGAAGTGGACGGAAGAAAACAGCAACATCAGCAGAAATGGGACATTATCGAAACCCGCGTCGCAGTGACCAAAAATGGCTCGTGAGCTGAACATTTCGCAATATTCCATTCGGCAAATTTCAAAAAGTGCAAGAAATTACACCGCAAAAGAAAGAAAATAGACTCAGAAGAAAGTCTAGAAAGTTTTTGCTTGGCCGAAAGTGGAGAACTGCCGAATTTTGTTTTCTCCTTCTCCGATGAGAAAACATTCGTTGTCCAGCAGTTTGTAAACAACCAAAATGATCGTGTTTACTTGCCAAAGAGGTCAGCTGAAAATGTGCACCATCGGTTGGCCACCAGAACTCAAGCGTCGGCCATGGTGATGTTGTGGGACTCCATAATAGCCGATGGTCGCTCTCCCCTCGTATTAATCGGCATCAGAATAAATGCCGAATATTATCGCGAAAATATTCTGGAGGGTGTATTAAAGCCTTGGGCACGCAAAAATTTTGGCCGCAGACCTTGGACATTCAAAAAGGACTCAGCACGCGCCACCCTAGAATGATTACAAAATGAGGTTCCTCGCTTCATTTCCAGCTCACAATGGCCACCAAAATCTCCGGATACCAATCCGATGGACCATTGTGTCTGGAGTATTTTGGAAAGCAAGATTGGCACTGAAAAATACCAAAGTGTCGATCACTTCAAGCAAGTGCTTTGCCGGGAATAGGCCAAAATACCGCAGAGCAACATTCGGGCAGCATGTGACGGTTTCATTGGCAGTTTGAAGGCCATAATTCATGCCAAGGTGACCAATTCGAACAAATTTAATATTATACAATTTTAAGCTATTTCCGACATTTTTTGCTTTCATTCAATAAAATTAAAAAAATTGAAGAAATTATGGCGTTGCAGTTTTTTAATGTCACCATGTTGTAACCGTTTGAAATTCGAATCATTTGCAATTCAAATTATTTAGTTTGTTTTTCGAATTTTTACATTTTTAATTCGAATTATTGCATTTATAATTCGAATTATTTTGTTTGTGCTTCGAAGCGGCAAATACGAAGCCAAGAAAAAAATTTAAAATCATTTGCTGCGAGTTTCAAATGGAACAATCTGATTTAAAAAAATTAAAAATAAAAAATTCCAATTGCAAATAAAATAATTTGAATTTTCCAAATTCAACTACAAGTTTCCAATTTCAATTGAAATATTACGAATTACTCATGGATTTCTCGAATGTTTCAAATAACTTCTGAAAAACGGTGACTTCGTAATTCCTATTTATCCAAAAAAAGAAATCCTCGAGGAAAATAAAATTATGTCGCAATTGATTAGAGGAATACTTGAAGCAATATAAAATACTCAAACTAATTATGTTTCGAACAAATGGATAAAGACTCCAGGGCAAGAGTTGAAAGGGCAAGGCTGAGATAATAACATATCTTCATAATTTATTAAATTGAATGTTTGAGCCCTGAGGCAAAAACTTGTCTCTTTCGGAGGCAAAAAGGATAATAAAGACACAGCAAATAGAAGTATACACAATTCCATGTATATATCGATGCCAGAACACACATTAACAAATACACTCGTATCTGAGTGTGTGTTCATGAGTACAGAAATTTATCTATCAACAGGTATCACATCGGCGGCACACATTCATTGATAGACAGTCAAGCGGGCGGACGGACGTACAGACAGACAGATGAACCGATGGACGAATGAACAACTCAAATCTGTGAAATATTAAAAGCATTTAACTCGACGACTTTCAGCGCCACAATGCAGTCAAAGATGAGTAGCACTACCAACTGAAGATTAATTTGCCGATGGCATTCCGCATGTCATCACATTTAATGTATGTCCACATAAACACACGACTGCATGGTCATCACTACATAGGTATTACGTATAAAAATTTATCGACATTTGTTGATGTAGATGTGTGTGTCCACCCATTGACAATAACAAAAATTAATTTTCTACTCCATCTACACCAAAGGCATTTTTTGTTCTCTAAAATTTACTGGATTACTAACTAATCCAGAATGACATTTGAAAAATACCATAAATTCTAGTTCGAATTGCGAAGGCTATAACATTCGACAGCAGCCGTCTATAATAAATTTAGAAATTATTGTTGAATTAAGAAAATACCACTCGCATTTGTTGGGGATTTGAAAAAGACAATGGCCTAACAAATTATGCATTAAATGTACACACATATGTATGTATTTCTCAATATATTTTTAAATGGGTGAATAGATACAAAATCATCTGCCCCTAAAACAAGGCAAACCTTGCACTTGGTATTGCCCCCAAAACAACAAACAGCTATTTATTATCGTATATACAGCAGCTTTATGACTTTTAACCTTTTGCAAACAAAGTATGATTTCAAATAATTTTTTATGTAATGAAAATGAACACAAAAGTTCATACTTACATATCCCAGAAACGTAATACGCGGTGCTTTATAAGGAAACTAGGAAATGTCTTATTTTAGCACTGTGTGGACTCACTTTAAAAGTTGACAGTTTTTTTTGCACAATGTTTTTTTTATTTTATTGTTGAGAAGTTTCTCTCTTGCTGCCCCTTGCCTTTGTATGACGGCAACTCTTGTTCGGTCAACTGTGTTCAACTCGTCGATGTTGTTATCCTTTGGGGTACTTATTGTCGAATGAGTGTTGCTGGCTAGATGCTTACGTATTTTATGTAAATACAGAGTCTCCATTTACTTGCGGATAAAAGGAAACACACTTGTCGCTAAGCATGGTGTGCGTGTGTGTATTGTTGTTTGTTTGTTTGTTTGTCTGCCACATCCTTACATCCATGAATGAAGAGACGAAAAGGAATTTATCCATGTTATTTGTTTTTGTGAGTTTTTCTTCGCAAAACCTTTCGGCACGGTGTGCCCACTAAAAAAGAGCTCGTGATGAGAGTGGTTATCCTAAATCGATATGCGTGCGCAGTAACACACGCAAAATCGGGTTGCCAAGTGTTTCGGCCAAGAAAGTTTCAAAAAATACATTTGGTTTTGACTTACTTATTAGTTATATTTATTGACTACATACATTTATATATATAAAAAAATATTCTTGGTTTTAATAATTTATTAGTACGATCTATTGGATTTTAGCATTTGTTTATATAACTGAGTGAGCTTCCCCACACATCGTTGGTAGCAGATTGGTGCATTTACACGATAAATACATTTGTGTTATTATTAAAAAACATTTTTAGTTTTAAATACGCTAGCAAAAGTTTAAGTGATATAAAAATAATTAAATATCAATTGTAGCGTTCTAAATTTTAATCAAACCGAAATAGCTTCGATTGTTCTCCTCCTGAAGATGCGTTTTACGATCGGTGTGGAAATCTTGGATGTGAATTTGTTCGTCTCGTTTCAAATATATTAGGCCGCTGGTGTGACAGGTATTGAAGACCGAATGATTGTTCGTAAAGATGTGGCTCAAACATTGCAGGAATGGTTTATGGCCATGGAATATAACGAAACCATTCTGATTGTGATGATTGTGGTAGCATATTTGGGCGTACACATAATAAAGGCCCGGTTCATGCACTGTCAGTACACCGTTTTCAACATGAAAATACGTGTCGAGAGATTCGCGTTCATTTGTCCATGTTGGTTTGCCAATGTAGACGTCGCCAGTATATGCTGCAGAGAAAGAATTGGAAATTATTATTCAAATATTAATGAATTATTAAAAGGGAATCGCCATATTTGGGTGATCTGTCAGGAAAATGTATTTTCTTTAACTCTAAAATCAAATCGTATTAAAAGATGTGGCCTTCTTTTAAGCCTTTTCTTGTAAGGTTTAACAATATACAACAAGTACAATATATCGCGTAAAATTTTGAGTATTTTTCGATATTTTTTTATTTTTCTTAAAAAAATACTTTTTAATTTACTTTACTCTGCCAAACCTTATTTCTGAAAATTATTTTTTTAGTAAAACATCCCCAGCAGAAATTATTCTGACAATTATTTTTTTAGTAAAACATCCCCAGCAGAAACTATTGGTTCATTGATGATGTGAAACAACAAAATACGCTTCTTGGACAGACCCGTATTAAATAACATAAAATAAAGATACTTACAAGTAACTCGAACCGATGGATGATTGGGGATTTTATGCGTTAGATGGAAATGAACGGCCGGCTTGGATGTTTCAACTTCATTCAAAGCATTAATTGTTTCTATTGTTTTGGCTGAAATTAAATGTTTATCTAAAATTATTAAAATTTATTAAAAAAATGTTTTAAGATTTGAGAGTAGATTAAAGAAAGAAATTGTATCCTATGTCAGACTTAAAAAAAATGCTAAGGGGTTTCCAGATTGTTTTTTTTTTCTACACAATATCTTAAATTGTTGATACAGATATACTTTTAGACAATAGTTAGGTTATAATATAAAAACAGCATAGCTTTTAAAGGACACATTTACTACTGAAGATCGATCAATTATTGTCAAATATTTAAATAAATACTAGATATAAAAATTATGGGAAGATTGGAATGTTTTTAAATATGGGTGCATAAATATTAGTTGGCTGAGGGATTTGAGGAAAAATAATCAATTTAAGTCCGCCAGAAATTGAACCGAAGATTTAAAATGTTTGACACTATTGGTACGAAACGTCCTTTATCTTAAAACGAATCTTGATATTTGGCACTAAATGTGGAGCACAAACAGAACTTTCTCAAATGAGTATCGAAATAAATAGACACTATATTATTAGGATCAGTAGGAAACTATAGAACAAATTCAACAATTCAAAATCGTATTCTAAAAGCACAGCAAAGAATTTGAAAAGTGCAAAAGTATTTAGAATTAAAATGTGGGGAACATTCGTCTTAAAATGCTAAGATAAACTATTATACTTCTTAACAAGTAAAAAGAAGCTAATTTCGGCCGAGCCGAACTTTTAATACACTTCATCATTTGGAAAGAACATGAAAAATTGTCGAAAAATCCAAAAACTACCACTTAAATGAAAACAGTTATATGGGGACTATACGAAGACGTGGACCTGCTTACGAAATTTTTTGTCATAGGCTGTAGTACCCATTACGAACTTTAAATATGAAATTTAAAATAATTCAGGTAAATAATGTTGCTAAAATCATGAAAATTCCGAAAACATGGAGCGACGTGGCCCATTTACGAACTTATCCTGCCTTCTGGTTTACTAATTTTAGTCTTCTACATTAATTCGTTCGAAAGATAGTGTGATTACAGCAGACAGACGGACATCGCCAGATCGCCTAAGAATTTTACGCAGATCTAGAATATATATACATTATAGGGTCTATTATGAATATTTCGAGGAGTTACAAACAAAAAATAAAGCTAATATACCATCCATAGAATGGTGGGGGTATAAAAAAAGAAATAGTCCGATTTCAAACTACATCCCATTGCATGCTGTGCTAACTCTTGTGTTACATAAACTCAGTAATTCGATGACTTTTGATAACATGCTCCTCAAAAAATTAAGGTTAATATACTAATCGACATATGCGCCATAGGAAAAACGTACCGCTTTTTATCATAGGGAACTTTCGCCTGCGAGAACTGTACAATCTCATAGGACTACGACGTCTTTCGGCATTTTCTGCAGCAACAAGAGATTTATGAGACCTGCTGGAATGTAATAAAAAAGCCACATGAACAACATAAAAGACGCTATGTAAATTCAATACATACCTCTGCATTTTGGAACGACTGGTATCTAATGGCACCTCATCGGTTGCGTCCTTTAGCATAGATACTGAACGAGTTTTGCGTTTTCTATCATAAAACATTCATAAAATACCAACCATGGAAATTATTTGAATTGTTAGCATACCTTTGTGGGGTTTCCTTTGTCGATTCAACGAATTTTTCAAAATCGTCATACAAATCATCATCATCAAACAGATCATCATCATCGTCATCATTGGTTCTGCTATTATTGCCATTGTCATCATCATCATCCTCGTTGTCCACCTCATAATCGCTATATTTCTTAAGTAATTCATCGTATGTATAATCGGCATCATCGTCCTCATCATCGTCTTCTTCGCCGCTATTACTTTCACTGTCATTGTCATCGTCGCCATCATCATCATCTTCGTCGTCGTCGGGCAGCATATCATCAATTAAAGCATTGTTATTCTATTAAAAATACAACAAAACCCGTAAATAACAAATACAGGAAAATATTTCAAAAAGAAAAATGCCGAAGCAAAGCGGAAAAAAAGCTCTGAGATGTTCAATTAAGATTTCGAACACTTTGCAACATGTTTCTAAATGGATTTCAATTCATTATTTTCCCATAAAAATAGAAAGAAAAAAAAAGAAAACACAATGCAGTGAATTCTGAAATTAATAGATTTCAATCTATATATCAAATTGAATTGAATGCAAAAAATGCGCATTTCTAAATTCCATTTATTTAAAATATTTTAAATCACACTAACCGCCAAGTAAAAAATAAAAATTTCACAAGAGCCTCGATAAACCACTCGAGTGATTTAAATATGTAAATGTGAAACAAATTATAGAATCTAATACTGGAGATTAAATATGTATAATAGATCATTATATAAGAGTATTGTTTACGTTCTTTGTTTTTCCGGGGAATAAACAAATTAATAAATAGGCTTAATGCTTTATAATTCGTAAAAAAAATCACAGTAGCAATTTCCAAGCATTTAAGTAATTTCTGATTTCAAAAAACTAAAATACCATGATTTCCCGTTTTTTCCTATTTTATCTCTCGGGCTAGTCGAACACAAATCTTTGATGATGATCTTTGCATATGGTGAATTCAAAAAAATGTATTATTGATATTTTGCCATTGATTTGCTATTCCTATAATGATGTTTTTGCAAAAATATAAGTTGTTGTGTATTGTATAACGCAATAACGAAATTAGTGTCACTAAATATCTACAAATCGAACATACTTTCCCACACAATGTAGGGCAACATTTGGAAACAAAGTCAACGTAAGAAAAAAATAAAACTGTCAGCTAATCATAAACACAACAAGACCATACAAATATCAGCAACTAAATATCTCGGATTTTTATAAATAGAACATTTTTTTGAATTATTGTACGGCGTTATTTTTTTTTTTTTTGTATTTTAGCAAAAATACACACATACATACATGCAATTGAGTATTAGAAAAATATCGAATATTTATGATATAGAGAGTGGTCAAAATGTAAAAAGATCATATTTGTTACCATTTTAAACAAAACTGTTCAAGACAAGACATAAAAGGTATTCAAAATTATAAAAATATGTTTTGGAATTGCAATTTGCTCAATTATAATAGTTTTGTTAGACTAAATTGTAAGGACTTTTCACTAGGTTCACAAGAGTATTGTAAGAAACGAAACAACAGACAAAATTATTGCCCGAAATTTTAAAAATTTTGCACCGGCTACAAAACGTCTGATGTAACTAGATAATTTCCACTGAGTACATTTTTCTAATAAGATTTGCAAACTCTCAGTAGCTTAGCTGTCAACACTCCTCGTTCTCACTTACTGGACTCTTAGGTTATCGAACAAAATCTTGTAACAATCTGTACAAAATATTGGATTATCATACAAACCTATTATCGATTTTGACAGAAAATAGAAAAGTTCGTTTACTCGATAATTTGTAATAATTTGTACAAATTGAGAAATGAGAGAGACATTTGAGTCACTGAGAGTAAAAATTCTTACTGGGAAAATTTCCCCCAGTATACCCCTAGCCTTGATTTATGATTTTTCAAACTGTTGACCCTTTATGGGCCTCCAAAGTTGGCCAATACTGACCAATTCGTATCTGACCTAAGACTGCTACTAATATTAAAACGTGCCAGATTTGGACTATATCTTCTACTTTCTATACTTTATATGAGACTAGCTGAACCCGGTGCGCTTCGCTACCCCTTTTGATTTTATATGCATTCAAAATTTTATTTTTTATTACAAAAAAAAAATATATATTGCACTACTTTTATGCGTTAATAAACCAAACCATTAGAAAAGCAGTAACATGACATGCATACACGAAGGGTTTGTCCTTTGAATTTTTTTATTGCATAGCAAATACCAAGCGTGCAGGAAACTGTTGTGTTGTGTTTTAGTGTTAGCCTAAGGCGTTCTGATCCGATTTAAATATAATTTAAAAAAAAATTACTTTTACACCAAATTCCGCCACAACTTTCATATTTCATTGAAATTGGTGCGTCAAATATGTGAAATCGACCAATTAATTTATCACATTTATTATTGTAACCAAATTCCGCCACATATTCTGAATTTCATTGGAATTGGTCATATATATCGTGTTTGGTACATAACATGTATAAAGTCGGCCGAAATATATATATTAGCTATACCCAAACCTCAACCGATTTCAATATAATTTGACAAATGTATATTCGTTTTAACATTCCAAATTTCATTGAAATTAGAGATACATAACGTGTTTGGTGCATCAAATATATGAAATCGGTCGAAAATATATATGGGAGCTATATCCAAATATGAACCGATTTCAATATAATTTGACAAATTCATTTTTGCTCCCAATTGCGTTACTTATTTTAAATTTCATTAAAGTTGGACATTCATATCGTGTTTGGTGCACCAAATACATAAAATCGGCCGAAAATGTATATGGGAGCTATATCCACATCTGAACCGATTTCAATATAATTTGATAAATTTATTTTTGGATCAAATCCCGTTAAACATTCCAAATTTCATTGGATTGGAACATTCATATCGTGTTTGGGGCATCAAATGAACGAAATCGGTCGAAAATATATATGGAAGCTATATCCAAATCTGAACCGATTTCAATATAATTTGGGAAATCAATTTATTAGATAAAATCCATCACACGTTTCAAATTTCATTGAAATTTGGGATATATAGCGTGTTTGGTGCATCGAATGCTAGAAATCGGCCAAAAATATGTATGGGAGCTATATCCAAATGTGAACCGATTTTAATATAATTTGGCAAATTTATTTTTGTTCCAAATTCCGTTACGCATTCCAAATTTGGAGACTGTATCTGTAATCGATCAATAGATATGTGCATACGAAATCTAAATTTTTGGGAGGTACCTCCGATTCTGATGCTATATCTCCACTTCCAAGTGGAATTACAAAAATGTATATAGCCTATGTTACTTTCAGGCGATGTTGCAGTATACATGCAAATTATCAGGAAAATCTGTTTAGCGGTTTTCGAGTCCATAAATTACAAACAAACAAACAAAGAAACAAACATACAAACATTTTCCTCTTTTATAGATATAGATACGTGAATATTTTTGGAAAATGTGGAAATATGCGTGATGTACTAGATCATTGTAATACAGATAAAAATATTGGTATTTGCAAACTTTGAAGGAAATCGAAAATTCGTATCAAATTTTATGCGAAACCATAAATTTCGATAAATCACATATTCATATCAGATTTCTGGTAAAGAGAAATATTTAGTTACAGCATTTAATACGGCCAAAACCTGCCTCATGGAAATATCGGTTTTAGGCCCTAGATCTCTTTGGACCAAATTCGTTGCAGGACATTTGGAGTCGGTATAGGTCTGTATTTCTGATGCGTACGATAGCTCTCGTAGGTAGTATCCGCTTGGGTCCAAACATAATCATGATATAATTATTAAACTCGATTTAACACTTCAGAGATGAGCACTATCGGTCCACTGTTGCTTGGTTGCATTTTGTCCTTTAATTTTCTTATTAGATATTCATTGATTGGCTCATTGGCTTTTGCTCTTCTATATTAAATCTTCTTATTATGGACAAACTAATGCCTGTTTTGTAGACTGCCACACTGAAAACAACAACAGCATGTCAAGGTGGCAATAAAGCTCTTAAATTATCAAATCCACTCTCTCTCTCTCTCTCTCTCTCTCTTACAATTTCTCTCACGCACATTGATATACATCCCCATAGACAAATGAAAATATAGACAACGAAATGCTCTCACCGTTTATCTTCGAAAAAAATCGAATCAGCAGATGTCGTCTATATCGTTTCAGGGGTTTGAGTGGGAATATTGAAGTCACTCAATTCTAAAACATTTAAAATTACAAAAACTGTAGGATATTTGTCAGTTGAAAATTGTTCCATAATAAAAGAAATGGAAAAAGTACGTGACGATATCAAAAAATTCCGGAATAATCAAGCAAAATTCTTGAAAAACGATAAAATGTGTTTTCGAAGTCGAGTGGGTTGAACGCGTAAATCAGCATGTTGACTATGCAAAACATGATGAGAGCCACCTAGATAAAAATACAAAACTAACATTTCGTTGTCTATATCTTCATTTGTCTATGACATCCCCCCGTTTACTTTACTGATCAAAAATCTATGCTACAAATGCCTTGGATCAAGATATTACAATTTTGGCTGGGCTACCTTTACAACAACAACAAAACCCCAACATGTTGCATGATTCATTAAAATTCGTCATGTAGCATGACGACAACAACGTTATGCTATCCAATTGCGATCTTCCAAATTGTCAACGTAATGCCGTTCAAATTATTTCGAGATGCAACAATGCTCGACAATTGCTAGTGACGCATGTGGCAGTTCTCCGTTCTCTCTGCGGCCTTAGAATCGTTTTATGTTTCTTCTCTTCTTTACACAAATCGCTCATTATTACACATCCTCCCAATGGTCCCAGGGCGAAGTGCCCAAATAAAACTGACCCTTCGATACAATAAGTGGGTACTTGTCAAATGATTCAGATTTGTCAATTCTTAATGGTCGCGCCCCATCGTTCTAGATGCCGGAAATACAAAAAAAAGCTGTCCGTTTTCACAAACTTATTTCGATATGGTGTCTAATCTCTTTGGAATTCCCACAGCCTATATTCCACTTATCCACAGCATGGCAGCTAAGCAAGCAGTCTCCCTTTTCCCCCATTGATGTTTTTTAGTTTGCGTACCATGCGTGTGTGTATGTACATATACGACTATGTATGTACTAATGCCAGCAGAAAAAGGCACCGCAATTGACTGTCGACTATACGCAGCAGTCCATTTGTAAGTGCATAAATCATTTTTTTGGTTTTAGAAAAATGTTTACGCATTTTCTTTTTGGGCAGATCTTTTATTCGATCGGACATTAGACATGATCGACACACAAAAATCTGTTGACTAACGGCACGTGCTGAAATAGTCCCGCATTTAAACATTGTACGGCTGTGACTTGGTGGAGCATTTGAATGGTATAATAATGAGCAACTATTTACGAGTTTATTGTGGTTAATACCGTAAAGATGTTTCGGAACTGAAAAAAAAAACGGATGTGCAGTTCTACGAGGGTAGCAATTTATATTTTGGGTTCAAATGAAATTTCCCATTGAAAATAAAATCACATCAGGAATTAAGTGATTGGCCGGCTGCAGAGAAATTTATCTAAAACCAATAAATTTTTCACTTTACTTTTTACATTCCATAAAAATTCTTTCTACAAAAAAATAAATTTTCTATGAACGCTACAGAGTGAGATGAAAAATCTGCAACCGAACTCAGACTGCTGTCATTTTTAAGCCACTCGTCCCGCCAGCTTCTAAAATTATTCCATTATATTGTTTACAAGCGTACAAAAAGCATTTTGGTGAGAATTTTTCACAAAAAAAAATTATTCGTGATGGAATTCAAGCGTGATAGTGTGATTTCTTTATATTTGGCTGGAAAACCACAAGTGGCTATCGTTACAGCACTCCATCATTTAAATGTGAATAAATCTTTTGTGTCTCGTACCATCGCTCGTTAACATATCTGAACATATCGCAATATTCCATTCGGCAAATATTGAAAAATGAGCTCGGGGTAACGCCATTGAAATTCCAAAAAGTGCAAGAACTTACACCGCTACAGAAAGAAAATAGACTCAAAAGAGCTAAAGAGTTGCTTTGCTTGGTCGAAAGTGGTGAACTGACGAATTTGGGTTTCTCCGATGAGAAAACATTCGTTGTCCAGCAGTTTGTGAAGAAACAAAATGATCGTGTTTACTTGCCAAAGAAGTCAGCTGATAATGTGCACCTTCGGTTGGCCACCAGAACTCAAGCACTTGCCATGGTGATGGTGTGGGCCGCCATAACAGCCTATGGTCGCTCTCCGCTCGTATTAATCGAACGAATATTATCGTGAAAATATTCTGGAGGGTGTATTAAAGCCTTGGTCACGCAAACATTTTGGCCGCAGACATTGGACATTCCAACAGGACTCAGCACCATCGCACTTAGCACGCGCCACCTAAGAATGATTACAAAATGAGGTTCCCTCGCTTCATTTCCAGCGCACACTGTTCACCAAAATCTACGGATAAAAACCCGCTGGACTATTGTGTCTGAAGTATTTGGGAAAGGGAAGGTTGGCACTGTAAAATACCAAATAGTCGATCACTTCAAGCCAACGCTTCGCCGGGAATGGGCCAAAATACCGCAGAGCAACGTGTGACGGTTTCATTGGCCATAATTCGTGCAAAGGTGACCAATTCGAACAAATCTAAACATATTCCAGAATTTGATGCTATTTCCGACATTTTTTTGCTTTCATTCAATAATATTAAAAAAAATGTAAAAATTTTGGCGTTTGACTTTGTTGCAGTTTTTTTATCTCGCTCTGTAAACATAAAGAAAAAGTGTTTTAACCGAAAAAATAGATTACATCCTGTAAACTTTGAGTTTTTTCAGATCGCTTTTAGAATTTTCTTGTAGCGCCAAACTATAGCTTTTCTCCTAAAAATAAAACATTGATGGAACTTTGTGCAATTTCATATGCTTATTTTGAATAGACTATTTTCGAGTCCTATATATTTAAGTCGGAAAAGAAAACTATTTTTGATAACAATCCGCTATTGCGATTTGAATATTATGAAATTTTAATTCAGGAATTATTTTTTTAGGCAGGGACTAAAGGTGAGAATGCATAAAACGTTTTTTACTGGCTTTAATCATCGGCTGATTTCTTCGTAAATAAATAGAGGAGTGTTAGGTTTTCTCAGTTCAATCTCACTTAATTTATCCTTGTTCTCCCTATGCTCCTTTGTTCTTTTTCAAAGAATACTGCCGATGATTTAAGCCAATCAAAAATGCGTTTTATGTATTCTCACCTAAAGTTTCCTATATCTCGAATTCCCTTTAAAACTCAGGAAATCTCAATATAATTAAAAATCCATGGTATTTTCAGTCTTTATAAAAAAAAACAAATATATACAAATATAAAACAGAAAATGTAGTGTTTGGGAAATTAATCTAAACATGTCGTTGACAAAACAATCTTCAAAATAATGGTCCATTATTCGACACAGTCTAATATGCTAAAATAATTCAGAAAAATAGACGATTTCATGGCCCAGAAACAATTTTGCAATCTGTCATCATCCATGGATCGGCGGTTTGTGTGGCGTTTGTTTTCAAAAGTGGAAAATATTTAATTTTTGGGATTTTATTCTCAAAAAATAAAAATAAAAAATTCTGTTTGTCTGAATGCAAAGAATGGCGCCAATAGCAATTTTAAGCTAATTAAATGGTTGTGCCACAGCACCATAACAACGGGAAGCAGCAGCAGCAAAGCGACACATCTTGTTTCGTTTTGTTTCTTCTGCTGTTCGTCTTTTTGCTCTTTAATCCAAATATTGTGGTTCTTGTCCGTCATGTCTGCTCTTCGTCATATTGGCAATCAAGTGTATAATAATTTCATTTATGATTTCATATTTGAGAATGAAAAAAAATTACCAAATATTTATATACAATAAAATTACCCTCTCCCCCACGGTGCTCTCATTTGTGGCATCAATTATTTTTTATATTCCCCCTCAAATTGATTATTATGGCGCTAAAGAACAACAACACCAAAGTTTTTTTTTTTCCAAAATGATACCAATTGATCGTCGTCTGTCGGTCTGTCTGTTTTGCTGTAGACGACACTTGTCCGCCTCCTTACCTCATCCTCCTTTTCGAGATCGCTTAAGTCATCCAAGTATGTGAGACCCAAACGTTTTTGCATACTCTCAATAACTTTGTTCAAATTTCCCACTTCGGTCTGCAGATTCGATATGCGAACGGTATGCCATATCTGAAAATAAATAAAACATTATTTCAGTTGTTGGAAAAAATCCTCAAAGAATTAAATATAAATGGTAATTGATTTCGAACGAATTCAATGCGCGTGTTAGTTCCAATCTGTGCAGATGTAATAGCAACAAAATTTAACGGATTTACAAATGTAATTAAAAAATAAAATGGTTTCGGTACTGCGTGGATAGAAAACTTAATGCTTAGAATAGTAAGCTAAACTTTTATAGATTAAGGGTGGAAATATATAAAACGTTTTTAGACTGGGTTAAGTCATCGGCGGCTTCTTCGAAAAAAAAAAAAAAAAAAAAAAAAAAAAAAAAAAGTGTCAAAATCGAATCCGACGACTTAAGCTGGACACATATGTACAGGGTGAGATAAAAAAACTGCAACAGAGTAAAACGCCATCATTTTTACATTTTTTTTTTTTTTGAATGAAAGCAAAAAATTTTGGAAATAGCATTAAATTTTGAAATAAGTTTAGATTTGTTCGAATTGGTCACCTTTGGCACGAATTATGGCCTTTAAACGTGAGGTGATCGACACTTTTGTATTTTTTAGTGCCAACCTTGCTTTCCAAAATACTCCAGACACAAGAGTCCAACGGATTAGTATCCGGAGATTTTGGTGGCCATTGTGCGCTGGAAATGAAGCGAGGAACCTCATTTTGTAACCATTCTTGGGCGGTGCGTGCTGAGTGGATGGTGCTGAGTCCTGTCGGAATGACCAAGGTCTGCGGCCAAAATGTTTGCGTGCCCAAGGCTTTAATACATCCTCCAGAATATTTTTGCGATAATATTCGGCATTTATTCTTATGATTAATACGAGCGGAGAGCGACCATCTGCTGTTATGGCGGCCCACACCATCACCATGGTGCACATTTTCAGCTGACCTCTTTGGCAAGTAAACACGATCATTTTGTTTCTTCACAAACTGCTGGACAACGAATGTTTTCTCATTGGAGAAAACCAAATTTGTCAGTTCACCATTTTCGGCCAAGCGAAGCAACTCTTTAGTCCTTTTGAGTCTATTTTCTTTCTGCTGAGGTGTAAGTTCTTGCACTTTTTGGAAATTCAATGGCTTTACTCCGAGCTCTTTTTCAATATTTGCCGAATGGAATATTGCGATGTGTTCAACTCACGAGCCATTTTTCGGCAACTGCGACACGGGTTTCGATCAAACTGCTTCTTTACTTTTCGAAGCATTTCTGCTGATGTTGCTGTTTTCTTCCGTCCACTTCCTTGACGTCGGGTTACGCTACCAGTATCACGGTAAGGAGCAATGGTACGAGACACAAAAGATTTTTTTACATATAAATGATGGAGTGCCCTAACGATAGCCACTTGTGGTTTTCCAGCCAAATATAAAGAAATCACACTATCACGCTTGAATTCCATCACGAATAACTTTTTTCTCGAAAATTCTCACCAAAATGATTTTGTACGCTTGTAGACAATATAATGATCTGTCACTGGAATAATTTTAACAGCTGTGGCTTAGAAATGACGGCTGTCTGAAGTTGGTTGCGGGTTTTCCATCTCACCCTGTACTTATATTGACCTTTTTCCTACTCAATAAACCCCAAAATACATATCAGATCGATGAACAACTTAAGATCCTCATTATGAACGCACTTTTATTTCTAATCACATTTTTAATAACTTTTTAATTCTTAAATTTAAATAATATTTTTTTCTGTTTAGCGGGGGAGGAAAACAATTAAAGTTTTCTAAACCAAACATCTCACTAGCGTTGTCCCCTTTATCTTGTGTCTATTTCTTTATTTGGTTTCTTTATAGAGGGGGATGAAAAAACTTCTAATCCAAAGATCTCCCTATCTAGTGTCAATTCCTTTCCCGGAAATGTAGGTGGATGCAAATGACTATTCACTGCATCCATTCAGTGTTGACTGTGAACTTACCGTAAGACCCAACAACGAAGTGATCAGCACCACCACAAGGGCACTTGCCGCAATTGCAAGAAAGCAACGGCTACTTCGACTGTGAACGGATGAGGCACTTGAATGGGATGTTGTCACATAATCAACACTGCCGGGTGTTATGAACGGCTTAAGAGTTTCAGCGGTCATATTTGGAGATGTAGCAGTCGTAGCAGCAGACTGGAAGCAAGTACAATTAAAAGTTTAATTAAAAAACAGAGACGAGTTTAATTCGCTCTTGGCAACTTGGAGTAGAAGAATGTTTTTGTTTCTTTGGCTTCTTTTGTCACTTCTAAATTGTTGCAGTAGTTTTATTTTGTGTTTATTATTTTTTTTTATTGTTTTAATGATCACAATTCAAGGAACACATCTGTGTGCATGATATCGCACATGGACACAATTCCGAAGGGTGCGACAGCACAGACAAAGTTCACTGTTTTGGCAAAACTTGTTTCCTGGCTTGACTTTCTTGCTGGCGTGGACACTAAAGTAGATGTTTGTGTTTTATGTTGCACAGCAGCCTCCAGTGATCATGACATGGAGTTTACTTTGATTGCAAATTCTAATGGAAATACCACGACACTTTGTTTTTTTGTGAAATTTATCGATGGACACAAGTTTCTATTCAATTCTATTTTTTGTTTTTCGCCTTTTCATTCATTCATTCACATCCACAAATATTTATCATTTGCGGCATTTGTATTATTTCGTTGTTATCATCACTTAAATTAAAAGAGATTTTGTGGTCTTTTTGAGATCATGGGACGACAACAACGCAGAAAAACAAAAACACACAACACGCTCTGCCACCAGACTTCTTTACGATCCGATTTGTCGACGACGACTGAATGGAACAACTTTGATGCGATGTCCGTTCGTTCTTATGACCCGCACGCGACTGATTTTTATTTCCTTGCGTGTTTTTGTCTTTCCCCAGAAGAAGTGATCAGTGTGAGACTAGACGGTGCTGTGCTCATTCGAATTGACACAGCCAGCCAGACACCGCTCTGATGATGTCCACTCTGTCGATCGTCCACACAGAGCGCACACAGTAGCAATGGTAGCAGCATTGTGTCCATCCATCCGACTGGCCCAGTGCTCTTTTCTTCGTTTACAGGAGTAGTGAAAATCTCCTACGACCTGCACACATTCACACTTCCGTGTTGAATGTGTGGCAGGGGTAGGCGTTTGTGTTGGTTGAGAGCACGGGGTTGTAAGTGGCAAGGCCCAGGTAAAGAGGGCATGAAATGAAAACATTCTTGGCTTTGATTTTGAAAATAGATCCCTGTGATTGTTTTTCTGAAGGAATTCAGTCAACCAACTTCTAAGAGAGGAAGGTAGTGTCATATCTTACAGGGTGATATGAAAAAACTGCAACCAGACTGCTGTCATTTCTAAGCCACTCGTCCGACAGCTATTAAAATTATTCCAGTGATAGCTCATTGTATTGTTTACAAGCGTACAAAAGCATTTTGGTGAGAATTTTCCAGAAAAAAAGTTATTCGTGATGGAATTCAAGCGTGATAGTGGGATTTCTTTATGTTTGGCAGGAAAACCACAAGTGGCTATCGATGAAGCACTCCAGCATTTAAATGTGAATAAATCTTTTGTGTCTCGTATCATCGCTCGTTACTGTGATACTGGTAGCGTAGCCCGACGTCAGGGAAGTGGACGGAAGAAAACAGCAACATCAGCAGATATGGTTCGAAAACTAAAGAAGCGACTTGATCGAAACCCGCATTGCAGTGGCCGAAAAATGGCTCGTGAGCTGAACAGATCGCAATATTCCATTCGGTGTAAAGCCATTTAAATTCCAAAAAGTGCAAGAACTTACCCTACAACTGAAAGTTAATAGGCTCAAAAGAGCTAAAGAGTTGCTTGCCGAATTTGGTTTTCTCCGATGAGAAAACATTCGTTGTCCAGCAGTGTGTAAACAAACAAAATAATCGTATTTACTTTGCAAATAGATCAGCTGAAAATGTGCACCTTCGCCAAAATACCACAGAACAACATTCATGTAGCCTGTGACGGTTTCATTGGCCGTTTGAAGGCCATAATTCGTGCCAAAGGTGACCAATTCGAACAAATCTAATTTTTTTGTTTTTTTTTTTTGAAATTTGATGCTATTGCCGACATTTTTTGCTTTCATTCAATAAAATTTAAGAAATATAAAAAAGATGGCGTTTGACTTTGTTGTAGTTGTTTTATCTCACCCTGTATTTTGCTAATCATTCCGCCCTACCTTGTAATTATTGTAACATGCTATTAAGACCGTCAAAAACATTTATGGGCCTGTTTCGTCTAACCTCTTTTTAAAAAGGCAAGCAAAATATATATATATTTTTTGGCGCAGTAATAATTATTTAAATGGGGTTTTCAGTTCCACACAAACTAACGCTCCTTCTGTTAGAGTTGTGTCGTTCCGGAACTATTTCAAAGGAATTATATCCAGCTTTTTCGTTCTCATAGTTCAATTTATTCATTTCTTTTTTAAATCGTTCATTTCGTTCCTTGGTCCTACTACAAAATTTTTTCTTCTTTATAATTCTTGAAAAACTTTTCGTTTTTCTCTTGCACTTATTGTATTAATGGAAGGAAATACTTGAATAAAGAAACGAAATACAACGATCCACTATTTTAACTAATTCTAGAGAATATCCACAGTTTTTGCGTTATCCGGATAGTTCGATCTTATGAAAATTAAATTATGAAAAGATTTTGATTTTTTTAACAATAAAGGCCCCATAAGAAAATAATGTTTGCTTTAAATATTCCACTGTTTTATTGAGTGTACCTGTATCTGTGCCAAAGAGTCTGGCAAAGGCGGCAAGAGAAGAGAAATAGTGTTGAGTAGAATAAAAAAATGACGAAGATCTTTGATTTGTCGACAAACAATGTTCTCGATGTCGTTTTTTGTCTCCTTCAAAGTAAATGAGAGAATAGAACCCAATGTGTTGAGGGATTTTTGCAATTATTTTTGTTTTGTTTTTATTTTTCTTTCCTTTAACAGCAGCCGCCCCTATCCGGCTTTCTTGTTTATGGCTGCGTGTGTGTTGTTATTTAATTTCATTTCATTTCTTTTTTTGGTTTTATGTGTGTGAAAATGATTTAAACACAAATTTGAATTCACTTAATGACATTTGGGTTTTAATGTTGTGTTAATTACCGATCGAGGGTTGTTTATAGTTGTATATGTTTTTGTTTTTGTCACATAGTAAAAGAGTTGGAATAAACAACAATTGTAAGGAGTATTTCTGACATATGGAAAAGTGATATTTGTGTGTTAACACAAATTTCTTGGCGGACGAAATTTGCTTGGTATCCTAGTGGATGTTACTGATGTCTTTACTATTTAGAAATGTTGAAAATTTCTTTGAACCTATTTTTTTGTTTTGCATAATTTTGTTGTAAAATTCCTAAATTCAATTCACTTTCCAGAACCGGAAATCAATCTATTCAAATTTATACCTTTGACAAGATGTAATTGTCAAAACGTTTATCCATAAATCCATTCTATATGCACACATCTTGCACCTGTTTTCAATAAAGTTTATTTTAACAAAGTTAATTACAGAAAATGCAGGGATTGATGGATGGATACATAAAAATTTTGAAATGCCTTAAGGACGATAATATTAACAATATCTATATTAATTTGTATACCTTCCACCATACATAGTATGGAGGGTATATTAAGTTCGTCATTTCGTTTGTAACTCATCGAAATAATCATTTTAGACATAACAAAGTATATATGTATATTCTTGATCAGAGAAATATATTAAAACGCTTTAGCCCTGTCCGTCCCTCCGTCTGTTGCAATCACGCTAGAGTCAGTCTTTTGTCTGCAGGCAGGTCAAATTTCGAAGATGGGCCATATCGGTCCTCGATAACGTATAGCCCCCATACAACGGTACCCCCAAAATTCGGTATTTGGATGATTTTAGCCATATTTTCCAATGGAATTGTCTGAAAATCCACACAAGGAGTTCTTTCTGAGTACTTTACCCTCTGAAAGAGAATTATTTATATAGGTCCACGATATCGTATAGCCCCCATACAACGGTATCCCCGATATTCGGTGTTTTGATGATTTAAGCCACATTTTCCAATAGAATTGTCTGAAAATCCACACAAAGAGTTCTTTTTAAGTAATTTACCCTCCGGAAGAGAATTACTTATATAGGTCCACGATATCGTATAGCCCCCTTACAACGGTACCCCAGATATTCGGTATTTTGATTATTGTATCCAAATTTTTCAATAAAATTGTATGAAAATCCACATAAGTGTTTCCTTCTGAGTACTTCATCCCCTGGAAGATTATTGTCTATAAAGGTCCACGATATGGTTTATCCCCAATATGACGGTACCTTCCTATATTCGGTATTGTGATGATTTTAGCAACACTTTTCAATGGAATTGCCTAAAAATCTATACTAGAAGTTCTTTCCAAGCACTTCACTCCCTGGAAGAGAAATGTCTACATAGATTCAAGATATCGTAATACCCACATGCAGGTCCAGGCTTTCGTACAAGCCCCGTATATCAATACCTCCCTGAATTCGGTATTTTGATGATTTTAGCGACATTATTCACTGCATTTTTTTCAAGTTTCATTTTTGAATATTGAAATCGCGTATGAGAAATCTTTCCTATGCATTTTCACGTCTTCGTATAGACTCCAATATAATGGCTATATTCGGTATTTTTAAGATTTTAACAGGATTTTTGGCGAATGTTATATTTTTTGAACATTTCCAAATTCGTTCCAAAAGGTGGAGGGTATTCAAAGTTCTGTAATACCTTTTCTTACCATTTAAAAAAACATAAAGTAAAAATTAAAATAAAAATTGTCAGCTCTTTGAGTATATAAATGTTGATATTCCGAATGTAGTCTTTCCTAGTTAACAAGTTGTTTAATACAAGACCACTTTTTGCATTTGTTTTGATAGTAATTACCATCCATACAGGAAAGTCCATATACTTCTAACTTTCTCTAACATGTCCTACCCTTGTTTTCATTGTATCATGCAAGCTCCCAGACTTAAGGCTCCATTACTGTTTCGCAAAATGAAAACAAATAGAATATTTCCAATTAAAAATTAAAAGAAAATAATGACGGAAACATTAGAATTTAATCTGAATTATCTAAGCTAATGGAATCTGTTTCCATTCAGATACATTTTGTACGCAACATCGTGAAAACGACCAAACGCATTGTAACCATTAAAACCAAACCAAAATTATTTCAATGCACCATCCTCCAGCTATGACGACCAAAAGTCTTATCTGACCAATGTTTCAATTTGTCGTTTATGGTCAGGCATAAAAGACATTCGCTTTTGTCTTTTCTTTCGCCTCACGTTACAAATACCCAAACTCCTGCTACAATTACCAAAAACAAATGTCAAAATACATTTGTGCTCGTGACATTTACGAGATAACAATTCGTCCGCTCATTCGTGGATTTTCCCAAAACAGAAGAAAATTATCACCGAAAAAAAGTATAACCGAAAACATGTTTACAAGACTCTGCTGCACATTATCATCATTCCTGCAGTCAATTATCCCATTCAAAATTCTATGAGCGTTGTTCTTCGACCATTTTCTGTTCGAACAAATCTGAACAATAAAAGCGAAGCGAAAAATTCCCCAAATCTCATTTTAATTTGTGACTGATAAACCGTAAAACAATGACAATAATTATTATTAATAATACATATTAATGAACTTTTGAACTCTAAAGAAATAAGTACGTATGAATGTTTTTGTATTTGTACGCCATTATTGAGATTAACATTTGTATGTATGTGTCTGTGGTATAACTAGGTCTGGTTATTATCAAAATATTAAAGATTTTTTTTATTAGAGAGAGTGTATGTTAGAAAAAATCACAAACTAATTATACGCTTTCCAAACACAAATTATTTCTTTAATGATTTAAATGATGAAGGGATTTATTGTGCGGACTTGAGATTTATTGTTGTTTACCCTCCTTATCACTTAACAAATGTTCCAGATTTAAGTTTATGTTACCATTGATTCATCGAAAAAACATAATCTAGTTGTATTAATCTAAATGGCGAAAGTTGCCTTTGATACCAACTTTTATCCAAAATATGATCTTATTAGGACTGCAAATTATAAATTTGAGATATGTTACAATTAAAAAAGCTGGGGCCGAACTTTGAATACCCTCCACCATTTGGAACGAATTTGGCAATTCTCAAAAACAATAAAATCTGTTAAAAATTCTTTTGAAATCTTAAAAATACCGAATGTAGCTGTTATATTAGGTCTATATGAAGACATGGACCTACATAGGTAACTTTTGTCAAAAGCCATTACAATATTCAAATGCGAAACTTAAAAAAAAAATCGGTGAATAATGTAGCTAAAATCATCAAAATACTGAATATCGGGAGGTACCGTTATATGGGGGGTATACGAAGAGGTGAACCTGCACATACAATCTCCTGTCATAGGCTGTGGGGGGCTATAACGAACATCAAATACCAAATATGAAAGAATTCCAATGAATATTGTCGCTAATATCATCAAAATACCGAATATCGGGAGGTACCGTTATATGGGGGCTATACCAAAACGTGGACCTACATCGCCCATTTTCACTACCAAAAGTCCCGCAGACATAATATACATTTAAGTAAAATTATATCAATCTACTTCATTTCGTTCGGAAGCAAGAGTGACTTCCACAAACGAGTAAACAAAAATATATATGCTTTGAGGGGTCTAAAATGTATATTTCGAGGTTTTACAAACGGAATGACATAGAGTGGATAGTAAAAATATTTTGGACTTCTTGGCGCCGATTGAAGTACTGTATTCAACTTTTAGAATAGAAACTCAAAAATTAAATGTTTTAATAATCATTATAAAAAAAGAATATATCTGAATAGAGTTTTCAAACTGCATACATAATGCATAGTAAATCTTGTATTTACCAAAGAAATACAATAGACAATACAATTACATATGTTCATATACATATCACTTACTTATAAATTTCAGCAGCCACTCATTTTCGTACTAATTACTCGACATTCATTCAGAAAGAATTTTCCCAAAGCCATAAAAAAGATCATTGCATTTATTATGTTTATCTAGGTTCACTGACGCAAGTCGATAATCGTTTTAAAATGTTTTCAAGCCTACAATGTCTAATTGACACGAGAACGTATTACAACATTTATGAATGGGCGATCTATTGTATTGATGGGTGAAAGAATACGCCTCTCTACATCTCTCCCTCTCTTTGTGACGAAGACCAGGTATAAATGAACTAAAATTGTTGTAGTTGGCACATCATGATGAATCTAATTTACGGGTGTGAGTAGAAGTAAACAAAACTTTTCTTTCAGTTTTCTTTTTAAGAAGGGAATGCACCATGGTTGGGAGAACGCATGGGTAAGTAAATGAATTCATCCTTCATCAAGCAAGGCTATTTTATTTACCTAGTTATATTTTCGACAATGTTTAATTCAATAGACTTATCAAAATACGGATCGAAGATAGAATACATGTGATTTAAACTTAGTAATAAGCCACCCTTTTCATTTTACTGCGAAGATAAATTCAAACTTTTCTCCCTTATTAGCAAAAATATACAAATTGTACCTTTTTGTAACTGTTTAGAGAAATCCCATTCCAATGCTAGAAAAACTAGTTAATCTTTTTTTCTTTTTACTTAGTATGCTCACGGCTGAACATTTTAAAATAACACAGCAAATTAAAAAGGAAAAGTATAAAATAATAATACATTAGTGCGAATACAAACTTAGTTCGTCTCAAAAGAGAAATATGACATCATAAACATACGATCATCTCTTGAACAAGAGAAAATTCATTTTCTCCGAGAAGTCAATTTGTTTAATGATGCTTACTTAAATAAAAAGTCTAACAATAAATTACTGCCTGGCATTTATTTTGGTAATTTAAAAAAAAAATTCTCTTTAAAGCATTGCAACAACCTACAGATGGCGCAATTTAAAATGCATAGTCTATAACTTGGCAGCACTTATTTCGGTAACTCTTTGCATCATTTCGATTATTTGACTGTGAACAAATCGAAAAATGTATCATTTCACAACATTCCGCCCATCACTAACCATATGAAAACATTATAAAACCACAATTCCGGGAGCACAATGTCGTCCATACGTTTACTTCGACAGTTTTCAACAAATTCTTTGAATTTATCTATAAACAAAAATGCTATTGGTGGCCGGAGATTAGTGGAAGGTGTTGCTGTAGCCCCTCATGGAAAAACTATTGTTGCCTGGCATCCGGATCCTTCGTACCCATATGAATTTACAAAACCTCTGCCCGCTGCTACTGAATCACAGTCAACATCATTGATGAAGGAAGAATCACTGCGAAATGCAATGAGTGCCTTCAAAGACAAACGTCCCGAAGTGGCACGTGCGGAATTGATGCGTTTAACACATACAACCAAGCACAGATGGTTCCCCCGTTCCAGAGACAAGAAGGCTAAGGACACTCCAATGGATAGACCTTATTTGTAAGCTTTCCTATCTTAGCGGCATCATTGTTTATAAAATAAATGAGGAAAAAAACTTGTTGAATATATCATAAAATAAACTATTATTTTAATTATACTTTGAATTATTGAAATTGTGCCTGTGAATGAATCAGCAGAGCAACATACAGTCTCTGTCATATCCCAACTTACCAAAATGGTTTGAGAATAATATTACAATAAGCTTAAGAATATAAGCCTTAAGCTTGAGAAAAAAAATGAAAAATGTTTTCAAATAATAAATAATCGAAATTGAACCATTATTTATAAGCTTATACTAGTAAATGTAGAATAAGCTTACGAAATTAATAATATATTAATCTTTTTTGTAATGGTACAAAATATATATATTTTAATTATTTTACACATTTCATTCATTGATGGTCTCTGCCTCCTGTGCTTTAATAGCTATACGCTTTCTTTGTCACGTCAAACTATTTTCATAATATTATTCTCAAGCTGTATTGCATTTTTGGTATGTTGGGATATATTTAGAAAGATTTCGTCTGCAGAATAGACTGTCAATATTTCTTTCTGTTTTCAAAATACCCCGTAATGGTGCCATACATCACTTAAATGATGCTACTGATTTTGAATTGTCGCCTGTTAGTTTCTAGTCTAGAATCACTCTAATTTACACTTATAGCAGTCCAAAGAAAATAAATCACAGTCAAACAAATATTTGGTGTTCACCAGGAATTCTTATAATAATTACTATGTGAGTCACTTTTGTGGTCCTGGATGACTGGAGTGTCAATTATCCGTTTATAAAAAAGGGCATTATTCCTACAAAAAATCAAAAAGATATAACACTTATTTGTGGACGAAGGAATACAACACTTTTCAGCGGAACAATGTATTGAGACATTAAAATTGTATTCATCATTTAAAGCCTTTTGTCCCTATAAAGCCTCGATCAACTCTCGTTGGTGTATTCCAACCATCCATTGTCAGGAATGTTTAACATATGTTTATAGCTCTGATGGCTCAGGAATCTGAATAATAATCTGATTGATTAACAAATTAGACGAACAAGGTAATCGTTTATCCAGTGAAATTTACTTAATGACTTTTTCCTACCCAAAGACATATTATTTTTTCTAATTTGTTTTCTTTTTTTCATTTTCAATAATTTTACTAACCTTTTGAGAATGGTTCTAAAATTATTGAAAATGTGAAAAGAAAACAAAAGCAAGTATTCAACCACCCAAAGCGATAAGTCCATTGTACTAGCAATCAGTCAGCTGTTTTGTCAAAATTGTTCTCTAAAATCGCTCTCTTTTGTAGATTTCAGTTCCGTTATAATATAACATAATGCTATGTCACGATATGTTGACAATGTCTCCTATTGAATTAAAGTAACAATGAAATGATCCATATTATTATTATATTATATGTCATTGAAGACGACTGACTTCGAGTAAAAATTTGCAACAATTGTTACAAATTTTAGGGTAACCAGACACACCTAATATGGCCACTTGAGACAGTAGTTAGTGGAAACGTATAGCGCATCCGAAACAACCATATGTTTTCCGTAGTAGTCGACACTTTCCTAGTTGTTTACTTTTTAGCTCATATGACACTGACATTTTGACAACAAACAACCTTCTTTGTCATAGTTTTTAGTTCGTCTACGGCAACCCTACACTTTGTATTTTTTTTTGCAAATTTTCTTCGTTCTGTAATTAAAATGAAAAAAACATAAATTATTGATGTGATTTCAAAAACAAAACATTCGGATGCTATTCTCGGAACAACGCAGAGTGTCAAATTATTAAAATATAAACAAAAGAGAAATTATTTGCATCAACAAAACGAGAAATCGGAGACGACATTTTCTGCGATTCTATGGACAGACAAATGATGATGAAGTCCCCAACAACAGCAACGACGACAAAGGGATAAAGTTATGCGTCAGCAAATGTTTACATACAGTTTGGATTCGAAAACCCCAATAGTGTCTGAGTAGAAAGTAGAAGTTGAAGGACAAGTGAGTCGTGTGAGTGAAGGAGTCCGGGATAGCTAGCTGGGTATTGCGTTGCAAGATTTACGAAAACAAAATTTTAAAAACGTTTGCCACACATTCCCATAATCAATTATGTATTAGGCTTTTGAAAGTTCCCCCGTCGTCTGCCCCCACATTGAAACAACACCTTTTAGCAAGTAGAAGAAATTGTTAGCTCTCGGTCGTCATAAATATTACTAAAGTCGATCAAATTTTTTTACATACACACATATGTATATACATAACAGACTACATATGTGTGTACGTTGTACATCGTAATTAAAAAGTGATATTAATATAATTAAAAATCGGGATACTCTTTAAGTATAAATAACTCTGTCGTCGACTAAGAAGTGTTGAAGTGGTGGTGGTGGATATGACATTTTGATTGTTGGTCCAATAATTGTTCTTTTCTTTATTTTAAGTTTTAAAGACAAATTTAAGCACCATCGCAGCAGGCAAGTTCTCGATTCAACGAAACAGTCGGCAGAGTAACTGATAACGGTGGTGGTCGGGTTTCAGACAACTTGGTGATTTGGTCAGTCACCATGGAGTCCGCCGATGTGCTGATGGAGGAGAAGAAGCTTATGGCCGAGGCAAAGTATCGCAACTACATGTCAAATATTGATAAGGCATTGAGGAATTTTGAATATTCCAGCGAATGGGCGGATTTAATATCGGCATTGGGCAAATTAAGTAAGGTATGAAGGCGAATGGTCAGCGTGTGGTGAATCACACGCTCAATGTTGTTATCAGTGCAACCATTATTAATATAATACATTTGTTTTTGCAGGCCATTTCCAGCAACACTCAATATCAAATAATACCAAGGCGCATAAAGATTTCAAAACGTTTGGCACAATGCATGCATCCAGCATTACCTTCTGGCGTCCATTTGAAAGCATTGGAAACATATGGAGTTATATTCGGAAAGACGGGACCAGAGCGGTTGGCGACGGAATTGTTTATTTACAGGTAAGGTACTAACAATTAAGACAATCCCAAATATCTCACCCAAAGCTTTTCGATTTGGCATTGCTTATCGTTGCAAAAAATATTGATATAGGAAGTTTTTCTTCTATTATTTTCCAGCTCTGGCCTGTTTCCTCTGCTGGGATATGCCGCCATGAATGTGCGCCCAGCCTTACTGGGTATATATGAAACGTATTTTGTTCCGCTTGGTGAAAAATTACGTCCAGCTTTAAGCGGCTTTCTAAGTGGAGTTTTGCCAGGTTATGAATGCGGTTTGGATCATTTTGAACGTACAAGCTCCTTATTAACTCAGGTTTGCCAAGCCGTTAACCCCACACACTTTTATACCGTCCTCTGGGAATGTGTGGCCACCAATGCCCCCGTTCGTCTACCAGCCATTACCTATTTGTTGGAGCATTTCAATAAACGCATGAGTATGCAGGAGCAAATCTATGTTATGGGCCATAACCGCGACATCATGATGTCGGGTCTGTGCGCCTGCCTCAACGACAATGTAATTTTGGTGCAACGTAATACTTTGGAATTTCTTCTGTTGGGCTTTCCAATGCATACCAAGCTCTTGTCAGAAGCCGATCTAGCAAAACTGGTTACAAATGCCCTAAACACCATACTCAGAAGGGATATGTCGCTGAATAGACGTTTGTATTCATGGCTATTGGGTTCGGAAATATTGAAGAACTCACCAACATATGAAACAGAACCATCAATAGCAATATCAAGCACTGACGGAGATGGCGGAGACATACAAACTGAATCGTACTTTGAAAAGCATTCGAGACATGTTGTTATCCAAGCCATTATAACAACGTTAAAGTTTAGCTTGGAATGCACACCTGTTGACTTGAAGCCATATCGCATTATGGTCTCACTCTTGGACAAGGCCGAAATAGGCAGTGCCGTGTTAGATTATGTCCTATGCGACATTATACGCACCATGTCTTTATCGATTGGAAATGTGGAGGTTATTAAATCGTCCAACTTGCTTTTTGCCACATTCGATCCAGCTTATATATGGAGTTTTATGACAACTATGTTCGAAAAAGCTTGCAAGAAGGTAAACATGTGACATTTAAAATCATCTACTCTCTACTCCTAGCATATTGTGTGTTTTTTTTTTTTTTTTGCAGACAAAACGATCGCAACAGGATTCAGATAAAGCTAGGAAATCGTACACACGCTCAAATAGCAATAGTAGTAGTGGTGGTGTTGGAGGAGAACAACGTTTCCAGTGTGTTGTTGGGTCCGGCGATCCCAGTCTAGTGGAAATATGTTTTCTAACTGAATTCTTGCTGGAGACAATTTCTCTCGAGATGTACAATGAGACGACGCGTATTTATTTGCCCAAAGTATTTCTGGCCATAACACAAATGCTGACAGTGCACCTAGAAAACTTAAACGACGATGAGATTATTGCTTCTCTAAAGCTCTGCATGAAAATCGTTTCCAGGGTGCAGCCAATGATAACGTAAGTTTTTCGATACAATCCAATATATGTGTCAGGAATGTGTGAAATCACCCCTAATCTTTTAATGATAGGAGTCCAATTAAACTTTTACCACGTTCACAACAAAATAAATCTGCAAGCGATGACAAAAATGCCAACAACACAGCACGGTCCCAGCCGATTTCAGCTTTGATGGGGGCAAATGCATTGGAGAAGAGTAAGTCAGATTCAAAACTGGACCAATTTGCCAATCAAGATGGCCACTCCCACACCATGTCCCTAAATCATGACGAAGACAACATCCGAAGATGTAATTCCAACCAGCATATGGAACGGAAAAGCCCAACCAAAAAGAAGAAAGCTAAATCCTTCTCAAAACTTTCAGAGTTGGACAAAGAGGTAAGATTAGATGATTTATGGGTATATGAACAACAATATATAATGAAAATATCTCTTTAGATTTGTCCCGACACAGGAGAAATTATAGATCCTCGACAATCGTCCTCGGATTTGGACACTCCAATCAGTATAAAGAAAATCAAAGCAAAGGGAAAGCAAGCTCAAAATCGACTACGCATGAGCCCGAAAAAATCGAGACCCCATGAATTGGTATTGACAGAAAATAAGGCAGTCGCTACTGGCTCCGATGTACATTCCAACAACGGGAGCAGAATAGATACACCCGTTAGTGGTGATTATCAAGAGGATGAACCTAAAAGTGCTCCATTGGAACAAATCTCCAAACAGCAGGCCGAGGGATTTATTTTTAACTATCAGGAGGTAAATAGGGCAGGAGAGGAAGATGTACAGGACACCAGTAACAACTATATGGCCACAGCAACTATTCTGGAGAAATGTATTAAACAATATGAAGTATTTTTTGAGGTGTACCTCTGTCATAAAGTACTGAATATACCTCAGCAGGCGCCAGTTGATGACACCAAGTGTCCCATAAGAGTCCAAGTAGAAAAACAAGAAACTATCAATGATGTAGCGAAAATACCCAATGTTGAAAATATATTTAAACATGAACACGTCTATGAGGATTTGAACCCATGTAGATTACTCGACATTGACAATCTGTTTGAAACCTTGAAAATACACATTGTTAACCGTTCTAAGCAGTTGCACTCATTGTTGAATCGATCGCTGGTGGATGGTCAGTCAGAAAATACAGACGGCAGTGAAGACGGAGAGGAGGGTGCAATTTATGAACTGGATGATGTGACCAAACAGCGTCTACAATCCCTTTTGGATTTACAATTGGTCCCTTCACTGAGGCAAGCCATAAAACTGTCCGTCAATCTTTTGGTTGAAATGTCAACATTCCCGAATTGTAACAAAAATATAACACTGGAGAAAGCCGGTAAGCCTACATGAATATTCTTTAGTACCACCAACAATTACTTATCTCTCTCTTCGTATGTCTTTACAGAAAAGGAATTACCCAGTTGGCTAAAAGTTCTTTGTATTATTGCTTGCTATAGTCAGAATGACAAAGAATTGCAATTATCGGCCATTACGACATTATTCGACCTAATAAGGTAAGGAGATCAGACAATGTGGATTCCGTTGGGAAGAGCAATAAATGTATTTGTCAAAATGGTTTCTTTTTCAGTCTTCTCAAATCTCAAATAGAACACACCACCAGTCCTGGGGTGACATATGTAGTTATGCTACCCCTGCTCAAATTCGGCCATGTCCACTATATAGAGCGACGCACGAGGGTGTTCCAGCTTTTGACCTCGAATCTATGGGACTACCTGGGGGAAATGGATGTGGACAATACTCAAGTGTGTGCTTTACTCTATCAACTGCATAATTGCCTTGAAAGTGGTCTTGTCGAGCGCATCATCGACAATCGAATGTATGCCAAGACCATGCAGCAACATTTCACTGCTGCCTACGATACTGTGGAAGGCAATATGGGTGTTTTAAGAAAGACTGCGGCGAAGAACTTGCGTTCAGCCTGGAATTCATATAATTTCGACAGAGCAACTGACATCCATATGATGTGCGTAACCCCCACACTTATGGTAAATCGTGCAGCAATTGAGCAATTGACTGAAAGTGAATCAATCAGTTTCAAGAAGTATGAACTTCTGTGGCACTTGGGACGCGATAAGCAACAAACCAGAGGCTTTGAGAAGATTCAATTCAAAGTCTTGGACACATTAGCACTGCCTCCGTACATGTCAGTAAGGACATGTGTAACTAAGTGGCTGCAATCTGCCCTGTTGAGGGGCGATCTTTCACGATTGGTAAAGCCATTGTATAAAATACTCTTGGCCTCGAACACAAAACGTGTGGGAATTGTCCATTTGCATTTGCTGCGCAAGGGCTCTGACGAAACTGGTTCTGATGTTGCCAAAGATTCGTTAGGGAGCAGATCCAAAAACCTCAATTCAGGCGACGTTGATAGCTCAGTCGAAGCTGATGTATATGCTGTCAGTTCGGAATATGGCAATATCCGTTATATAACTGATTCGACGAGTCACAACAAAAAACGAAGTCCCATTCGTTCAATACAAAAGAAAATCTTTGGCGTGTCGTTGAGCAGTAAAAATAAAACCTCAAATTTTGTAAGCGACCAAACCCCGACTTCAACATCACCCAATGTCAGCGCTTTGGACCCAGCTTCATTGCCGACAACAACCATAGGTCTCATTGTAAATCCTTTGGAAAATTCTTTGGACTTTGACGATGAACAAGAACCAGAAGAGCTAAAGAAAAAGGTAAAAACATTACACATCCGTTTTCATTTTGGAATGTTTTAAACTTTAAATTTCTATTTAGATGGCGATGGACGACTATGACCCTGAAGAGCTAGACGAAGAAGATGAAAATGATGATCCACTGTGTGAACAAGATTATACGGATGATTCCGACAGCAGCCTTTATGATTCGGAGTCAGAACAAAGGGAAACTAGTGCCGAGAAAGACGATTCCATTACTGCTCAAAGCTCTGAATATGAGAATAAAACAAGACTTAAACGTTTTGTGGGTCCAATCGAAAGCGTTACAGATCTTTTGACCCAACATGAGCGCACGAAAAATCGCAAAACGTATCATCTAACACGCGAGAAGACACCGGGGGAAACAAGTTTGACCTCTACAACGACCGAAGAACAAGGACCCCTGTCTTTGGAATTGGAGCAGGATAATGAAGAGGAGGAAGTCCACCCGGCCGATGAATATTTCGACAACAGGAGCGAGGAACGCCAGGTGGAATCATTTGTGGATGATTTAATTGATCAAGTTAAGGATACATCAATTTCTTCAAGCAAACGTAAAAAGGGTCCCAAGAATCAGTTGAAGAAGAAGTTGCGGTCTAAAAAACTGACGGGCCAAGATAAAATGGATAAAAAACGAATGAGTTGTATATCTAAAATCTCCACAGACAGCAACAATAGTTTCACCACTGGAGAGATTGCCAAGGAAAACGACGACGAGGAAGATAGCTGCAGTAAGTTTATAAATATAGAAGAAAAGAGAAAAGCTCTAAATCTGGAAACGTCTAAGTCGTTGACCAAGGAGTGGGAACTAACACCTGAGACGCTAGAGAAAAGCAAGCAAAATTTGGAAATCTTACGACAGTCGGCATCGTCACAATTGCTCAAACACGACTTGTCCAGCAAGCGTTCATCGACCAAAAGTAGCACCCTCTCATATGACGGGGGTTCAAAGCGCCTGCAAACTGAAAAGTTACTTCCCCTATTCCAAAACCACATGCTCATTTACATGAATGTGTACGACAGCAAACAGACCCTGTACGCGTTCCATACCTTGCGCAACATAATTTCATGCGACACGCGCACTTTCCTCTGTCTGTCTATAACCACTTCCCTATCGAGTGGTTCTCTGAAACAACTACTGACGCGACATCGCAAGTGCATTGCAGGAAAGGGATTTATGGGTAGTATTACCACATCGGAGTTTGCCCAAAGCTATCGAGGATGCATGCATCTGGAGGTTTTATTGCTATTGTGTTTGTTTTATGCACGCGGATTCTTTCATGTTGAATCACACGACGCTGCCAGCGAACCGCCTACAAGATCGGATATATTGGGCAATTGTCGAGTCCAATTGGAGAGCGTCGAACTGCTAACTTTGATTTGCACAGAACTCATTGAAATTGTCAAGGGAATGGGCAAAGGTTTAGCCTGCTATCTGGCAGACTTGATGGCACGGTGCAAACTGCAAAAGGTCATTTTACATTGCCTCAACTCGTCGGTAAATACTTATGGCCATATCTATCCCGGTTCAACGATGGCCGAACAAATAATAAACTTTAATAACCCCCATGACGACAACCTTCACGCCGAAGCCTTGCAAATTCAACTTTTACGCTTGCTCATGGTTGTCATTAAGCTGGAATATGAAGTAACGCTTTTGAAAAATGATGCTGGCCTTGCTTCCGCAAATGAGCAATCGGAATCGGGCAGTATATCTCCGACTCGCCTTTCATCGTCGGAATCTCAACTGACATCGGTAAAGTATTTGCCAAACTGTGTGATTAGCCAACAGCCAATGTTTCTATCGGCTGTATTAAGTGCTTTGCAGGATGAACGCCTGCAGCCTTTGCATCACAACTGGACAGAGTTGGTAACGTCGTCGTTAAATTGCTTCAAGTTTGGTTCGCTCACCAATATAGTTATAAGCGTTGTCCATCAACTGTGCAATAATATTGATCAGCTAACAAAAATGAGACTCAACGACCAGAAAGGTCTGCCGCCCGACTACGTTATTTCGCAACTGGAAGCAATTACCATATTGTGTCATTACTGTTTGCTGGACAACACACAACAAACCACGCTATCACAGCTATTTAACCAGGCATATCCGCAAACAAGTTCCATAGCATCACAAAACTCGAATACCGGTCAACTGTTCAATAGCATTGTGCATTCCTTATTACCCGGAGGTCCTTCATCGGGAACCTCTGCAGCAAATCAGGCCGACTCACAGGCACCCAAAAACTCGCAGCTGCTGGCAGCCCGCAATGCAGTCCTATCACATTTGCCGCGTATAGTGTCCAGTGTGGCTGCTGTTTGGGATAGCGACTTGGGTCAAATCCGTCAGATTAAACAGCAGTTAATGGAATTCCTGTCTCCCATATCGCTGCACCATGGCTGCAACTTCCTGGCAGCAATCGCCGTAACATGGCAAGAAAGGGGAGAGACTCATCGCAAAAAGTCAGCCAATGAATACAAAAATCTTTCTATAGCTCAGCAATATCAAAGAAATTCAGTGCCTCAAGCCTGTAACGAACAGCTTAGCCTGGTATCACTCGTCTCTAGCATTCGAGTGATGCCAATGGACTCGTTCGTCCAAACACTACACCAAGTTGTAAAATCTCCACCGCCAATACATCGACCACCGACAAACCTTAAAATAGAGGTCAGTGCCTTGGAGTTATTTTACTTTTATATGAAGTCGGCCCCGGCACCACAATTGGGCGATTCCTGGACATCGTTGCTGGCTCTACTAAGGGATGGTTTATCGCTCACGCCACCGGCACAATTCACCTTGCTAATGTTGCTAAATGAGTTTGTGCAGCGCTGTCCTCAAATGCCATTCCAAGACAAAAAAGACATCCGTGACTTGCACGATGTCACCTCCAGACTTGTGGACTCACTGTCCAATGTGGCTGGATCTTGTTTGGAGCAAACCACCTGGTTACGCCGTAACTTGGCAGTCAAAGAAGACATAACCCCATTGGTAACGGACAACGACGTGACTTCAAACTCAAGCTCTGGCGGCACAGCGGTATTACAAAAGTATTCGGTCCAAGCTCAAAGTGTTTTGGCCGCAATTTTGGCAAATTTGCTGGATGTGGCCTATGGCTCACAAGAAAAGGACAAAGTGGTTTCAATTATTACCACACTACTATACAATATCACGCCGTATCTGAAAAACCACACCGCTCGTAACATACCATCTTTCTATGCTTGCTCCAGTTTATTGGCATCTTTAAGTGGTTATCAATACACTCGCAAGGCTTGGCGCAAAGATATGATGGATCTTTTGCTGGATCCAGCATTCTTTCAAATGGATATCAGCTGCTTGCCGTTCTGGAAGCAAATTATGGACAGTCTGATGACGTACGATAACACCACGTTCCGTGAATTGATGAGCCGCGTATCCCTGACACAAACAGGAAGTCTGAATATTTTTGCCTCGAGAGAGCAAGAGTACGAACAACGTTCCATGTTGCTGAAGCGTTTGGCCTTTGTTATATTTTGCAGTGAATTCGATCAGTACCACAAGTATATGCCCGAAATACAAGGTAGGTTATTTGCACGAATATTTGCTGCGCTTCATTTTCATCGTCCATCTTTGTTTTATAGAACAACTGGCCAATAGCTTGCGGCTGTTGGCAAACGTTCCTTCAGTACAGTCGGCTGTATTTTTGTGTTTCCGTGTATTGTTGTTGAGAATGTCGCCCGACCATGTCACTTCTTTGTGGCCGATTATTATAGCCGAAATGGTTCAAGTCTTTCTGGCAATGGAACAGGAGCTGAAGACGACCGATGGAGATGACTTAAGGTAGCTACCAACACAATTGAATAATAAAATAATTTTAATTTTACTATAATTTTTAGCCAACATATTCGTATGGTTTCTGGCATGGACGCCTCATGGTCCTCTTCAACTGGTGGCAATGGCAATACCTCACAAAGTCAATTGTATCACTGGCGTTCTGTGCAGTTGGAAGCTTCGAAGCTATTGGAAATGGGTTGTGTTTTACCCGCCACCTTATTGCCTCACTTCCAAATGTACCGCTGGGCCTTTGTGGGCACCGAATTCGATGTCAGCGACAAATCAATACCCAATGGCATGATAAATGATGAAAACGTTGGCCAAACGGCACTCTATGTACCACACATAAGACGTATTGCCCGTCTCATGGATATGAAATACACGGTACATTCTCCGGTAAGTTTTGACCGAAATAGAACAAACGTTTTGTTAACACTAATAACCAATTTCCCGTGTGCAGACTTTGAATATAAAACGGGGTCGTCATTTGATGCTTACTTGCCAGCAAATTTCAACACTTCAAGATTTGTATGGCTTCTTCTCAACTCTAAGTGTTACCTGTCCCAATCCACATAATTATGCTGATATCGATCACGAAGTTAACAATTGCCTACAGGAAATCGAGGAGATTTTGTCCAAAGACTTCTTAGAGAAAATTCCCTCGACAACAACACCAAGGTGAAAGGATGTACCAACAACTGTCCCTATTAATGGCATATGTGCAGCGCCGGACACTTGCCTGATGTCATTAAATACTGAACTATCACATAAAAATTCCCAATCATCGCGTTTTTCACAAGCCTCCATGCTGCTATTGTCGGCTTCGTCGTCGTCTCCGCCGCCGTCCATAGTACAACGGCCGTCTCATTTGGCCGAGGCAAATCGTGCAATTCTAAATAGAAAAGTTGAGACCACCCATCTTCCATTTTATGTCTAATGCGAATAGTTAAACTACCTGTGGCCTAAAGTTTCCCCATTTTCTTTTGATATAAGGACTCAAATCTCTACCCAAATCTAAATAACTAGTATCGTTTTATTTCTATGTTATCTAATTAGCTTGAATATATGCATAACTCTGAGGGAAGTTGTACTCTCATTGTTCGGCTAGGAAACCTCACACACACACACCCATATATGTTACACAAACACCCACATAACCTATGAAAATTTAAAGAACTGTAACTATACCACTATTATCATAATTATAATTTTTTCTAATATTGTAATCATCATAAACATAACATTATGTATTTGCTGTGAATCTGACAAAAGGAAGGAAACAACAAGAATATTATATGTACAATAAATGAAACTCATTGATAAATAAATAAAATTAATGTTATTCCAAAGTAAAATTAGTTCTCACTTATTGGAATTGAATGCCCTTTTTGTGGTGGATAAGTGTTGTTATTAAGGAATAATCATCGAGAGGCTTTGACAGAAGTTAGAAAGAGAAACAATGGTTACCGCCGGACGTGATTAAGCAGGAAATGACTGTTGGGTTTAGCGAATCCTTGAAATTTAAATTTTAAAAATCCAGTTCCTTCCCGGGTTTCTTTGTGTTTCAAATATCTAATAAGAAATAGGACACATTGATAAAAGTAAGAAGAAACAACGTAAGAGATTGGAGAGGAATGAAGCAGCCGAGTGGTGAAAATTTTCAAATGTCTGATAAGGAATATGTCGCATATGTTTCTGTCTTGGTTTGAAGCACCTGGAGACATATACGACGTATTGATTAAATTTTAAGCATTCATCCATATTCATATTTGGGGTGTTAATTATAAACTTTATAGCAATTGCAAGACAAATTAAAAGGTGATAACTTGACACAATTTCTGTTAAAAGGTACAAAATCAAAGGTGGACCCATATATTTAATGGTGTGGGTTCCGCACTTCCTATAAAGCTGCTATGCTGCAGATGAAACATCGAAGTAAAAACCACTTCCGAAGTAGGATAAGTGGATGGCTTGGGATATTGAACAGCAGATAATTGCAACAAAAATCCAAAGCCACGCCACCGAGAAAAGAAAAAAAGTGAAGTAACGAACAAAGGAATATTTCGAGGGGTTACAAAGGGAATGACAAAGCTAATATACCCTCGAAAGAATGGTGAAGGGTATAAAAGTTAATACAATGGATAGGGGCAAATGCTCCTAAGGTCGGCATCTCCCAATGCTCGGCATTTTTTATATTTAAAATCTACTGGCTAGTGTTGTCATGTCAGCTATCTTTTAACATGAAATGTGAACGTTTTCAAAAACTAAAGTAAAGAAAAGAATGAAAAACAGACTTAAAAGATAGGTATTTATTACTTAAGAAATATTTCTAATGATACCTTCTAATGAAGATTGCGCCGAAAAGTCGTAATTTGCTCCTATCATTTGGCCAGCAAAATTAGCCATTTTATTCTCCTTTCACAAATTTTCTAATATTTAGAATTCAAATGTTTATTGTAAAATTTGCTGATGGTATTGCGTATTCAATACCCCTTGAGTAGAATCTTTATATTAAATATGGAATACGATATGAATGCGATAGGAAATACATTTGCTCTATTCCAGAACCTGCAGATCCGGTTCTAACCCGAGTCTTAAACCCGGCGTTTGGTGTGAAATATCCGGGTCCGGGAATCCGTCCCCCAAGAGAAAATACTTTCCTGGAATCAAGGTAAAAATAAATACCACTACTACTTATGAAATGCAAGTATCCTCCACCCCCTCTAGCCAAATAATTGAATGGTTTTGCTCCTTTTTTGTAACTATCGTTGCATATTGCAAATACTATTTGGAGTAGTTTTTAAAAATGGCTTCCTATGGACCATAGTCAATATTTTTCCACGTTATTTGCGAAAAACATAGCTTGTTAAGAAATTCTTCTCTCTCCCCCCTCCCCCAAATATTGGATGCTTTTGCGCCTTTTTTGTAACTATCAATGCACTTACTTGTCCAATTTTGCTCGGCAAGAACATTGAGAAATCGACTTACCGAAGTTCAATGTTTGGGAAGCTTATTCTTTGTTAACGTTTATTTTGATTCTTTCAACTATCTACAGACACTTAAAACACACGCGACCCGTCACGTTTCCTTTGCAAAACGACACTTTTTGTTAAGAAATTAATAAAACTCCATTAATATTGTTAAAAGTAAAATTTGCTACCCATCTTGCTGCAATAGCTTGTCGCAGCTAACGCTTTTAAAATACAATTGCAAGGTAACTGCAGTAAATTCGCGCTAAAACAAGTGTTACTTTGACAGTTAGTGCAAAAGCATTACAATTTAAGTAACGCAAGTCAATTGATAAAGTTATGTATCGTTACCTAATACCCGACGTACGCCTTCGACGTTTTTCACCACAATAGTAGTATTTAAAAGCGTTACCTAAAATAAATATAGCGTACACACATATTTAACTCCCCCACTATGGTAAAATGTTTTGTTACCTTAAGGGCAAAGAATACATGGCTCCTTTGTAACAGCGTTACGACTTAGCGTACAGAAATATTCAACTTCCGCACTATGGTAGAATCGTTTGTACGTCCGCATTACCCAAATACACCAGGGGCTGGATTCTTGTTCTATGAAAATATGAAATGAAAAATATTTCCTTTATAAAATTTTTCATTTGACATTTCTTTCCTTTATAAAAGTTTTCATTTCACATTTTCTCTAAACAAGAATTGAGGCCCAGGTCTATATATTTTAGAATATACTTACATTTTTAAATTCGCCCAATCGTTATAGTTTCCAATTAAAAATATTTTAATTTTTTGTATTATTCAATTATATATATCATCAAAAAAAAAAAAAAAAAAAAAAAAAAATTGTCAATGTTCAACTTTGAACTTTTGTACGTCCGACATATTTGGGTAACTCTCATGAAATAAATTGTGTGGTGAAAAACGTCGATTGAGTACATCGATTTTAAGGTAACGCTTTGATGAAGGAGCCAGCCGATGACTTAATCCAGTAAAAAACTTGATATGTATTTGCCTTTACTTGCTAAAAAAGGTGGGCAGAATCCTTGATTGAAATAACATATATATTCTTCCCAACACTGAAATTATTGATTTGCAATAATATTTTAAAATAATTGATTGGGTTCCCAAGAAATCTACTTCCCACTGTGGTAAATTTTTTTGTACGTCCCTATTACCCATATTCGTCAGGTACACATCATAAAATCTACTAACCATGGTACAATGAAGAAAAGGTAGGTGAACTTTGAAAAAATTGCAAGTATAGAGGTCTACCTGTTTGGCTTGTAATGTCAAAATTAGTATCAAAACAATAAAAAATCAAACAACTTGTTGTATTTATTTTGAATAAATAATTGAAAACCGCGATAACTGAATGAAGGGTCAACACTTCTTTCCAAAATCATGTACTATATATCTCTAAAGGATTATTTCGCTACGAAAACTCTAGATTTTGTCGATGCATACGTTGAAATAAACATTTTGAAAACATCCGAATTTGAATATTTTCTGAACAATTTTTTTGTTATTGAAAAGAAAACACATACATAAACAAATAAAGATGACATATTAAGCCAAGAAAATAAAAAAAAATTAAAATCGTATGGTTTCATAGCCCTACCCATGGTACAATGAATTCAAGGTAGGGCAGAACTACCATATGATTTAATTTTTTTATTTTTCTGGCTTAATATGTCAACTTCATTTGCTTATGTGTGTGTCTTCTTTTCAATATTAAAAAATTGTTCAGAAAGTATTCAAATTCGGGTGTTTTCAAAATGCTTATTGCAACGAATGCATCGACAAAATCTACAGTTTTTGTAGCGAAATAAACCATAAGAGATATACAGAACATGATATTGAGAAGAAATTTTGACCATTCATTCAGTTTTCGCGATTTTAAATTATTTATTCAAAATCAATGCAACAAGTTGTTTGCTTTTTTATTGTTTTGATAGTAATTCTGACATTACAAGCCAAACAGGTAGACCTCTATACTTGCAATTTTTTCAAAGTTGACCTACCTTCTCTTCATTGTACCATGGCCCTACCTTGATATCATTGTACCATGCTACTAACTGTTTTGAAAAATTAATCATTTTTAAATTTCAGCCAATTGTTATATTTTTTAAAATTTCATATGTTCGACGTATTTCGATAACGTCAGCCGAGTACGTCGAATATTAGGTAATTCTGTTAAAAGACATCTCAATGCAATACCGTTACACTAATTCCTTTAGATGCCTTACGTGTCGTAAACATTTGCACTAACTTAAACGGAAAAGCAATGACAAGGTTGATAATGACATGACAGGTTAGTTTTAAATTTAGTTTTGAACGTGAACGAACAAGCGCAGCTGAAAGTGCAGCAAATTTTACTTTTAACAATTTTAATCAAGTTTTACTAATTTTTTTTAACAAAAAGTGTCGTTTCGCAAAATAAAAGTGACGGGTCGCGTGTGTTTTAAGTGTATATAGATAGTTGAAAGAATTGAAACAAATGTAAGCAAAGAAAAAGCTTCCCAAACTTTGAGCGTCGGTAAGTTGATTTCTTAATTTTCTTTTTCCGAGCAAAATTGGACAAATAAATGCATTGAACAAAAAGGCGCAAAAGCATCCATCTATTTAGGGAGGGGGTGGGGGAGAGTTGACTTCCTTAAGAGACTATTTTTTGGCCAATAACGTGGATACACATTGACTTAGAATGGATCTAAGGTGAATAGGAACCCATTTTGATAAACCTTTCCAAATAGTATTAGAGTTAAGTGGTATTTAACAAATAAATGCATGGATAGTTACAAAAAAGATGCAAGAGCCGAGCAAATTGGACAAATAAATGCATTGGACAAAAAAGGCGCAAAAGCATCCAGCTATATGTGAGAGGGGGTGGGGGAGAGTTGAATTTCTTAAGAAGCTGATTTTTTGCCAATAATGTGGATAGACATTGACTTGGAATGGATCTAAGGACCATAGGAACCCATTTTTATAAAATTTTCCAAATATATTAGAGTTAAGTGGTATTTAACAAATGCACCAATAGTTAAAAAAAGGCGCAAAAGCATCCAACTGTTTGGGGTAGGGGTTGGGGAGTGTTGAATTTCTTAAGAAGATAGCTTTCTTTCGCAAATAACGCGGATTAACCTTGACTTAGAATGGATCTAAGGTCCATAGGAACCCATTTTGATAAACTTTTCCAAATAGTATTAGAGTTCAGTGATATTTAACAAATGCATCGATAGTTACAAAAAAGGCGCAAAAGCATCCAACTATTTTGGGGAAGGGGTGGGGGAGAGTTGAATTTCTTAAGAAGATAGTTTTCTTTTGTAACAAAATGTGTCGTTTCGCAAAAGAAAAGTGACGGGTCGCGTGTATTTTAAGTTTATATATATGGTTGAAAGAATCGAAACAAATTTAAGCAAAGAAAAAGCTTCCCAAACTTTAAGTGTCGGTAAGTCGATTTCTTGATTTTTTTGCCGAGCAAAATTGGACAAATAAATGTTTTGGACAAAAAAGGCGCAAAAGCATTCAGCTATATGTGAGAGGGGGTGGGGGAGAGTTGAATTTCTTAAGAAGCTGATTTTTTGCCAATAATGTGGATAGACATTGACTTGGAATGGATCTAAGGACCAAAGGAACCCATTTTGCTAAACTTTTCCAAATATATTAGAGTTAAGTGGTATTTAACAAATGCACCAATAGTTAAAAAAAGGGGCAAAAGCATCCAACTATTTGGGGTAGGGGTGGAGGAGAGTTGAATTTCTTAAGAAGATAGTTTTCTTTTGCAAATAACGTGGATTAACATTGACTTGGAATAGATCTAAGGACCATAGGAACCCATTTTGATAAACTTTTCCAAATAGTATTAAAGTTAAGTGGTATTTAACAAATGCACCAATAGTTAAAAAAAGGCGCAAAAGCATCCAACTATTTTGGGGAGGGGGTGGGGGAGAGTTGAATTTCTTAAGAAGATAGTTTTCTTTTGTAAATAACGTGGATAAACATCTAAGGTCCATAGGAAGCCCTTTTTAAATACTACTCCCCAAATAGTATAAATTGAATTAGAGTTATGTGTTATTTGACAAATAAATGCATCGATGGTTACAAAAAGGCGCAAAAGCATTTAATTATTAGGGAGAGGGGGTGGGGGAGAGTTGAATTTCATAAGTAGCGGGTTTTTTTGCAAATAACTTGGATATGCGTGGATAAACATTAACATGGATCTAAGGTCCATAGAAAAGCCAATTATCTTTAAATATGTATCTCCAGCGGCTTAACTCGAGGATATTTTTTCCAGTCGTATATATTTGTACGCTGATTCCAGGAAAGTATTTTTTTCTTGTGGGACGGATTCCCGGACCAGTATATTTGACCCCAAACGCCGGGTTTAAGTTCCGGGTTAGAACCGCATCTACTAAACCTATTTATATTAATGCTACCATTTGAAATCGTATAAAAAGACTTTCCAACAATTGGCCACACTAAATGTTGTTTCTATATTGGGAAAAAATTTGCATATGCAAGATTATACAAAAAAATGTAATTACGCAAAGCATTTTGTCATTTTTGCTCTACGATCATTCATAACATGTGTACATTTCCATAAAATTTCTTTCTTGTTTTCAATGTTTCGAATGCAAAGAAGAATAAAATGGCTAATTTTGCTGGCCAAATTATTAGAGCAAATTACGCCTTTTCGGCGCAATCTTCATTAGAAGGTATCATTAGAAATAAATAAAAATAAATAATAAAAAGAAATAAATAATAAATAAATACTGTTTTTCGTTCTGTTCTTGATTTTTGGTTTTGAAACGTTGTTCAGAGATTGCTGGCATCACAACACTACCCAGTAGATCTGTATTGATTCTAATTTATTCGAGTTTTGATATAAAGAAGTAAAAAAGCTGTAAGTTCGGCCGAGCCGAACTTTGAATGCCCTCCACCATTTGGAACGAATTTGGCAATTTTCAAAAAAGTAAAATCCGTTAAAAATTCTGTTAAAATATTAAAAATATTGAATGTAGCCGCTATATAAGAGTCTATATGACAACGTGGACCTGCTTAGACAACTTTTGTCATAAGCCATTACAATATTCAAATGCGAAACTTGAAAAAATATTCGGTGTATAATGTAGCTAAAATCATCAAAATACCGAATATAGGGAGGTATATGAAGTTATACGAAGACGTCAACCTGCGCAGACAATATTCTGTCTTAGGCTGTAGTATCCATTATAAACTTCAAATACCAAATTTGAAACATTTCCGGTGAATAATGTCGCTTAAATCACCAAAAGCTTTACAAAGACGTGGACCTGCACATGTCATAGACTGCAATATCTGTTACGAATTTTAAACACCAAATTTGAAACATTTCCGGTGAATAATGTCGCTTAAATTGCCAAAAAACCGAAAATAGGGGGGGGGGGGGTGCCATTATATGGTGGCTATACCAACCTACATGGCCCATTTTCAATAAAAGTCCTACAGAAATAATATACATTTGAGTAACATTTTATTAAATTACTTCATTTCGTTCGGAAGCTAGAGTGTTTTCCACCGTTTGTGACTTCGCTTAGAATTTTATGCTGATCAAGAATATATATACTTTGTGGGATCTAAAATGTATATTTCGAGGTGTTACAAACGGAATGACAAATGGCCCATACTATGGTGGAGGATATAAAAATGGACCAATAGGATATGCCGACCTTAGGAGCATTTTCCCCTACCTATTGTATTAATTTTTTATTTAAATTGAAACATTCAATCTTTAGATAAGTATTTGGTTATTTATTTGTAACTACAAACAATTTTGTTTTTAATAAATATATATTTGATATAAACAAATTCAATTTAGCGACTTCTTTTACGAATTTCACAAATACAAAATGCAATACTTTCTTATTAAATGCCATATTTTTGAGACAATTTTCCACAATCTTTAAAATAATTATTCCTTTGTATAGGTTGGATTTAAACTTAACAGGTACCGCTTTATATGTTGTTGTGCTGAAAGGAAAATTTAAAAAATACTTGGACCAAATATAAATTCGAGGGGGATAGTATATATAATGTATGGGCTTACATCTAAGAAATATGTATCTATGTTATATAATCATTTTACCAATATAGTTTCATGTTAGTCACCTTGGAGACATATCAATCAATTAAAGTCAACAATACTAGATTAACGATCAACTTTAATATTGGCTTTTTAGGTATTATAGTATTCGACGCCAAGTTGCAATATTTATAACTATAAATTTGAGCTAAAATTAAATTTTGAAAAGTAATTAGTAATATCTTTAGTAAAAACAAAGTTTATGATATATAAAATTTTAATTTTCTCAACAGAGATTCTTGTGTAAATTAATGCTCTCTAAAATATAAATATATATTTACAGTTAAACTATGAAAATGACGTTATACAAATGGTTGACAATTTTATTAAAATTGCAGCTAGCTTATACGGTCACAAAAAAAATACACGCACCCCGCATTAATAATACATAACGAGCTACTCACAAATAAACAAAAATTATCTTAAAATCACCAAAAACAGAAAGTATACATACTCCAATGTCCATACTGCGTACTTAAAATAAGTTGGCTTGCAATACTGTTCTTTATCACTCTTTTTTGAAAAGCTTAGATATCTCTGCACATAATTTCTAATCAGAGATACAAATATTTTTAAGCTCGACTTTGTCTATTTTAATCCGATGTTTAGAATGATTATGAATTTAAAGAGGGTAATTTCATAAAATCAGAAGTGAAAATGTCGGAATAATTTAATCAATTTTATTAAGATTTTATGTTTTTTTTCGCATTTTTTCATTTTCCACGTATACTTTTCTGCGTTTAAATAATTTGGAGGTAGCTTATTATATATCCTCTGAAAATGTAAAGTTGATTTTGTTAACAGGGTACTTATTGTTTTTTTGTTTCCGTAATCATTGACTGCACCTGGCACCTTGAGGAAGATGTATGTCTTTTAGGAATTTCTATCATTTAGTTGGCTTAAAAGGGCGTATTGGACAAAGTTATTATTTCGATCTATTTAATTTTTTTTGTTTATCTATCCGGAAATAGTTCTTCATAACTGGGTGGCAAATCTTTCGACGGATCGTGATGAGATTGTCCATGCACACCTCTGCTGTGATCTGCTGCTATTGTGGTTTCAATGTCAAATGTTGGGGCCGTAGGTAGTTCAATAACGGGGACATCCTATAAAAGAAAACATTATTCATATGTATTATGTTTGTTGTGGTACGTTCCATTTCTGTTTGATTTGTTATTAAACAATATGACAATATTTACATAATGATTGAGTGCCATATCAATTATTTCGCATAGGTCTTAATAGTATTGAGATACATATACATATACACTGGTGGCCAAAACTAAAGCAACTGAAATTACAAGGAGAATAAATGCCCTGTAACTTTTTCAAAAATTAAGAAAATGAGAAAGTTTTTCTTGTTTTAAATTAGGTACTTTATTCACTTTTTAAAAACCTAAAACATAAAACCAAAATTCATTTTTATATAAAAAATAATGTTTGGTAAAGTCAATTAACCCGATTTTGGCTTGGACAAAACAAAAGCAACTCTGTTGTACATTCATATAACCGCTGCAATTTCAGTTGTTTTTACTGTGATATTTATCGCTTTTTGCTTCCTTCGACAATTTCGCTTGTCAGAAATCCTTTTTGAGAAGTTTTTTAAAACAGTATGTGTTTTTCTTTTCGTTTTTTAAGTACTGCCCAAAAAAATTTTAAAAATGGCTAAAAGCAAATATAATACCTGTATAAAACAGCAAATTATCAGTGACTATCAAAACAACATATCACAGAAAATGATTTCCGAGAAATATTTCATAAATATTTATTTGATTTCATAATTATTTCTGTATACTAAGTCGGTTTTTTGAAACTGGATCAGTAGTAACAGTCTATAACGGATGAAGGCCGTGAAAAACTTCAGCCCGTACTGATCCACAAATTGTGAGAGAAATAAAAAACAACTATTTAAGAGTTCAACTGGATTGGTGAGAGAGCAATCATTGGATATAAGCTCGAGATCAGTGCGTAGACGAGTAGTGGTAGCTGGTCTGCATGCCCGTAAGACATCAAAAAACCACTTATATCTGAAAAAATCAAAAAGGCTTTCGGAAACGATAATATTAAGTGGAATCAAGCTCAATGGAAAAAAACATTATTTTTGGGATGAGTCTACGATTAATATTAAAGGCTCAGAAGTGAAAAATTTTACGGTGAGAAGATCAAAAAATGAAGGACTCAAGCCGCAGTGTTGCAAAGGCACAGTGAAGCATGAGGGAGGGTCAAAATGGCGTGGCGCTGTTTTTCTTTCTATGGACTTGGGCCTATCCACAAAATAAAAGAAGTTGTGGATCGGTTTGTTTACAAAGATGTGTTGGACATCACGTTGTTCCCCTACGCTGAGTAAAATATTCGGCTGATTTGGGTGTTTCAGCATGACAATGATCCCAAACTTGTATCAAAACTTGTCAAATATTGGTTGCGGGAGTCAAGAATTGATGTTTTGTTATGGCCGGCACAATCACCTGACCTAAACTCCATAGAAAACCTTTGGAGTATCGTAGATAGGAAGATCAAGAGAGATTCGGAAATAAATAAGCACAACATTTTCTAAAGAATTCGGGGTGCCTGGGAAAGCACACCCAAGGATCAAATTGAGCGTGTTATAGATTTAATGCCTCGTAGGTGTGCACCTGCTATCAAAAATAATGGTTATGCTATCGACTACTAGCCAAAATTTAATTACTTTAAAATAAAAAATCAAAAGTTGCTTTAGTTTTGACCAAGCAAAAATTGGGTCATTTTAGTTTTCCATATATTATTTTTCGTTCAAAATTATTTTTGTATTTTTATTTTTAGTTTCTTAAAAGTGAATTAAACCCATCATTTAAAACTGGAAAAATAATTACGGATTTTTTATTTTTGTAAAAGTTACGGGACATTTATTGTCTTTGCGATTTAAGTTGCTTTAGTTTTGGCCACCAGTGTATATGTTTATCATCACTTACCCTTATTTCATTGCGTTGTTGCTGTTGCGACCAATGCTGACGTTGAGAGTGACGTCGCCCCGATACTGAACCATTGGAGTTATGCGATCGTTGATGGACCGTTATACAGTTCCAATATTTCCAGCATATCCACACACAACAGCCCACGCCGACCATTGTAAAGATCAACGATGTTATTGCCGACAAGGCCACACTTGTCGTATCCAATTTCAGCGCAGGAGTTACATCTTGCGAACATGATAATGATACTACCTCATCACATTCACAATTTGTTACATTGTCACGAACAAAGTGCCGAGATATGCACGAAAATGGGTCTGTTCGATTGCACAGGAAATCGTCTGGATTCTTACATTCCGAGTGGGCCGTCAACACCATGCTCAATTCCAATGGCTCCGTAATCATGCGACTCTTGTCGATGTGTATGAAAACAGTCAGATCCCGATAACGTTCATCGAACACCCGACCCTCGGGTCCTCCAATATTGCAAATTGGATCGCTGGGCGATCGATTGCCACTGCGAAACTGTATGTAATCCAGACAGTTATTTGTTTCGGGATGTTGACGGAACTTTAAATGGTTTATCACAGTGTAAATGCCGCGAGGATTGCGATAGGCATCCTCACTACTTAATACTTTGAATTCACAATCGTAGTTTATTTTGTTTGAAGAGTAAAAGCCAGGAAGTGTGGTGTTCCAACGTTGCGTTATGACAACAGCGGAATCTCGCTCCTCCATCAAAGTCATAGAAGGTTCTTTGAATTTGTTCTTAAGTTGGACCAAAAACCGATTGGCACAAAGGTTGTCTTGCAGGCGAACTGAAAAGGGAAAGTTTCCAACATTAAGACAACTCCCAAACTACATGCACTGAACTTTAAAGTTTAACAACAATGGAAATATCGACAACAGAAACGACGTCTTGTGAGTGGTTCTCCACTCCCAGCAACAAATCCGACTTACTATTTCTGTATCCGTGGATTAGAACAAAGAATGTGCTGAACACAACAACCCACAAATGGCAGGTGGTAATTTTGTTGAAATTCATTCTATAGTAAAATCCATTTACCAAACAACAGAACACAAAATACAATGTTTACAAAGAACACAGGTGAAAACAGACAACGTGGCCGAATGGCATACTTAGCAACGGCGTTCAAACAGTCCAAGCAAATCGGCGACAACTAAACTCTGAAAAACGGTTTTATCGATAAATGAGGGTTAGGAAATTTTTAAAGTATTCGGCTTCAAAAAATATAATAACTATATTTACGTTACGGAAAGTCCCCATAAAATGGTACCTCATGATATTCGGTATTTTGCTTATTGTAGCCACATTTTTCAATGGATTTGTCTGGAATTTGATGTGTGAATTTGACATTAAATTGTGTAAACATGTTTACTATAGCCAGTAGCCCCTATGTAATGATACCTCCCGATATTCTGTGTTTTAATGATTGTAGCAATATTTTCAATTGATTTGTCTGAAATTTTATGTGTTTAATTTTTAATAGGCACTTATGAATCTGACAAAAATTGTGTAAATATGTCTACTAGAGCCTACAGTCCCCATATAACGGTACCTCCCGATCTTCGGTATTTAAATGATTTAAGCCACATTTTTTAATGGATTTGTCGGGAATCCGGCATGTGAAATTCTTTATAGGTACATATTACTTTGTGTAAATAGGCCTCTGATTGCATTTAGCCCACATATAAAATTTCTCCCAGATATTCGGTATTTGCACGATTTTGGTAAATTTCTAATGGAATAGTCTTTCCATCATCTCTACATCCCTCGATATTCGACATTTGGATCCATTGGATTACAATTTTAAAATTTGCCATTTTAAATAGATATCTTAGAAAAAAAAAAATATTTTCCCCTAATGGTGGAGGGTGTCATTCGAAATTGATCTTTGGTAATGTTATCTGAAAAGTTCACATTCAAACTAAATTGCGACATCGAATAATTTTCAAGTTTTTCAGAATAAATTTAAAAAATTTGCATACAAGCACTTTGCAAAAATTACGATATCCATTACGATACAACAATACTCTCTAATGAAATAATTTTTTATTTAATTCTGAATATCATAGGATAAGGATGTACCAAGTACCCAAATACATATATGCTAAAAAGTAAAAAATCGCTGTCTTGAAATATTTATTCGCACTATCTAATTAAATTTAAGAGATCCAGTTATTTTATAGAAATCTCTGTGTTCTGTAGTTGATCCAAGGGCGCACAGTAACACCTCATTACACTGAGCCGAACCAAAACAATAGTTTCCCCAACGCTTTAGAATTTCTCTCGCATCGAATGTTTTCGTAGTAGTATTGGGTATTTCCCGTTCAAGATAACGATTATTCATGATGGTCATGTGTAACTTGACATGACCTCGGTCAAAGTCATCAATTCCCAAACCCGTTTTATTGAAGCGTTCAAAACAGAGATTGGCAAACGTCTGCAATTCTTCTGACTCGACATTGGCATATAAAACACGCACCGAACTAGGATCATCATTCATTATTTCCAAACCGCTACATTTTACTGTAAACGGTGTCTTGAGATCTGTAAGGAATTCACTGGAAAAAATTGGCAGATAAATAATATGTGGCTGTCACAAGGGCTAGGTCGGTTACTTACCGACAGCTTTCTAAGATTTCCACAGCTTTCTTTCTTTCAGTGTCATCGAGCAGTACGCAAATGCCCAAAGTCAAATGCAATTTGTGATCAAATTGGAATAATTCCTCAGATATACCGGGAATTTCGGCTTCTAATATTTGGGTTTTCAATTTTTTAAAGTTTTCTCGTATTTCGTCGGAGGTCATAGTGACACCGTAGAAGTGTGTTGCTTTCATGCGCTTGCGCAGAGAAGCAACCAGCAGCTGGACTTTATGTCTTGCCGTTGCAACGCTGTTACGAGTCCGACCCGTAATAATGATCTTGGCTTCTGAAGTTTTATTTGTCGGTGTTTTCTGTGGAATGTTTATGGAGCATTGTGTTTCGCCTTCTATGCGACGTTTAGTGGATCCCTTGAATCCAATAATGCCACCATAAAATGAGCTGTAACCAAAAGAGTATTAAATTGCACAGCTAGGATTCCTAGTTGAGCCCTCACCTGGCAACATGCATAGCTAACTTAAATTGACCGTTTGCCGTTTCTTCGATGTCGCACGCATCTTGGCCATCCAAATCGTCGTTGTACTCATCTCCATAGAGATCTGTGTAAAAAAGAAATACACATTACTGCAAAACATATTTGTTATTGTTAAAGCCGCCAGTACCGTCTTCCATGTATGGTTTGGCGGTTTCTCCTTTTTGCTGCGCTGCAATGGCTCCTTGTTGGCTATTTTGGAAATCTTCGTGTATGAGATTGACCCTGTAGCAACGGTTACTACCCATACGCAGCAGAGGAGGAGCCAAGACTTCACGACTCATATTAAAATGCACTGAGGGAAAAGAAACAGAAACAATTCTACGAAATGTTGAAAATATTTGTCAGCTGTTAAAATTAACTCAGCAGATGTTTCCTTGCAATAGGGGTTGCCAGATGTGCGTGAAAATAAATTTAAATATACATTTCACTATTTTGATTTTTTGTTCACCAACACTGGTTTTCTTTCCGAGATAAATTTAAATTTAACTACATTTTAGTCATTTTAGTGAGAGTAAACTTAAATATAACTCAAAACTGCTTCTTATAAAAACAAAATAAAAGTTACAATAATGAAAATTATATAATAAAAATGTGATATGAGTTTAATTAAAAATGTATAATTGCAAAAACTTTGTTCCAATACCAAATTTGGCATTCAAAACACTGCACACATAAATACCTAAAAACTGAAACAGACTAAGGAAAAAAATCAATAATCTGCCTTTTTCGTGTCCATATTTGGAAAGAGCATCGAAAATGCTCCTAGACCACTTAATTTGATAAACCAAACTCATCTAGAAATCCCACAGTGGCCAGACTTATATTTCTGATTTAAATAATAAGTGGCACATTAAGTTTTATAGAATAACGCAAAAGTGTATTATATTTTCAAACAATGCATAAACGTACAAAAGGTGTGGATGTTTTATAAAAAAAATATTTACTAAAAGAAAAAATTGCTAGCCAGTTTACAAAATGGGCAATCCTCTCATATCATTTAAAAAAATATGGCAACCATCCAATCTTTGGCAGAGGGCACGTGGAATTTAGTTGTAAACAATTGTTAAAAAAAATAATTGTAAAAAAATCATGTCTCCAGTAGCGGGAGCAAAAGATGAAGGTGTTCAGAAGTCGTGGAAAAAGATAAATGAGGAAAGAAAAGCATTAAAGAAACAACGGAAGCAAGAAAAACTACTTAAGCAGCTGGCAAAAGTACAAAAGGAGGAAGAAGCATCCAACAACGCAAAGCATTCACAAAAGTCCGAACAGAACGAAAAGAAGAAAGCAGCAAACCCTTCGACAGTATCCATTGCGGTTCCCGGGTCCATATTAGAAAATGCTCAATCGGCTGAACTGAGGAGTTATGTTGCTGGGCAAATTGCTAGAGCTGCCTGCATATTTCGGGTGAGCGAAGTTATTGTTTTCGATGACATCGGTTTGGCCACGGCCAGGGAAACCAAGAGAAACTTTGAGGCCGATGACAGCGATGATGCTGGGGGCGAAGGCACCTCACGCACTGTGCGTAGTAGTTGTTTGCAGCTGGCCAGAATTCTTCAATACTTGGAGTGCCCGCAATACCTGCGAAAATTCTTTTTTCCCCTGCACAAAGATTTGAAATATTCCGGCTTGCTAAATCCACTAGACGCACCACATCACTTGAGACAACAGAATATTTTTCGGTATCGCGAAGGCATAGTCACGGAGAAATTGGCAAAGGAGGGACACTGTTATGTTAATGTTGGACTGCTGAACGATGTTCTGGTAAATAAGGCCTTAACGGCGGGACTGCGTGTTACAGTAAAGTTGGACCAGCCTCAAGGTATGTTAACTGAAATAAAAGAAGATTGGCGTTCGGTTAATCCTATTTTTTAATCGCTAGAGAATGTGCGTAAGCAGCGGGGAACAATTGTAAGCCCGGATGAGCCAAGGCGCGAAACTGGTGTATACTGGGGTTACACAGTTCGCATAGCTCATTCCATATCGGAGATATTTACGAAATCTCCCTATCCAGGTGGTTATGATTTGACTGTCGGTACATCAGATCGTGGCTCCAGTATACATGAGGTCCCCTCGAAATTCTTCAACTACAACCATTTGCTGTTGGTTTTCGGTGGCCTTCAGGGTCTAGAAGCCGCCGTTGCCAATGAGGATAAACTGCAAGTTGATGATCCAAAATTGTTGTTTGATCATTACATTAATGTTTTACCCAAACAAGGATCACGTACAATACGCACCGAGGAAGCTATACTGATAGCAATGGCATCGTTACAAGAGAAATTTAATCCCCAAGTGGAGGACATTGAAGGAGAGCTAATAAAAGAGTCCTTGCCACGCAGTGAAGATACCGGCGGCATAATACCAAAACCATCGCAAACGAAAATGGAAAGAAAACGCAAACGACAGGAGGAAAATGAAAAACATCCACTGGTGGTGAAAGATGAATCTATTACCCAGGACGTAGTTTTACAGCCCGAAAATGGCGTAGAAATGAAGAAACCCAAAGAGAAGAAAGTGAAAAATAATCCCTTTTCATCGAAAAAAGAAGCAGCTGTGGTAGATTTTACCGAAAATGGAGTGTTGGGTACTTCTGCTGCCGACGATGATTTTGAAATTGTACCCGTGGGCAAAGCAGACAAGACATCAACTGAAGCTAGTGTGGACGATCTGAGCCGATTTGATTAGACAATAGTTATTTTAGTAAAGCAATTTAAGAAATAAATATATTTTTAGAAAAAGAAATGAAAATAGATGCATTTAAATTAATTATGGGCGTTCAAAGGGACTGCCCTGGGACTGGTACTTTTTTTAAGTATGTACTTTTGATCTACCTTTATTTTACTAAATTGTAATTTGTTCGATGAACAGATCTAGTTAATCTTGAAGATATTCCCACGGCATTGCTTAAAAATACCAAAATGATTTGCATTTAATTCAAAAGAAAGTCACATCGAACAACACCCTTCAGTGATTAAGTTACTATTTATTACTTTCCAATAACTACATGCAAAAGTCTGTAGTTGTGATAATTAAATTAACACTTGGCTATTACAAAAATACATAAACACATGCCTGCCGGGCCGACCGTTGAAGTTATAAAACGCTTATGCTGCAATAACTGTAACATTTAATTGAATTCAAACCTTGTCGAAGAAGTTTACTTACCAGTGCTTGGTGGAGCGTTTAAGAAGACATATTCACGATGCGACATTTAATATTACCCATAATTTTGAACATTGTTGTTATTACTTGTTGTCTCGCCATTGAGCATTCATTGGATAATAAATCATCATCAGCAGGATTATTGGATGTAGAAAGCAGTAGGAGGAAAAAAGGACATTATTTTCTACGTAAGTATAGGAATCGATTACAATCGAAATGAGAGAAAAAATCATTGAGTCTTTAAAATAAAATATGTGCCGGAATAAATGAGAACGTATCCACACTTCCCGTGCTTGGTAGTGATGTAAGGATTAGCTACATTAGAAACTTGAAATTTTGTTCGTGTTAACAGATATCTGTGTGACTTGAAAATATTCCGGAATCCGAAGAAATGAGTATCGATACAATTATTTATCTACGAGAAAACTGCGTTTGTCCTACAAAACTTTTAACAGCAGTTCTAATAAAATTCTTTCGAACCACAGAATACTGCAAAAAACATGAATAACAATTATAAAATTTCGAATATTTTTTTTTAAAAAATATATACAGTTGTATGTTCTCTCTTTTTCTTTCGGAACTCTTTATTCAAACTCAAAAAAAAAAAAACGGTTTAGAAAAGGTAACCGCATAAACCCTTAATAAACTCGTCACGATTAATCTCTCTTAACACTTTCACTTTCGCACCAAGGTTATGGTAACTGATCGCTTTGACGAACCCAGCAATCTGTTACTCTTATATTTATTAAATAATAATGCTATTAAAAAAATATTTTCAGATCCATATTACGGCTGGCATGCGTTAACATGGATTTATTGGGTTAAAGTAAAATTGGTGGTTATTGCATTTTTCGCTTATTTAGCATGGATTTATGCACTGCGTTTCCTGGGTCCACATTCTAAGAAATGTTCGCATTCGGGTTATAATTACTACAATTATGGGTATGCAAACGATTCTGCTCTAGTTGCTATTCCATTTTATTTAACAATATGTGTGGGTGCTTTCTTTTTATGCAGACATTACAGATCTTTGGACGACACTGTGCAAGTTTCACAAATTGAAAAGGCACTTAACAGAACCCGCCGCCGAAGGCATTTACTGAGGCAAACGTCCAGTAAAGCGAAATAAATAAAATAAATTACATTAGGTTAAGATTTTATATTTATTTAATTGGTATTTTTTTATTAATACATCTTCTCACCCATTTCGTATCTCTAAATTTGCATTACCATTGCTTTGTTTTAAATAAAATATTAACGTACAAACCCAATGACTCGAATTTTATAAATAAAGCTAAAATCGTCTAGTTTTCTTAAATTTTGTTACATGTCCCTCGAATATCAAGGGCACATCCGTTTGCTTCTTAAATTTTCTTTGTCTTTTTCTTTTTAATGTTGTTAATTTGTTCGGCCATTTGTTCGATTTCCTTCTGGTTAATGGGTTCTACTTTTCGCTGATTGTTTTTGGCATTAGATTTTTGTTTTTGAGCCAAATCTTGGGCAATGCCATTGATTTTGGACCACACGAAATTTAAGAAGGCCATGGCTATGTCTTGTTTGAAGAAGGCGATAGCAACCAAGGCCACCAGCACTAAAGCTGAAATGGAATTCTGGTTGAGGTCCGATTCAAATGATTTGACTTCGGGCTTGAAATCTAATTCAATGTACACCGATGGCGTATCTGCGACGAACTGTTCGCTGCGTGTTGAATAAGTGTAGGTTTTATCGGACAGCGTGGAACGCAATTCAACAATGTACGTCTTGCCGTCAAGTGGTATGCGTGGGAAGAACACCATTATACCTGGATTATAGCGCGACTTGGGATTCAATGGAGTATCCAAGCGTTGAGAGTAGACAGGCGAGTCATATGCTCCCTTGCGGTACATCACCACACGTAGTGTTTTATAGAAATCATTGGACGAGGCTGTTACGCGAGCGGTGACATCGACGAAGGTGATTGGGGACATGGCCAAGAAATTAACATTTTCAACATCTTCGGAGCCAATCTTAACAGTGCGTGTTAGGGGAATGGAGCGATCTACATTGTTACCGGGGGTGCCAGCATCTTTTAGACGAATAGTGTATTCACAGTCGGGGTTCAGGCCGCGTACGCGGTATTTGCCATTCTTTTCCGTTGTAGCTTCTTCTTGATGGTGTGAACATGCCTCATCGGCTGTGGCTTCAATGTTAACTTCAGCGAAGGGTTCGCCATTGAGAGATGTTACAGCTCCGAACAGGGAATAAGCCACTCGTTTGCCACTATGGGAATATTCCAATTATTTTCCAAAATAAATTGAGGAGCAAACTTTATATCGATACTTACATCATTTCCACTTCCACAGTTTCACCATCCTTCAGATCGATCATCTTAGAATTTGGTTCAAATTTGAACTCCTTCAACATTGGCCGCAAAAAGTATTGGGATGGGGACAAGGAATGGAAGTTTATAGAGCCATCATCAGCAGTTATCAAATTTTTGCGATAACTCTCAGAGCCACTGAGTGAAATCAAAACTCCGCTCAGTCCCTTACCTGATCCATCCTTCACTTTCACAATAATTTCACAAAGTTTGTGAACGCTGAAGGAGTTAGTTGCCGGATTATAGTCCGAGAATACATAGGATTCCTTCTCGCCCTTCAGTTCGTATTTAATGCTATCACTGATGGGTCCGAATTTGAAATCGCCATTCACTGACGTCAGTGTGGTTTGTGGCTCCAATTCGGGATTGTTGGGGAAACTTAATGTTATTTTGGCGTCTTTAATGCCGGGTATTACTTTGCCATTGAGTATTAGGCCTTTAGAAGCGATAAAATTGAACGCAACATCCACACAGTCGTTCGTACCAACTATATCCTTAGTCCCAGGCTCGAACAACAAAATATCACTTTGAGGCGCTATGCGTAAAACTTCTTCAGGCTTCAGATGGGTATCATAACGGAAGGCATATTTGCCATCAACTTTGTGCGCCTCCGCAAACGGCGTTACCACAAGTTTGCCTAGAGATGCCGATTCCACAGACAATTTCAAATTATCAGCAGAGGATTCCGGTGAAAGTACTCTTACGCCAACTTTATGAGCCAATGCATTGATGATGGTGGGATTGGTGTTTGCGGTATTAAAGGTCGTAGGCAATGTTTCCTCATCGTACAAATGACAGCCTTCCAATTTAATCGAATATGAACCATATTTAGGGACGCAGAACGTATTGACACCAGAAAGTAATTTTAGATTATCCGTAGTTGTGGCTGTTTCATGGGAGTATTTCATCTGAAAGAAGGACAATTCAGTTTTGGGGATGCTTAGATGTTATAGATGTCGAAAACTTACAATTGCACGGTGACTGGAAATTATATTCACTTCATAGCCATGTTGTACAAATTCGGGAGCAGTTTCTTGGGCAGAAGCCACATTAATTAACACACGGGTAGAATCGAAGCACAAATTCGATTGGGGTACAGTTATTTCGTACGGTCCAGGCAGGACATTTGTGAACGAATATTTGCCACCTAGAGTTGGGTGTAAAGTTATATAACATTTCTTTATAAATATATTCCAACGATTTGTTACCTTGGGCTTTAGTCGTCTGTTTCTGCCCGGTATGTTGTCCATTGGCATCTAAGGAATGCAGGGTAACTTCAGTTGATAGGCAACCTTCTGCTGGAGCATCAGGCAAACATTTCAGTGCTCCTTGCAAAGTAGCTCTAAGTTGGGAAAAAGTGATATCCTTAATGGGTTCGCCCTTAACTTCAATGGTTTGTTGAACGGGGAAGAATTGTACACCATTCGAGCGATCGGTCTCCGATGTTTGAACTTCAATTGTGAATTTTCCATTGGACAAGTATGTGCACCATACACCAGTGTCGGCATTAGTATCCACTGTTGTATGTACAGTTGTGGAACCTTGCTTTGTTATAGCAACTCGGAAAGATTTCTTAGAGACAACCTTGCCACATACTTCATATGCCGATGGAACTATTGGAGGTAAGGTAGCTGATGTCAATTGCAATTGTATGCGTTGTTCATCGAATCGTAGTTTTTCCGCTTCAACTTGTATGGAATACAAGCCAGAAGAAGCTACATTTTCCAAAGTGAATTGGCCATCTGATTTTGTTGTTGTTACCCTTTGGCCGTTCAGTTTAACTGTGGCACCATTTACGGGAGTACCCTGAACGGAGTTCAAAACAACGCCTGATACACTGAAGCCACTGATCTGTATGAAGAAAGTCCAAAAAAAAGAAAACACAATATTCAATATAGAAGATACTGGTGCGAAAATTTCTCGCATTTAGGGCCAAACATTTTATTGACCTAACAGAGGCGTAAAATAAATTTATCTTCATTTGGATTATATTGACTCACCTTGAATTCCTGTTTCAACTCCAATGTGTCCTTGGCTACTTCTATTTCAATGAACTGAGGTTTAATATTTAACTTCAGGTTCCGATTAACAACGGGCAAAAGAATGTACTTTCCAGGGCGGACATCTTTGAAGATGTAATTGCCAGCTGTATCGACCTGAGCATAGCAGGAAACTGAACTGTCATACTCAGAGTTTGTGTGAGTTATTGCAGCTGAGGGCAGGTCTTCTTTGCCACATCTTGGATCGGCAGTTGCCTTTCAATGAAAAGCGAAAGAAATATAAAACGTCTATAAAATTTCTCAAAAATCGACAATCAACCATACCTGTTTACTTTTGAATAGGGCAATACCAACGCCAGCTCCCAACTGTCCAAAGGTGTCAAAGCGACCGGTGACATCAAAGCCCGAAACAACTAAGGAATTTTCAGCCAGCACAGTGTTACCACCTTCAACAATAACCGTGTGTTCACTCTTCTCAAAGTACCATTTCGGATGAGAAGCCTTTACCACATATTTGCCTGGAATAATTGGGGTAAACGAGAAAATACCCTTGGCATCGGTAACGGTGTGACGTGTATCTTTTCCATCCTCGGATTTTAATTCAACCTTAACACCTTGGGCGCCCGCCAAACCCAAGGCCACTTTGCCAGTTATGCCAAAACCCTTGAAAACGAAATTGACATCTTTGCCCAAACTGCAGACGTCAGTCTGGCCATCGAAATTCAGTTTAACTTCCTCTGGCTCAAAACTCCAACCAGGTGGAGGAGAGATTTTCAAAAGATATTCTCCCTTGTCATAAATGGGCAGAAAATAGTAGCCATTTGAGGGTGAGCAGTCGGTTTTGTCCTTCAAAGCTCCGGTCTTTGTTAATCTGAAAAAATGAAAAGAAATCAACGCCAGATTTAGGTTAGTGTCACACCTCTCTTTACGCTCGCTGCTTAATTAGTATATCTGAATGCATCTTATCAATTCGCTGGGTAAGGTGTAAAAGTAAGTTGCCCTCATTTTCGACGTTTTTATCACGGCTACTACCCATTTCGAAATACTTACAATTTGATTTCCACCTTGGAAAAGTCAATGTCCTTTTGGCTTTTGATGAAGCCACCACAGCCTATTACTTCATTCGATTGGACAAAATCAACCGAATTGAGGATTTTAATTAATAAAACCACAAAAATACTCCAGACCACCCTCATTCTGCTGCCAGCTTAGCTAGTGGAAAAAATTAACCGGATAAAGATGCCAGATTGCTGGGCATTTGCTGCTGTAAAGAGAGAGTGAGAATGACCTGTCAAAAATTTAATGGGAGTGTGGCCACACTTTTCTCTCACAAATCGAATTGTGGTTAATGGTTAACTGATAGTTACAGCTGTTTGACAATCGACTATGCCTTCATATCACGTGATAAATTGTTACAGTGTATTCAGTATCATATGCAGCATAATATGCACTTATGCAGTTTACATATTTATGGGTCATTTATCAATTATAGGTTAAAATCGATAAAATTTGCATTGAAATATATCTTTATTGCTTGATACCTTTTTATACCCTCCACCAAAGTATGGAAGGAATATTAATTTTGTCATTCCGTTTGTAACTCGAAATGAATATTTTAGACCCCATAAGGTATATATATATATATATATATTCTTGATCAGCACATGATTTTATGTCGATTTAACTGTCCAGCTGTCTATCTTTACGTCTGTGGAAATCACTAGCTTTCGAATAAAATGAAGTAGGTTGATGAAAGTCTATATTGAAAATGGGCTATATAGGTCCACTTTTTGAGATCCCCTTTCTTTTAATCTAACGCTAGATTAAAAGAGTTTTGGCTGTTTTAGTCATTTGCTGGAAATTGGCACTTTGTGTTCCCTTTATGTGGTAAACATATTTGCAAAGAATTGTCCATATAGATCAAAGTTTAGGTGTAGTCTCCATATAACTCTATCCCCGATATTCTGTATTTATATTTTTTATGTCAAATTTTTCTCAGGAATTGTGTCAAATTAGATATTTGGAGTTTATAATGGATATTACTTCCACTGACAGAAAATTGCTTATACAGTTCCACGTATTTGGAATTTGAAGTTCGTAATGGGTTCTATGGCAGAAAACTGCCCGTGCAGGTCCACGTCTTCGCACAGCCCACATATAACGCTGCCTCCCTTTATTCGTTATTTTGATGATTCTAGCTAAATTTTTTTCTGGCAGATAATTATCTGTATCACTAACATTCGGAATTTTTAAAATTATACCGGTATTTGCAACGGATTTTTTTTACATTTTGCTTTTTTAAAAGTTCGGTCGAACTTAGCTATTTATACCCTATACCACAAGGTGGTATTATGTCTTTGTACATTTGTTTGTAAGAGGCAAAAGGAAACGAGATGACCTATAGTTCCTTTTAATGATCTGCATAGAATCACATTCTGAGCTGATTTATGGATGTCCGTCCGTCCGTCTGGCCGTCCGTTTTTATTGTCCGATCCAGATGAAATTTTGCAGAAATAATTTTTTTGGCCCAAGGACGAACCCTATTGAAATTGGAGATAATCGGTCAAAATTTACATACAGCGCCCATATATATCTTCGTTCGATTTGCCTTTTATTGTCCACCAAATGTTTAATATTAGCCCTAATAGGATGGAATTTGGCACTTTCGTTCAAATTGAGTCTAGAAACAAGTATGTCAAATTTGGGGAAAATCGGCACGCGATATTGGTTGCTTTGATTTCCTTACCTTCCCATGGTTTAGCTTTTGTATTTCTAATTATTTTTACTAAAAAGACATTTGTATGTATTTAATAATTAAAAATTAAATTTATTTGATATTTTAAACATTTCGTTGACATTAGATTTTTTTTTGATTTTTTTTTTTTTCAATACAAACTACAAACAGTTAATGTTAATTATTAATTTCAGGATACGGATATGATGATGAAACAAGGAACAATTTTTTTGGGGGGTTATATAAAAAATAAATTTCTAAAGGTGAAGCAACATTTTTCGTTGAATAAATATATTTAGAGACAAATTGAAATGTATTTATTAATCTTTTGATTTTTGTTATTATTGTAGTTGTTGCGTTTGAAACGTATAACGAACTAGGAATTGGGGGAAAATTCATGCGTGCGTAGATAGATATTTTGAAATAACAAATCCCATTACTTCGATTACCAGTTCCGAATACACAGAAAATAAAATACATACACACATATATACAAACAAACATACGGACACATTGATACTAAATTAAAATTGGTTTTCTTTTCGTGTCATTGCTATGATAAGCATACAAACATACATAAATTATAAATGTATATGACCGAATGTATGTATGTCACAATGTGTTTACATATCCAAAGCATTGTCAAAACAGGAGCACCACGAGCACCATAACCATTAAAGTTGTGTCCTAATGTCCACTTTTTTCACAAGCTTTGGTGGTGGGGTTGGGGTTGGTAATCGAATGGTGTCAAAACAACAATTAAGGAAAACCCATCCACCCAGGCGCATGGGTCATTAGTGTTTCATAGAGGATTTTTGGTTCGAGTATTGAAGGGGGGGCGAATCAAATTCATTTCCATTTCGGTCACTGTGGTATTCTAATCTTGGATGATGACGCAGCAATCTTGGCCCAGACAGTTAGTTAATCATTTAGTGGTTGCGTTCGTGTCGTATTGTGGAAGCTAAATAACAGGCCAATACAATGCCCAATATTTGTATGAAGGCAATGCCAATGCCCACACCAATCAAAATAACCGCATTCTTGTCAATGCGCTGCTTCAGTTTGCCAACACAGCCCTCCTAAAAATAGCGATTCGGAGAAAGGGTATAAATAAAATTAATTAAAAAACCAAAACAATAACAGGAGTTAATGCAAAGAAATAGCAATTCTCTGATGAATCATTGCCACTTTAATTTACCTGGAAATATTTATCTTTGCCCAATGCCGGTGATTCGGTGCAATGACCCACACTCTCTTCGATGTATTCGGGATGACAACAACTTGCCGGCAGGGTTTTATTGGCACTCATGGTGCGCCAATCCGAGGGATAATCAACACCGCAGCACATCAGCTTACGTTGGATATTGTCCCAGGCCATCATGTCATCCTTGTTCGAACGTTTAATGGAATCTTGCAATGAATTCTTGATGGCCATTTCCAGATCACTCTTAAAGACACTGGCCGCAATGCCCACTGCCAACTCGATTATGAAGATTATAGCCAAGAGCAGGGCATACTAGAAAAACAAGAAGAAACATATTTCAGAGAATTTAAGTTGGTTTTCCTTTTCGCCATAATTCTTACCGCCAACAGAAGGGTGGGTGATTCCTTGATTGCTCCAAAACATCCCAACGAGGCAATGAGAAATATTATCAGACCGGTCACAATCAAAACAATCGGAGGAGCGGTGACTTTTCCCTCAACAAAATGACTGAATTGATTGACATCGGCCAGTACAACGGCGCCAGCAATCAATATACCCAGACCGGATATCTGAAAGGCAAAATATTGAAAATTTGTAATTTGTACCATTGTCAAGGTCATGATTATAAATTGTTTGAAAATATTTTTTTTAACTTCGAGGATTTTTTTTGTTCGGAGAGGTTTCGCAGCACAATTATAAATGAGCGGCTCTATTAAGTTTGAAAAATACTGGCAAACTCGGTACCAATCTATGACGCCGTTGCGAATATAGTTCTTTCAATCGTGAAGTCATTGTTTCCTTTAGTTCCAAAATAGAAAAATAAAGCTTAAAAATAAATTTTGCAAACCACAACTAGTAAAGCAAGACTTTAAGTCGGGCGGGGCAGACTTTATGATACCCTATACCACTTTGTATATTTAGTAGAGCTTCACATAACAAATAAAAGTTTTTATGGGGAATTTGTGAGAATTAAATCATACGAAGGAAAAAATGCTACAATTTGTGCTAATACCTTTTCTGGGTCCTTAGTTCGCGTAGCCGGTTGAACGTACCCAGAAGAGAATATCTCTGGACCCAGAAAAGGTATTAGCACAAATTGTAGCATTTTGGAAAGGTAAGAGTCTCAACTATAATTTGGCATCAATTTTGTTGACCTCCATAATGGGCCCTTTTTCGACTTTTTGGAGGTTTTATAAAAAATCCGTGTCCAAAATATCGATAATTTGGCTTCCGAACCGTGACCACTTTCCCCATCATGTGACCACTTGTTAGATACGTATTTTCACAAGCTTTCAAGCGATTGTCTATATCGGGTAAATGGATTCGGTTCCAGCCCGGGTCTTGAACCCGGATTTTCGGGTCAAAAATCTGGGGTCCCAGCTCCGTCCCCCAAGAAAAAAAAATTCCTAGGATTAGATTCAAAATACTTATCACTGGAAAAAATTTCGAAAAAATTGAAGAGTTTTTACTAAACTAGAGTTAAGCTTCGATTTCTACTAAATTTGCCGAGGATTTGTGCCTTTTCCATTCGGGCTTGTATTACCCATTTGGTGCATGATTAACTTGAAATCGGGAAAATATATGTGGGAGCTATACCCAAATCTGAAATTAGGCAAAGATATTTCTAAGTTGTATTTTATATATTTCCAAGAATATCGTTGTTACCGAGTGTACATTACGGCTGTGGAGAACAAATATAAAAAATCGGATGAATAATATATATTGGACCTATAGCATATTTGAACCGATTTTCATCAAATTTGACATACTTGTTTCTAAACTCAATTTGATTGTAAGTTCCAAATTCCTAAAATTACACGTTTGTTGCACAATAAAAGACAATTCGGACGAAGATATATATGGGAGCTATATCCAAATCTGAACCGATCTTGATAAAATTTAGCAAAGGTATTTCTTTTGAGCTGTATTTGATATATTTCCCCAAATATCGTTGCTGCAGAGTGCATATTACGGCTGCGGACGACAAAAATAAAAGATCGGAGGAACAATATGTATGGGAGCTATAGCTATATCTGAGCCGATTTCGATCAAACTTGGTATACTTATTTTCAGGCCTAATTTGTTCGTATATGCAAAATTTTTTACTATTTGGGCTGATATTACATTACAAATCGGACGAAGATGTATATGGGAGCTATATCTAATTTTTGACCGATCTCCAATTTCAATAGGGTTCCTTGGGTTAAATAAATAATTTGAGCAAAATTTCAACAGGATCGGGAAAAAAGGCGACCTGTATTTTGTTTACAAAAATATATTGACAGAGGGACGGACATGCATAAATGTACTCAGAATGTGATTCCATTTAGATCATCAAAAGGAACTATGGGTCTATCTCGTTTCCTTTTGCCTGTTACAAACAAATGCACAAATACATAATACCCTGACCACCTTGTGATGTTGGGTATAATAAATAAAAGCTTGAATAAAATTTGACATCTTTTAAATTCGCAACTGTAGAACAGTGTTTTTCACCTTCCTCAAGGACATGTCAAAACTACACATTATATTATCGCAAAATCGAGACATATTTGCAATTACACGTAACAATTTACACTAATTGAGTTTTAATGTAAACCTAATATGGTCGAGACGAAACAGAAGTTACATTAAACAAATACAAAAAAAAAAAAAAAAAAAAAACAACACACATTTGTTATGATGTGTTAGTGGACAAAGTTTATTTATAAAAATAAGTTGTAAGTTCTGTTTTTGTTGAAAGTGAGATGTAATAGATTTTATGCTTTTCAAATTAATTTTGTTTTAAAAGTTTATATTTCGTTCTCTCTCTAATAGGGTCCCATAGAAATATCTCTTCAAATTGCCAAAGCAAGGCCTTAATAGCAATTAATGGCCTGGAAAACAATAGAAGATGCATGTATTTGACTGATTAGCGGGGGAAAATGTAATGCAATTGGACAGGATAAGATCCATTAAATCCATTTCATCATCTAATCGTTGACTTAAAGACCGCAATTAAATCTAATCAAGGGCATTTCTTTATAAAAACCAGTAAAATAGTATCTGTCGGTTTTGCCTACTGATGTATACCCCTAGCCTTGAGTTACGATTATTTAAACTGTTGACCCTTTATGGTGGAGGTTTCGAAGCAGTTTGCCAATATTGACCTAAGATTGATATAAATATTACTACGTGCCAGATTTGGACTATATCGACTACTTCCTATATTTTCTATGAAATATGTGCAAATTTTTGGAAAATGTGGAAATATGCGTGAGATACCAGATATAGTGGACCGAAGTGTATTCCATTTTCATACTTCATCTAAAGCAGATAAAAATATTGATAGAAGCAAAATTACAAGAAAACCGAACAATTATCTCCAATTTTATTCCAAATCATAAATTCCATATTCATCTCAGGTTCCTGGTAGAGAGAAATATTCAGATATAGCAAGTTGTAAAGAATAGTTGACTTGTTTCGCAAGTTATAACATATGGGTGAGGTACCAGAAGGGGTTCCTAGATATATGTCATTCTCACAACAGATCTCGTGTTAGTATATATAAAATTTAAAGAGAGTTGGATGCTTATTTTACATTCTTTGAGCGTTTGGTTATTCAAAATATTTAACCTTATGTGGGGGAGGTACCAGAAGAAATTGTCCGATCTCCACCATCTCTATAACAGATGTTGTGTTGATGGGAAATATTGAGATGTGCCAAGTCTGAATGAAATCGAATATCAATTTCGTGTTTTATAAGCTTTATAAATATTCAAAATGTTGATCCTTTGTGGGGGAGGTACCACAAGGAGTGGACCGATATATCCCATCTTCAGACCAGGCATTGGGTTAATAAAAATATTGCTATGTGTGTAATTTGAAGGCAATCGAACACTTACATAACATTTTATTAGAGTTAGAATTATTAAAATTGTTGACCCTTAGTGGGGAGGAATTTGATGGAGTGGACCGATGCAGTCCATTTTCGCACCAGACTTAGCACTGACGCAAATATAAGGATTTGCAAAGTTGGAGCAAAATCGGATTATCATTTCTCTTTCTGGGCAGAAAATATTTTGTTTTTTGAAAATTTTGACCATTTGTTGGGAGTGGACCGATATATTTTATCTTAACACCAGACCTTGTGTTAGTAAAAATATTGGGATGTGACAAATTTGACCGATATTACGAAGTACTAAGTTTGGATCAAATCGGATACTCCCTTCAAGAGTTATCGTGCGCACCATCTAGCCAGACGGACGGACATCGCTAAATCGACTCCAAATGTCCTGAAACGGATTTGGTCCAAAGAGACCTAGGGTCATTTGGCTAGCCATTTGGCCGAGGGTATAAAAAAACAGAAATTCTATACATGGCCGACCAAAAGCTGAATTATGAAGAACGATATGGTCTTTTAATGGACCAGCAAAAAAGTTATTCATAGAATTTTCTTTTCCAGAAGACTGAAAGGTCTTTCGAAATTTTTCTATGTCCGGTGTCCTTAAACAATATGTTTGTGATGAATTACTCTTATTTCGTTTTGATTAATGTTTCATGTTGCCACCAGTATTTCCTGTCAAATACAATTACCAAGGTACTTCATCAATCCCCAGATGTCATCGTTTTGACATAACACCTTGGGGAGTTACAAAAGTTGACATTTCTGTCGGCCATACAAAAAATTGTCGTCTTTAACTTTCCTCTTTTTGTGGCAGCTCGAAATTTATTTCACCTTCATACCGCTGCCATCATTACCAATGGTGGATTCACGACATTCAATTGCCTCTAATGTCGGCAATTTAATGTCCTTTAGTCGACGACTTGACTGATGGTTTCTGACGTCTGGTCATTATGAATGGCATTGTTGGAGTTCTAGTTCGTAGCAAATGTTTTGTGTTTGTGGACATACATATTTGCTCAACATTTGTTGGGGAATTGTTCTTGTTGTTCTTTCATGTATTTGAATATTGTAATTATTCATTAGAAATGACCCAACTTAGATTTACTGCCAGGATAAAGACGAAGTGTGGGATTAGACCGCAAACTCACTCACACACACCACACTCACACACACCACACTCACACACAATTATATATTTGATTAGAAATAATGCCTGCCTTTAACACCGAGCCTCTCAACATGAACTCAACTCATGCGAATTTTTCAACAAACGTTATTTGTTGGTGTTTTCTTTGTTTTTCTTTTTGCACTATTGGAATTTTCATTTGTCACTCCATGGAAGGTATGAAGAAATTCGAAGAAATGAAACACAATTTTGTATATTTTCATTTCATGTTAATTAACGCGATTTACATTTTCGGATAGGTGTGTGTGATTTTTATTATATCTCATCAAGATACGTCAATGACAAATATAGAATGGAGAGGAGGTTTTTACGGCTCTTATCTTCGATGTTTTGTGACACACAAACTTGTCAAAGCTGGGAATGAGAAAGTTTGTAAGACAATTCCATATTGTATGGGTGGTATTTATCTCAACAAAATCGAACAAAATATTTTCAGTGAAGGTTTTGCCTGGAACGTCCTTGGTATTTTGAAAGAAATTTTTTATTAAAATTTCTGAAACATACAGGGTGAGATGAAAAAACTGCAACCAACTTCAGACTGCTGTCATTTCTAAACCACTCGTCCGACAGCTATTACAATTATTCCAGTGGCAACTCATTATATTGCTTCCAAGCGTACAAAAGCATTTTACTGAGAATTTTCCAGAAAAAAGTTATTCGTGATGGAAATCAAGCGTGATAGTGTGATTTCTTTATACTTGGCTGGAAAACCGCAAGTGGCTATCGTTAGAGCACTTCAGCATTTAAATGTGAATAGATCTTTTCTCGGTCTCGTACCATCGCTCGTTACCGTGATACTGGTAGCATGGCCTGACGTCAAGGAAGTGGAAATATTGAAAAATGAGCTCAGGGTAAAGCCTTTAGCCCCCAACAAAAAGAAAATAGACTCACTTGTCCGAAAGAGATGAGAAAACATTCGATGTCCAGCAGTTTGTAAACAAACAAAATGATCGTGTTTACTTACCAAAGAGCTCAGCTGAAAATGTGCACCTTTAGTTGGCCACCAGAACTCAAGCACCGGACAGCCGATGGTCGCTCTCCGCTCGTATTAATCGACCTTGGCATCAGAATAAATGCCGAATATTATCGCGAAAATATTCTGGAGGGTGTATTAAAGCCTTGTGCCCTCAAACATTTTGGCCGCAGACCTTGGACATTTCAACAGGACTCAGCACTACCACACCCAATACGCACCACCCAAGAAGGGTTACAAAATGAGGTTCCTGGCTTCATTTCCAGGGCACTGTATCTGGGGTATTTTGGAAAGCAAGGTTGACACTAAAAAATACCAAAGTGTCGATCACCACAAGCAAGCACTTCACCGGGAATGGGTCAAAATATTCGTGCCAAAGGTGACCAATTCGAACAAATCTAAACTTATTCTAAAACTCGATGCTATTTCCGAAATCTGTTGCATTCATTCAATAATATAAAAAAGTAATAATTATGGCGTTTCAACAAATAAGCGCATTATAATGTCAAATAGTAGATATATGGAGGACACAGCAAAAGGAAAAACCACTTAGGGCACTTTTTTTGCCAAGGGGCTTTATGCTTATTAAGAAATCCAAAAACAAAACTATCTAGAGGCGTTAGTCTGTCTGGCTGGTGCGCACGATAACTCTGGAAGGGAGTTTCGTCCGAACTTTATTCGGCGTAATGTTATTATCATACTTAGATTGAGTTCGGAGATGGGTAATATCAGTCCACTCATTCTGGTACCTCGCAAAAGGCCACCATTTTCACAGAAAATAATTTACTTCATAGAACAAGAAAAGATCATTGGTGCCAATTCAGGTACGAAAATGGACAATATCGGACCACTCATTTTAGTACCTCCCCCTTAAAGGGTCAAAATGTTTAAAAAATGAAAATGAGACCAATAGTTCCGGTACCTCATCACAAGGGGTCAAAATTTTGAATAATCATAACTATTTTAAAAACAAATTGAGTATCCAATTCTTTTCAAACTGGGCATATTCCAATATTTCTACCAACACAAGATCTGGCGTGCAGATGGGATTGATTGGAGCACTCATTCTGGTAACTCCACCACAGTGGGCTAAAATTGTTAATTTTTTTTATCAACATTAGTTCCAATAAAAATATGGAATTTATCGGTCCACCCTCTCTTATACCTCCCCCAGGAAATTTCAACATTTTCAAAAAAAAAACACATACCTCATATTAAGTGAAGAGCGTAGTCGATATATTCCAAATCTGGCACGTCGTACTATTTATATCAGATGCGAAGTGAACAATATTGGTCCGTCCACTCCTTCGGTATATCCTCCAAAAGAAAGACACATTTTGAATAGTTATAACGACACTCTGACGCTTTTCAATGTGTTAATTTTTTATTACTTCATCCATTTGATTTTCGGAATTTTGAAGTTGTATTCAAAGTTTCCACACCAATTTGCTTAAAATTGATAGTTTGGATTTCACATTTTCACATGAGCTCCATACAGCGGTAACCATCCATTTAATTTATTTTTACGAACCTAGCCATATAAAATGTTTTTATGACAATTTTGAAAAAAAAATGTCTACAAAATCCATGAGTGTCTTATCTCAATTTTTTAATTTATCTATGGACATCAATTTGATATCTCATACATCTTTTTTCAAATGTTTGGAAACTTAAACTTTTTCAGTTATAAACTTTTTTTGATTAAAGGAGCGACATGTCCATTCAAAGAAGAAAATTAAATAATTTTATTTCGGATATTCCACGGAAGGTCCATCCATTAGCTACCTTTTTTTCACCTCCCTATCTAACCTTTGAATAATAATTTCAATTAAATATTTTACTTACCGCAAACACGACATTAAAAATAAAAAGGGTGTACTTTATCATATTCATGCCACACGAACGTATTTTGATTTTCATTTTGAAGTTTGATTTTTTGCGGTTTTAAAATTTAAACTCTTTTTTTTTGAAGGGCTGTTGATGATTAAAAATTTATTTATTTTCACCGGACTCTCTTTCTATTAATTGTTCTCCTTGGTTTGCGGTTGTTTATTCAAAGTGCCGGTTTCGAGCAACTATCCAAAACGGCGTTTCAATTCCAACTGACCAATGTTGAACGCTTCGATTGACGACCAAAGTTGCGTTGGTGGTGGCCACAACTCCTTTTCGATGTAACTAGGCCGGCCGCCGATCAATGTGAAACGCCAACAGCAGCAGCAGCGTTGTACACGAACACCGGACCTCTTTCGAAAATTATAAGGAACAAAAAAGCAAATCAAAGGTGATATCCTGTGAATATATGTTGTAAGTGTGGCAGCAAACAAAACAAACAGGGTTGAAGCCAAGGGTAATTCGTAGCAAAGGCGAATTACTCAATGGATAAGGATGTCCGATTTTATTAGGTCTGTGTAGAGTTGGGCTGAGTTGAGATGTTTCAACTGGATCTATTAAACATTTGGAAATATTTTTTAAGAAAATACATTTAATTCTGCAGAAGCAGAAATTTGTTGTTTGATTCATTTATAAGCTTTCTAGAAGAATTTTGTGAAGGACAGATATGAGTTCAAAATCAACAAGTAGAAGGCAGAATCAGGAAATAACAAGCAAGAAGAATATTAAATTCGGCTAGGCCGAATTTTTTCAACTTCGTCGAAGTCGAATCAAAACGAAAAATCAAATCGCTTGGTTAATAAGGTCGAAGTTAGTAGTTTACCATATGAACGTTTTATTAGAATCTTTACCGACAATGTTATTTTTTGCGATTAGTAATTCCACTCATTGAGATTCCAGCCTTTGAAATTGAGATTGCAGGCTTTTCGGCTAGAAAATAAATTGAACGAATGTTTGAAGCGCAATTGCTCAAAATACTGGATCTATGGTGAACAATTTTTGCGAAGCAGTTTATATTCATTTGGGGATCAAATATCTTAATATCTGTTGAAAAAGACTGAAACATAAAAAATACCGCAAAGAGAGGCATTTCTCCCTAGTTTTGTCACATCAGAGCTCAAATTACGAATTTGGAGCCAATTTGGTTAGATATTCTGGCTGTAATTTAAAATATATCTAAATGGTTAAAATCTTCGTAAGACTTGGTCTTTCATAACCTTTATGGAGGAAGTCTGGAGCAGTATTTTTTATATTCCGTGGAGGTTTTTTTATGGAATTTGCTATAAGTTCTTCATGAATTGTGTAGACATTTTTTATAGCTATATTACAATACGTATCTATGTTCTTGGAGGAAACTTGAAAGGCTTTCTAAAAATTGTCTACATTTTCCATCAAAATCTTCATTTGTAGTTGCAGAAGTCATCCCTATATCTTGCAGAAGACTTCTACAGGCTTTGAATAAGTCTTTTATAGACTTCGCAAGTTTTTGTAGGAAGTTTTGTATGCGTCTTTAATTAATTTTTATACCCTCAGCCATATGGCTGGAGAGGGTATATATCATTTGATACGGCCAAAACGTGCCTCATCGAAATAACGGTTTTAGAATTAGGTTTCTCTGGACCAAATCCGTCTCAGGATATTTGGAGTCGATCTAGCGATGTCCCTCCGTCTGTCTGGCTGGTGCGCACCATAACTCTCGAAGGGAGTATCCAATTTGGTCCAAACTTGGTACCATTAATATTATTATCAAATTTTGATCGTGTTCGGAGATGGGCAATATTGGTTCATTCCTTCTGGTACCTCCCCCCCCAAAAATTTGAAATTTTCAAAAAAAATGTTTTTCTGCACAGAAAGGGAAAGGATAATCCGATTTTGCTCCTACTTTGCAAATCCTAATATTTGCATCAGTGCTAGGTGCGACAATGGACAATATCGGCCCACTCCATCAAATATCTCCCCCACAAAGCGTCAACATTTTGAATAATTATAACTCTTATAAAATATAATACTCTCATTAACCCTATGTCTAGTGTGAAGATGGAATAAATCAGTCCACTCCTTCTGGTACCTCCCCCACAAAGGATCAAAATTTTGAATATTCATGAAGCTCATAAAACATTCACACTTGAGACGTCTCAATATTCTCATCAACACAAGATCTGTTATAAAGATGGTAGAGATCGGACCATTCCTTCTTCAACTTCCCCACAAATGGTCAAAGTTTTGAATAACCAAAACGATTTAAAATCCGAAGTAACCATCCGGTTCTCTTCAAATTACACACATCACAATATTTTAATAAATATAAGGTCTGGTGTGAAATTGGGACATATCGCTTCACTCCTTCTGGTACCTCTTCCACAAAGGGTAAACATTTTGAATATTCATGAAGATCATAAAATACGAAATTAACATCCGATTCCATTCAGACTTTACACGTCTTAATATTTCCATCAACACAAAATCTGTTATAAAAATGGTAGAGGTCAGACGATTTCTTCTGGTACCTCCCAAACATATTGTTCAAGATTTGAATAAAAAACAAAACGCTCAAAGGAAGCGAAATAAGCATCCAACTCTTTTTAAATGTTACACATACAAACATTTTTGTTAACACAAGATCTCTTGTGAAGATGATATATATCTGCGGACCTCTTATTTTACCTCACTCAAAAAGGAGCACAATTTTTAATACTTATATCTGTCATAACTTACGAAACGAGTCGTTGATTCTGATATGAATCTGATATGGATATGTAATTTATCGATATTTATGATTTCGAATTAAATTTGATATTAATGTTCGATTTCCTTCAAATTTTGCAGATGATGGCATCAGAACGAATGCTTCGGTCCGCTATATCTGATGCCTCACGTATAATTCTAAATTTTGCAAAAAATTGCACATATCCCATGTAAAGTATAGACGTAGTCGATATAGTCTAAATTTGACACGTTGTAGTATGTTTATCAGTCTTAGGTAAGATACGAATTGGTCAGTATTGGCCAACTACTTCGGAACCTCCCCCGTACTTCCTATGAAATTTTCATATTAAAATAAATAAAATAAGTAGATTTTTTTGGCTGTCATGTAAGACTGTTTTAGATTCGACTACTTAGAATTCCTCTATGGGCATTTTTGAAGTCTTCTATGGTCTTATTAGAGTTCGTCTATAATCTACATGAAATACTTCAACAGGCTTCCTAATAATATTTCATTCCCCACTTGAAAGTCTTACCATAAATTTCGCAGAAGCTGTTCATGGAAATCCTTTATATTTTGTCGGAAGTCTTTTTTCGATTGGTGGCCATCAATTATCGTCGCCTGCAATTTATTTTGCGCCCTTTTTGCCCCCCTGGATGTGACAAATGTTGAATGGCGAACGACGACCTATTTTAGCTACAAAACTATGTTCAATAGAAAAGCCGCCGCTCGCTCACACAACTTTGGTTTTCATGTTTAGCGAATATGAGTGAAGCCAAAATTTCCAAAAAAAAGAAAACATCAAAAATTGTCGGTAGGTTCCAACAAAATTTTTATTCCCCTGCTTCCCAAGAAGAGGAGGAAGTTCTACTGTGTTTTCAATGAAATTTATTCCTTTTTTCGAGGTTTCTTAGCATTTTTGCCTATTCGAGAACATCAAATACCATTCAGCTTTTCACACTAGGTTTGAGGTTAATATTCCTACACGCACACACACAAATATGCATGTGTATGTATGTATATAGGTGCCTTTGCTGAACTGTGTAATTCCTTGAAGCGGGACTTCCTTTAGGTGGTAGCCATGGTTTTTTTAATGGTTAAAGTTCTCATTTCACATTTCTTGTGACCTGACCACATCACCGCCATTGGATGGATGGTCGGTCGTTCGGTCGATGGGTCGCGTCATTGCAAGTATTTGGGGAAAAAGGGGTCATCGTAGTAAATATATTGTTGGTAAGTGCGTGCGTCTGTCCGTCCGTCTGTGCGTCGGTGTGTGTCCAGTGTGTAATTAGAGTTCGTTATAATGCCAATGACCCAAGTGACTGAGGCAAACTGTTGTTCCTTTTGTTGTTGTTGCTGTTGTTGTTTTTGTGTCAATCAAAACGGACTCCCTATTAATTGGAAACATTTCGAATCGTACGACGTTCTCGTCGCTTCCAATGAACTGGTTTTGATTGGAAAACATTTTGAATGTTTTTTTTTTTTCTGGGAATTTTCTATGGGTCACTAACCATTAAATGTGAATATGAATCGGCGATTAATGCGACGATGAAATCATAATCACACAAACAGATCCACTGCGAATGAGTTTGGGGGGGTTGGGAGTTTGGTACTCAACTGCGGGCAATATTGGAGTTGAAAGTGTTCGCCAATGACTTTTAATTTCTAAATAGCGGAATAGGGGGATGATTCTGCGATAATTATTTTTGCTCAATATTTCATTAGTTTGCGAATTTATTTCTAAACATTTGGCAGATAATTATCTTTAATGTATGAAAATTTAAAATTATTTGTAATAAATGCTAAATTTGAAAATTATTGAAATTCAATAATTTCAATTAATTCCACAGACACAAGTATCTATGGGATTTCAAAAGGATACAACAGCTATTCATTTCATTGTGGAAAGGATACAGACATTTTTATACCCTCAGCCATATGGCTAGAGAGGGTATATATCATTTTATAGGGCCAAAACGTGCCATAACGGTTTTAGATCCTAGGTCTCTTTGGACCAAATCCGTTTCAGCACATTTGGAGTCGATCTAGTTATGTCCGTCCGTCTCTCTGGCTGGCTGGTGCACACGATAACATAGATTTGAACCAAACTTGGTACATCGTAATATTATTGTCAAACATAGATCGAGTTCGGAAATAGACAATATCGGTCCACTCCTCCTGGTACCTCTCCCACAAAATATCAACATTGTCAAAGAAAATAATTTACTGCACAGAAAGATAAAGGATAATCCGGCTCCAATTTTGCAAATCCTAATATTTGCATCATTGCTATGTCAGGTGCGAAAATGGACAATATCGGTTCACAGCATCAATTACCTCCCCCACAAAGAGTCAAAATTTTAAATAATTATAATTTATATAAAATGTCTTCAAATTACACAAATCAAAATATTTTTTTTTAACCCAAGCTCTGGTGTGAAAATGTGATACATCGGTCCACTCCTTCTGCTACCTCCCCCGCAAAAGGTCAAAATTTTGAATATTCATAAAGTTCATAAAACACGAAATCAATATCCGACTCACATTCAGACTTGGCACATCTCAATATTTCAATCAACACAAGATCTGATATAAAGATTGTAGAGATCGGGCCATTTCTTCTGGTATCTCCTCCACATAGGGTTCAAGATTTTGAAAGGCAAACGAAGCGAATTTAAAATTTTGCACATACCAATGTTTTTACCTGAATTAGATGAGGTATGAAAATGGAATACTTCGGTCCGCTATATCTTTTACCTCAAGCATATTTCGACATTATCCAAAATTTTGCACACATCTCATATAGAGTATAGGAAGTAGTCGATATAGCCAGTCTTAGATCAGATACGAATTGGTTAATATTGGGCAACTGCTTCGAACCTCACCTGTAAAGGGTAAATAGTTTTAATAATCATAACTCAAGGCTGGGGGTATACATCTGTTGGCAAAACCGACTGATACTACCGTTTAACGACATCCGCTTCATCAGAAAACTCAGTGCTTGAGAATAATTCCAGTTTAAAGAACTATAGGTTTTTGTTTTAGTTCAGATTCGTATACCCATACATTATTTGTGATATAATTTCTGTCATTTTTACTAGAGACGAAATTTTTTTTTGAAACATGTGTCGAACTAAGTCATAACCCTTGTCCGGAAATTGAATTGCAATTCGATCTTTACAATTGCGACGTCAAAAAGGTATTCTTTTGTAACAATACAAAAATTATTAAAAAGACACGCACGTTTTTTTTTTGTCGAATTTATTCGAGCACAGCTGTATTTATACAATTTTGATGTTACAACATCATTTTATTTATGTGGATGTATGTGTGTGTAAAACCATGTTGTTCGCAATTTTTTTCTTTGTTTTGGATTTTTTTATTTTACATAATTTTTTCTTTTAAAAAGTATTGGAAGTTGCTCTTCAAATTTTCTTAAAACTAGAACTTCAATCATTTGAACGTACCAAAAGAAGCATTATGTAGATGCGTAGGTATATTCGATGTTTCGTATACATTTCCATTTTTTTTGAGTATACAAAAAATGCAGTGGAATTTTCACAAAACGCCAGATCACTTTCGAATTACTGTTGGATCGATTCAATTTTGTTGCGTTTACAGCGTTGCCACCATAATCCATTTTCTTTGTGCAATTATGGTAAAGAATAAATTTGCTGACAGATATATACCTTAGGAATTGGAATTTATTGAAATACGTTAAGTGTATATGTGTGCTAACCCTTTTGGACCAAAGGCAAAAACCCGAAACCATGCAATTTGCCATCATATCCTTGAAGACATATTTTTGTACCCTCCACCATACATAGTATGGAGGGTATATTAAGTTCGTTATTCCGTTTGTAACTCATCGAAATAATAATTTTGGACACAACAAAGTATATATATTCTTGATCAGCGTAAAATTCTAAGACGACAATTCTAAGCCTTGTCCGTCTGTCTCTTGTAATCACGCTAGAGTCAAAACGAATAAAGATAGGAAGCTAAAATTTTGCACCAATCTGTCTTTTGTCTGCAGGCAAGTCGAGTTCGAAGATGGGCTATATCGGTCGAAGATATCGTATAGCCCCATATAACGGTACCCCCGATATTCGGTATTTTGATGATTTGAACCATATTTTTTGAAATTCTACACAAGAAGTTCTTCGTGACTACTTCACCCCCTTACTAAGAACTGTATACATGGGTCCACGATACATTGGTGCCCCCTATATTCGGTATTTTGATGAAGGAAAATTGTCTACATTGGTCCACAATATCATATATCCCCCTTCCGATATACGGTATTTCGATGATTTTAGCCACATTTTTTAAAGTAATTTTTTAAAATTCTTCACAAGGAGTTCTCTGTGAATACTTTACCCCATGTAAGAGAACTGTTTATATAGGCCCACGATATCGTATTGCCCTCATACAATGGCGCAATCCGATATTTGGTATTTTGATCATTTAAACCTTATTTTTCAATGGAATTGTCTGAAATTCTGTACAAGGAGTTCTTCGTTACTACTTTACCCCTTGAAAAATAATTGTCTATACAGGTCCACGATATCGTATAGCCCCCATACAATGTTGGCTCCCGATATTCGATATTTTTATGACTTAAGCCACATATTTCAATGGAATTCGCTTAACATTCACATAAGGAGTTCCTTATGAGTACTTTACCCCCTAAAGGAGAATTGTCTATATAGATCTACGATATCGTATATCCACCATGTAAGTGTACCGCTCAATATTCGGTATTTTGATGATTCGGACCACATTTTTGAATAAAATTGTTTAAAATTCGTGACATTATTATTCACCAGAATTGCGCCAAATTTCGTATTTGAAGTTCGTAATGGGTACTACAACCTATGACGGAAAATTGTCTATGCAGGTCCACGTCTTAGTATGTTTATTCGGTATTTTGATGATATTACCGACATTTTTTACCGGAATTGTTTCTAATTTCGTATTTGAAGTTCGGAATCGTTGCTACAGCATATGACAAAAATTTCTTATCCAGCAACACGTCTAGCCCCCATATAAAGGTTTTTCTTTGAGCGGTATTTTTCGACGGAATTTTATTTTTTAAGTTCCTTCTGAATGTTGGAGGATCGGCCCGGCCCGGCCGAACTTAGATGCATTCTTACTTGTTCACACTATTCTGTTTGCTAGATATTCTTATAAAATAAATGATTTTTTGTCATGAAGTACAGGGTAAGATGAAAAAACTGCAACCAACTTCAGACTGCTGTCATTTTTAAGCCACTCGTCCGACAGTTGTTAAAATTATTCCAATGACAGATCATTATATTGTTTACAAGCATACAAAAGAATTTTAGTGAAAATTTTCCAGAATAAAATTCGTGATGGAATTCAAGCGTGATAGTGTGTTTTCTTTATATTTGGCTCGAAAAACACAAGTGGCTATCGTTAGAGTACTCCAGCATTTAAATGTGAATAAATCTTGTTTGTCTCGTACCATCGCTCGTTAACGTGATGCTGGTAGCGTAGCCCGACGTCAATGAAGTGGACGGAAGAAAACAGCAACATCAGCAGAAATGGTCCGAATAGTGAGGAAGCGACTTGATCGAAACCCGCCTCGCAATGTCCGAAAAATGACTCTTGAGCTGAACATATCGCAATATTCCATTCGGCAAATATTGAAAAATGAGCTTGGGGTAAAGCCATTGAAATTCCAAAAAGTGCAAGAACTTACACCGCAACAGAAAGAAAATAGACTTCAAAGAGCTAAAAAGTTGCTTCGCTACAAAATACAAATACTGAATATTGGAGTGTATCGTTATATAGGGGGCCTATACGGAGACGTGAACCTGCATGTGTAATTTTTTTTTTTTCATATGTTCTTCATACCCTACCTTGTGTTAATAAAAACATTGAGATTTGCAAAGTTGGAGCAAAATTTGTAACCCTTTCTTTTTCTGTGCACTAAACTATTTATTTCAAATGTCGACCCTTTGTGGGGGAGGTATCAGAAGGAGTGGACCAATGTTGCCCATCTCCGAACTCGATCTAAGTTTGATAATAATATTCCGATGTACCAAGTTTGGACCAAATCGGATATTCACTCAGCCAGACAGACAGACGGACGAACGGACATCGCTAGATCGAGTCCAAATGTCCTGAAACGGATTGGGTCCAAAGAGACCAAACCTTCAGTCAAAAGTCAGAATTCGGACATATGTCGTAGGCCAACATTTGGTTCGCTGGATTGCTGGTTAATTTTTCTCAAGTGTTGTTTATAATATCATCGAAAAAATACCTCTATTTATGGGGAAAGGAGATTTCAAAGTATTTCCATGTTTTAATGAAAGATTTTTCACTTTCACAATTTTATTTGTTCTTAAATATTTAAAAAAAAAAACGGATGGAATAGAATTATAGTTGAACACGACAACAGAGGAACATTTAAAGATTTTGGCAGTTTGTCTTCATGTACACACACATCCAAGAAACTCATTCGATATCCTCTCTATACCCTTCGGACGTGTTCATCTACATTATGCATAAATATGTATTAAATAACAAAAATAATAAAAAACACAATTATCTACGTTTCCTTTCTACAAAAACAATTTCGATAAAAACATAGCCAAGCCAAGGTAAATAATGCTGGACGAGACTGTCACTCCAGTCAGGGTGGCGGGTCCACCATTTCGTGTACAGGGCAATTCTCCAAAACCCTCCAGGCTGGAAAAAATAAATTTAATTTTCAAATAGTTTCAGTCAAATTAGATCATGATTTTGTTGGTTTGTTGTAGTGAATGGAGTTGTTGTTGTTGTTCTTGCTTTAGACCAGGTTAATAGAAATATGGATAGGGAGGCTGATAATGATATGGCTGAGGATAATGATATGGATAGCCGACATGATGCGGATACGTTGCGTATGAAGAGGAAAGCAAAGGATAGACAACAGAGTCCCTGGGCCGGTCGTGCGGTACATAGAATGTGGGCTGAAATGAAGGATGGCGATGATGTTGTTGCTCTTGTTGTTGTGAAGTAGAACAAGGTGATGCAGATGGCTGTTGCTGGTGATAAGGGCTGAAAATAAAATTCAACAGTTAAGATTAGACGACGACGACGACACAGACAGAAACACTTAAAATGGTGGGGTGGGGGGTGGGGTGTGTGTCTTACAACGGCCACTCCACAACTTAACGTTACGTTACGAATGACCACAGATAGTTGAGTTATTTTGTTATTACATTTCTACTATCCCAACAAAAACAACACACCTTTCAGGCTTTTAGCAGTTAATTAGTGTTCTTTTTATTCACCATGGGGACTCGAATTCGGACCTGGACCTCTTAGTGTGTAATCCAAAAAATAAAAAAATATTGGAATATCTATCGCCAAGTTTTTTATTCCCCAACAAAAAAATGAGATTCCTGGATGGGGAATAGAAAACCATTTGGCTCAAGCTACGAGACATAACCTCAAAACTTAGACTATGTTTTAGTAGTTCAAAGCAAATTAAAAACACAAAAACTAAATAAAAATACACAAATGACACACACATACACATAAATTTTAGTAGTAGTAGTAGTAGTGGTACACAAACAAACTGGTTAGACAATTATTTTGTAAACACACATTGGATTTCAGGACAAAAACAAAAGACTTCAATTAACTCTGTATTAAGTAAAAATGTCGTGATGAGCGGCCGCATAGGCCGGGCTAATCACAAGGAAAACCAAAGGACAATGACGAATATTTACTTGACACCAATAACGCCGCAGGCAGCACGTCCACCAGCATTGCCGGTTTTCTTGGAATCGGGGTGAGTGGTCTTGCCCAAGTCATCAACATTGTCGTGAATGACCAAGCCACGGCCAAGAATGGTACGGGGTCCGGTCAGACTGATCAGGTGATCGGTGAAGGTGGTGTCCACAACACCATTGGCATTGGCCTCAATGTTGCCCAAGTCACCAACGTGGCGTACCTCATCACGGGGACCGCCATGATCCATCTAAAGGAAATAATGTTATCATCTGGAATTTTGGGATCCAAAGCACAGCTTACCTTATCGGGATTGAAATGTCCTCCCAAACTGGCACAGCCATTAGACAAATCTCCCTTCTCGTGGACATGGAAACCATGTTTACCCGGTGTCAGGCCACTGATGTAGACACGAACATGGACATTCTCACCACAGGCATTCTGTATGAAGGTCACATTGCCAACAGCTCCGGAGGGTCCCGTCACATAGGCAATGGCTTCCATGCGGGTATTTTTCTAAGGTTTAGTTTGAGATTTGCCGTAAGACTAGAAGTCATTTGAAGCGATCACTCTACAACTTACCTCAGCCGATTTGGCCGACACAGCCGTAACGGCCATTACTGTTATTAACAATTGCCAAGCATTCATCGTGATGGTTATCTGCAAGATAAAAGAAATGTCACATGAAAAAGTGTTAAAATGGAAGATTTCACATTTTATATTTCTATAGAACAAGAATTCAGCGGGCTGAAGTATTCCATTTTCATACTTCATCTAATACAGGAAAAAATATTGGTATGGGCAAGATTACAAGAAAATCGAAGATTTATATCCGAAATCATAAATCCATATTCATCTCAGGTTTCTGGTTGAGAGAAACATTTAGATATAGAGAGTCGTAAAGAATCGCCGATTTGTATCGGAACTTATGTCAGATAAAAGTATTAAAAATTATGACCTTATAATAATTATGATATTATATAGCATCTTCACAACAGATCTTGTGTTCGGATGAGTTGGATGCTTATTTCGCTTTCTTTGGGCGTTTTCTTTTTCAAAATCTTGAACCCTATGTGGGAAAGATACCAGAAGAAATGGTCCGATCACTACCATCTTTATAAAAGATCTTGTGTTGACGGAAATATTGAGATGTACCAAGTCTGAATGGAATCGGATGTTAATTTCGCGTTTTATGAGCTCCATGGATATTTAAAATGGTGACCCTTTGTGGGGGAGATATCAGAAAAAGAGGACCGATATATCCCATCTTCACAACAGATCTTGTGTTAGTAGAAATAATAGGGATGCTTGAAATATTAAGCGAATCGGATGCTTATATCGGATTTTACATACGATGTTGTTATTCAAAATTTTGACTTTTTTGGCGAAGGTACCAGAAGGAGTGGACAGACATATTCCATCGTCACACCATACCATGGGTTAATAAGAATAATATGATGTGTGTAATTTGAAGACAATCTGACTCTTACATCATATTTTATAAAAGTCATAATTATTCAAAATGTTGACCCTTTGTTAGAGTAGACCGATTTTATCCCTTTTCTCATTTGACATAACACTAATGCAAATATTAGGATTTGCAAAGTTGGGACAACATGGATTTTCCTCTCTCTTTCTGTGCAGTAAATGATTTTCTTTGAAAATGTTGACATTTTGTGGGGGAGGTACCAGAAAGAGTGGACCAATATTGTCCATCTCCGGATTTAATCTAAATTTGATAAAAATATCTCCCTTGGAGAGTTATCGTACGCACCATCCAGCCAGACAGACAGACAGACTCCAAATGTCCTGAAGCGGATTTCGTCCAAAGGATCCGAGTTCCACGAAATGGAACCATACGTCCCGAAATTCCCTTCATTTGGCCTGATATTAGCCATTATTTGCACAATAAACCTAAAATCGCATTAAGTTTATATATAGGAGCTATATCCAAATCTTAGCCGATCTCGATAAAATTTGCAAAGGTATTTCCGAGCTCTATGAGCTATCTTGTACTAAATATCATTGTTGTCGAATGCATATTACGAATATGAGGGACTTTTCTCCAAATTGGCTTCCAGACTGTATTCGGTCGGATATGCCAAAATTCAGGTCATTTGAGCTGATATTGGCCATTTGGTGCACAATTTAACCAGAATCGGTTGAAGATATATATGGGAGCTATATTCAAATCTGAGCCGATCTTAATATAATTTGAAGTATTTCTGGGCTGTATCTGAAGTTCGGTACCAAATATCATGGTTGTCGAATGCATATTACGAATGTGAAGGACTTAAACACCAAATCGGATGAAACATATGTATGGGAGCTATAGCTATATCTGAACCGATTTTCACCAAATTTGTTGTACTTGCTTTAAGACTGAATTCGGTGGGATATGCCAAAATTGAGGTCATTCGGACTGATATTGGATATTTGGTGCACAATTAACCGGAATCGGTTGAAGATATATATGGGAGCTATATCTAAATCTGATCCGATCCAATTTCAATAGTGTTCGTCCTTGGGCCAAACGAATATTGTTTAGAAAATTTCATCTCAATCGAATAATAAATGCGATATGTATTTTGTTCACAAGAATACATTATAGATGGACGGGCAGACGGACTGACATGCATATCGATTCAGAAAGTGATTCTATGAAGATTCTCAAAAGTAACCATGAAAATATTTCGGAAACCTTTAAAGCACCTTTATTTTAAGTGCATACCTTTTAGTAGCACCAATCCGCCTAATTATGTTTGTTTTGCATATCTTTCAGATCAAAATCACCTCGACGACAGCAAAAGGTAAGTTGGAGATTGATATATTTTAGATTTGATGAATTCATAAAAAATACCTGATCTGATCTGATTTTTTTTGGCTGATTCATCAATAATCCAATAAATAATTGGAAGGATTTGGGAAATTCCGTAAAATCACTAATTTTTGTTCTCCTAAGCGCCCCACCTCCCGGTCTATCGAAATGTATGTGTGTATAGAATATAGTGTTCTGCTAGTGGCACACAAATTTTTTTTTGTTAAATTAGTGTCATTATACGTGCCAGATATGGAAGCAACAAACCTCCATAATAATAACAACAAATACAACAAAAACACAATTTTTACAAATCTCGTGCTTTAATCAATTTTTGTTTGTTGTTGTGTGGACAGTGCTCCTCTCGCTTTTTTATTTTCTTTTTTTATTATTCCAAAAGGTGATTCCATAATTCGACCACCCCACACGTTCGTTATATTCTCTAGGTTGACTTTAGTTTTTTTTTTTCAATTTTTATGTCGGCCGTTGGTCAGTTGATCGTATTACTGACCTCTTCTGTTAAGTAGTCTGGTTTCTGCTGCTGTTGTTGTTGTGTTTGCTATGTCGTGCTGAGTATGTATTTTTGTCGTATGTTAACCTTAATGTTTGATTCAATAACGAGAATAGAATCTGGATTGAGAGAACAAAATATTGCACGAATCAGAAAAAAGCGGAAAGTAGTTTTGATGACGACAACTATTTTTCCGAATCGCCAATGTTGTCTGCCGACAATCGAGCGGCTCACTCACTGACACAGGGTCAAGTGTGTAAAGGTTAATTAATCAACGCAATGGGACACCCGATTATCTGGTTTTTGAATTATTTGCACCAAACCAACAAAGAAAACAAAATAAATTGAATAAAAGGCGAAAGAGGGAGAAAAATTAAAACGAAACAGTTAAAAAATATTACCTTCCGTTTGCCGTTGCTATTTTCGAACATTCACATACCTCTCCACCTATATGGGCATTTAACTGAAAAACAGAAAAGTTGTCCCCTCAGTGGAAACTGGTTTTAATTGTTTATTTTGATTTCAATCCAAGCAACCATTTAATAAAAGATTGCAGATTCGATCCTTAATTTAAACATTGGAATTAAAAATATATTAACAGCAAATACCAATATGGGTGCCTAAGGCGAATTGCTTTGAGTTTGAGAGCAAACAAAATAGTAATAACCCTATTCTTGGGAATAATATTGCAAGACTACGAAAATTTTTTTAAAAATTAATAATTTTTTGTTAGTGATCAGCAAATATTTTAAACAAAATTTCGTAAATCTGCATTAAATATTGAAAATTTGGTCTTAGATGATAGTTTTTTTAATGCAGATAACTACAAATACTCTTAGGTTTTATCCCCACGAAGTCAAGATTGAAAGTCGATTTGTCTTCATTTTTTTTTCTAAAATAGAATTTCGGCTTCTATGTTCCATATTTTTAAGAGTAGTTGCCAAGAGATTTTCAGCTTTTTGTTGTGGTAATAGATAATAGTAGTAGAAATCTATCAAAAACCTTTGATCACAAATTAGATTACAAAAAGTCAACCTTCAACATTTAGTTTCTGCTAAAATCGATTAATCAAAAGCCGATTTTAGAGTCTATGATTGAGACATGACTCTCCATGCATTGTTGAATTTTGAATATATCACATTCTTTAAATTTTTTTCTCAATACCTTTTACCATTCTTATACCTTGCAGAATTTTGATCAAATTTGAAATTTCTATATAAAATGTGCAAGAACTTTAACATTTTTGGGGTCATGGTGTTATACATCTGCACCTCTACCATCACAATGCTGAATAAGAGTTCCGTAAGGAATTTCTCTCTATTCCCTTTTTTTCAATCATAGACCAAAAATTCTTTTTGAGAAATAATTCTGAGGGGGAAAAAAGTTTTAAAATTGAATTGACAGAAAATTTTCACTTCAAAAAACAAAGGAAATTTGTAAAAAAAATTATATCTTTTTGTCACCAGCTGTAGTTTCGATTTCGAACTTCAAATACGAAATTTGACACAAAGTCGCTAAAATCATCAAATTTGAAACAATTCCGGTGAATAATGTTGTTAATATCATCAAAATACCGGATAAAGAGAGGTATACTTATATCTGGGTTATACGAGGACGTGGGCCTTCATAGACAATTTTCTGGCATAGGTTGTAGTACTCATTATGAGCTTCAAACTTCAAATACAAAATTTCAAACAATTCCGATCAAAAATGTTGCTAATATCATCAGGAACCGTAATATGTAGGACTATACGATGATAGTGGACCTACCGAGGCAATTCTCTTCCAGTGGTTAAAGTACTCAGAAGCAAATCCTAGCGTGGATTCTAAGATAATTGCATTAAAAAAATTGGCCACAATCATCCAAATACCGAATATATATAAGCATTGAAAATTCTGACTCTTTGTGGCTGAGGTACCAGAACGTGTTGGCAGATATCAGATTTTGCAAAATGTTAGGATGTGTGAAATTTGGATAGAGTTGGATGCTAATTCCGAGTTTTATGAGCGTTTTGTTTTTCAAAATTTTGAATTCTCTGTGGGGGAAGAACCAGAAGTGCGCCTATATATTTAATTTTTATAGCAGATCTTGTGCTAGTAAAAAAAGGCATGCGTGATATTTAAAGAGAACCGGATGCGTATTTTCCATTTTATAAGGGCTTTAGTTATTCAATAATTTGACCCTTTGTGGGGAAGGTACCAGAAGGAATAGTCCGATCCCTACCATCCTTATAACAGATCTAGTGTTGGTAGAAATATTCAGATGTGCCAAGTCGGAATGGATTCGGATGTTAATTTCGCGTTTTATGTGCTTTATGGATATTCAACATTTTCACTCTTTGTGGGGGAGATACCAGAAGGAGTGGACAGATATATTTCCTCTTCACGCCAGATTTTGGGTTAGTTAAAATATTTTGATGTAACTTGAAGACATTCGGACTCTTACATCACATTTCATATAAAGTTTGACCCTTTTTTTGGGGCGTACTTGATGGAGTGAACTGATATTGTCCATGTTCGCACTTGACCTAGAACTGATGCAAATATTAGTATTTGAAAAGTTGGAGCAAAATCAAATTATCCTTTCTCACTCTGTGAAGTAAAATATTTTTATAAAAATGTCGACCTTTTTTTGAGTGATGTACCGATCGATTAAATGATATATATTAGGCCACTTTTTAATACAGTCCCCAAATAAGAGTGGCGCCCAATTGAAGATAATCTACAGTTTTAAGCCATATTTTAAGTACAAAGTTGCCAGTAAGTGGTGGCGCCCAATTGATAATAATTTGCAGTTTTTCTCTCTATTTTCAGCACCAAGTTGGCATTTTTGGTGCTGTGAGGGATGAACATGTGGATATAGGTCCACTAGGTGGTACGTCAATATATAACCGTTCGTCACGATATTCGCCTGTTATTAGCATTTTCAATTCTTATGTGGAGTGATAATTTACTTTTCTTCCCTCCCAACAGAAATTAATCTCAAGTCCTTGCAAACCTTCAGCATCAAATAATCATAGCTGCCACAAAAAGCTTTCATTTTCATGTTTGTGTTTTCATTTTACTTTAAACCTCATTAAAATTCTGCTAATGAACATCACGATGAGCGATAATTGATTTTTGCGAAGAACACTTGTACAATTCTCGGAATGCATTTAATTTCGAATGTTGTTTATTTATTTGTTTGTTTTGCGAATTTTGAAAATGTTATTGCGGTTAGCTAGTCTGGCTGGCTATTCAACATTTGTAATATTCAACGAAACTTCTCCTGCCGCCGCCGCATATATATTCTCATGCTACTAGTTTTAAATACGCCCTTGTAGAAGTTGAAGTATGTTCCCACAAAACCGGTTTTAATTCGCTATTTAAAAATAAAACAATCGAAATAACATGGCTTGTTTTGCGCACTCAGAAGTTATTAAAGCCTTGAATTCAATTTCCAGACCCTTCTCCTGGCCCATCACCACCACCGCAGCTCCTCTTGAAAGCAATAATAAAATCAAGAAACAAGAAACATATGTCTCAGTCATAAATACATCAAAACCCCATTAAGTGGTTCAGGTAAAGATTGTTTCTTTTTTAACTTTTGGAGGTGCTTGTATTTTTTTTTTTTTATAAAAAAAAAAACACTTATCAAAAACAAACGAAAAAATATTGCTGATGAGATTACATTCATGGTCTAGATAATTTTATTATAGCAGCCGCATTCTTCCATTCAGATTATGGATTTGCGTACTGATACTTCTGCCCCTGTGAATACTCACCTCTGCTGTTCTTGAAATCAATTCAACTGGCCGCGAGACTAACTGGCTTTTTTCAATTCACAGAAAGAAAAAAATTAAATTAAATTTAAACCGAAAAAGTTGCGCTGCTATATTTTCTTCGAGTCTTGGAATCAATTCAACCGACCGTTTTATGCGAGCTCTGGGGCACAACTGTTCTCTCGATTCGAAACAATTTATTGTTTTGATCAACTGTTGAAGCAGGCAACACCACAACACCGTTAATCCATTCAACCTCACCTCGCCTCCAACGAAAGTGAATTGCAATTGAAGAAATCACATCCGAAACAAAAGCTTTCGATCTTCTCGCTCACCTGTACATAAAAGCACCCATCGTACAATGCAATGATCTCTCACAGGTTTGTTATCTAAAACAGAAAAATTACAGAGAGCACTTTGAGAAGTTTACAAAAAAAAAAAAAAAACGTGTATCGTTGACTGTATAAATAGCCTAAATAGGGAAATATTGAAGTTTGAGTTCAAACGAATATGGAGAATTTTGAAGTCATACCAAATGTCCTGTATTGAGTACTAAATTGGAAACTCACACTCTACACGCAACAACGCTCCTTCCTACTTAATTCCATTGCAATGTTCGATGTCAGTTCGAGTGTCCTAGATGAAGAAAGCATATCTACTTCCAAAAACGCCCCTGATCTCTGCAGTGAATTTGAAGCAGGCGCAGGTACTAGCCTTGTCAGTGTCATGAAATATCTGACTCTAAAGGAATATTAGTTGACAGTCCAGAAATATAAGTTGTTCTCACAATGCCGTGTAAGTTTAAATAAATATGGGAATTATTTAAAAATTCAAGAGACTTATGATTATTATTAGACGAAGATAGAAGTGGGCCTAACTTAACTTCATACGAAAATACGTATAAATATGACCATGCACTAAGTTTGGACAACATGACATACAGGGTGAGATGAAAAAACTGCAACGTACTTCAGACTGCAGCATTTCTAAGCCACTCGTCCGACAGCAGTTAAAATTATTCTAGTGACAGCTTATTATATTGTTTACAAGCGTACAAAAGCATTTTGGTGAGAATTTTCCAGAAAAAAATTATTCGTGATGGAATTCAAGCGTGATAGTGTGATTTCTTTATATTTGGCTGGAAAACCACAAGTGGCTATGGTTAGAGCACTCCAGCATTTAAATGTGAATAAATATTTTGTGTCTCGTATCGTGATACTGGTAGCGTAGCCCGACGTCAATGAAGTGGACGGAACAGCAACATCAGCAGAAACGGTTCGAAAAGTAAAGAAGCGACTTGATCGAAAACCCCGTCGCAGTTGTCGAAAAATGGCTCGTGAGCTGAACATATCACAACATTCCATTCAGCAAATATTGAAAAAATGAGCTCGGAGTAGAGCCATTGAAATTCCAAAAAAGTGCAAAAACTTACACCACAACAGAAAGAAAATAGACTCAAAAGAGCTAGAGTTGCTTCGCTTGGCCGAAAGTGGTGAACTGCTAAATTTGTTTTTCTCCGATGAGAAAACATTCGTTGTCCAGCAGTTTGCAAACAAACAAAATGATCGTGTTTCCTTGCCAAAGAGGTCAGCTGAAAATGTGCACCTTCTTCTGAGATCGGGGTAAAGCCTTCGAAAGTGCAAGAAAATAGACTTAAAAGAGCTAAAGAGTGGCTTCGCTTCGCTTCGAAATGCCGAATTTGTGTTTCTCCGATGAGAAAACATTCGTTGTCCAGCAGTTTGTAACAAACAAAATGATCGTCTTTACTTGCCAAAGAGGTCAACTGAAAATGTGCACCTTCTGTTGGCCACCAGAACGCAAGCGCCGGCCATGGTGATGGTGTGGACCGCCATAACAGCCGATGGTCGCTCTCCGCTCGTATTAATCGACTGTGGCATCAGAATAAATGCCGAATATTAACGCGAAAATATTCTGGAGGGTGTATTAAAGCCTTGGGCACGCAAACATTTTGGGCCACAGACCTTGGACATTCCAACAGAACTCAGCACGCGCCACTCAAGAATGGTTACAAACCACAATGGACACAAAAATTTCCGGATACCAATCCGTTGGACTATTGTGTCTGGAGTAGTTTAGTAAGCAAAGTTGGCACTAAAAGATACCAAAGTGTCGATCACCTCAAGCAAGCGCTTCGCCGGGAATGGACCAAAATACCGCAGAGCAATATTCGGGCAGCTTGTGACGGTTTCATTGGGCGTTTGAAGGCCATAATTCGTGCCAAAGGTAACCAATTCGAACAAATCTAAACTTATTCTAAAATTTGATGCTATTTCCGTCATTTTTTGCTTTCATTCAATAAAATTTAAAAAAAAATTTTAAAAATATGGCGTTTTTTCATCTCACCCTGTAGATAGGCCTATGCATGGCACAATGAATATAAATAGGTCAAACCTACTGACCAATTTTAATTTTTTATTTATCTTGTTATGGTAATTTTATGTGTATTTCTGGGTATTATTTTTAAATATTTTAAATTTGTTTTAAATATTAAATCTGTTGTAACAAAAATGGTTATTACCAGTTATGAATGGACCAATTTTTCTCTTTTTGTGAGGAAATATATATTTTAACATATATAGAAGACTATTTTGTGTATTTATTTAGTCAAAAATCAAATAAACAAAACATTTTGTTGCATATGTGTGAATTTGGTTATATTGACAGTAAAAGCCATTGATGCCTTTCCTTTGCCACCTTCTGTTCATAAAACCGTGGGCCTACGGTTATTTACTTCTAATATGTTTGATATTTAAATCAACGAATTTTCGCTCAAGTCTTTGTAGACTGCATCGGCTGATTATACGTTTCTCTGGAATTTCAGGGCGTAATTAAATCTAATTCATCTTGGAGCAACGTTCATTCCTTGTTTCCATTTGCCAAGACCCTAATAATATTTCTATTTCTGGTGAGAACAGCTAAAATCGTTTCAATGACATAAATAACTTTGTCATAATGTTATACGTTTGGAGTCTTTGTCATAAAATGTCGGTTTTATTTATGGCAATGAGGTAATAAAGAATCTACCAACCCTCCCCAAATAACATTACAAAGAAATTCGGTCTTTGTTTTCAATTGAAATGTATTTTTACTTATATTCTTAGCACGTGGGGTTTGAGTTATTTTAGAATGACATAAATAAACATTTCATCAAAGCCTGACGACTCAGTCCACCATACAACTTCAAATTAAAGTGACCCCAATGCATCGGTAAACATCAAATTGAATGGAGAATACATTTTAGAAAAACACTGGCTAAATTTCCCACCAAGTGTAGCATGCATGGGTTAAATCGATTACAATTTTCCTGTAGATATTTTCAGATGAATCATATGGCCTGGCACGCATAGTTCACCAGCCTTATTGCTCGTCATTGGGGTGGGATCTTGCCTAAATTCATCAAGAAATTATGCCAACTACCAGTCTATTTAATTATAATGCGTGCATAAATGATAGAAAGAAGTACAAGAAGGAAAGAGATATATGAAGAAGGATATCTATAGTCCAAAGCAAAATATCGAAAAGAGGAGTCTATTTCCTTCATAATTTGATAATGCCATGCTTAGCTGTAGATGCATGGTTAGCCCTCCCATCCTGTTTGCCATGAAAATCCAAAAAAACAAAAATAAATTGTTTAACACATATGGCAAACCCATATTTGTTTACCCTATGTTACTTTTCTGACCCCTGTTTCAAATTAAACATAGAACATTCGTTTAGCACATGGTTAACAATACCAAAAATTTATTGAAAATAAAATTCATTATAACTACTCAAAAAGAAACAATTCAGATAAATGTTGAAAATCCTAAATTTATAAAGATTTTAAAATTCAATATTTTTGAAACTATCATATTTATCACCGATATCAAATACTTGACCAATTACTAATAATTTCCACAAAAAAATCAGAAAAAACTAAAAAGCTAAATAATTACGTATCAAATTATACTAAATGTATATCTATAAAATTATATTATTGAAAAACATAAGTTAAAATTTTTAAATTTTTCAAAAAAAATAGAATTTCAAAATTCAGAAACAAAATTCGGGCTTGAACGTTAGATGTTAAATTGAAAAAAAAAGAATCTTTAATCAGTTCTGTATATGTTTGTGTGTTTCTGTTTCCTTCATGTGAACAGCTGTTAAGTACATTGACCTTTTACAGCCATCATCAACACAAGCACAAATTATTGCAATCGGAGATTTTTTTATATTTTCATTTCAAGTTAAATTATTTAAAGATCATTCCCCAAAAATAAATTCATATGTAAAGCAAATGGGTTTCAATAAATATACAATGTTGGATTCGTTATTGAAAGCAAAACAAAATAAAATTAATTTAAAATAAGAAAGAAAATCATTATCAAAGAATACATTAAAGCAGTGCTTTTCAAACTATGTTCTCTCAACAACATAGTTAACAGCGCCAATTGTTCGCAACAGCGAGCTGCCTGTTAACCCAATACTTAACATTAACACATCCAACACTTGTACATTTTTTTGCATAGCGAGTAAAATTCAAACAATCATCAACATCCGTATCCTTTAGAAATATTTTAATTGCAAAACAAGTAATTTTAAAGCCATTTAAAAAGTTTTATGATCATTTTATAATATCAGCAAAATATTTGCAAATTTAAAAATATCAATGCAAATATTTTGTGGAACGTGAGAGCAATAACGGTTCACCCACTTACTCTCTGTACAATAGATCGATTGGTTGGTTGATGGTGGTTTGATGGAAGTTAAAGAGAGTTAACTTACTTTGAATATGTCGGAGCTCCCACGTTGAAAGGCCTTCCAGAATGGGTTGGTTGATATTTACAACAGCAAACTCCCGCAAATTAACCAATTTAACAGTCGTTGGATCTGTTCTCTCTTCTCAAACAAAACACTTATCATATGAACTTTTAACAGAGAATGATCTTCACTTTGATCTGTACTTTTCTTATTTTGTTCTCTGGCCTTCAATTTGGTTAACCACACAAACACTCACTTTCGTTTCAATGCCGAATGTTTCTGATTTTTTTACATTTTTTCTTTCTTTTTTTTTTAGAAAACTAATGCAACCAATAAAAAATATATGGGTATTAATAATAATTTTGACGGGATAAACTACCAATATAGCGTAATATTTAAATTTTTGGTTTTTTTTTCTTCACTTGGTATACCCGCACTCAAATATTAATAATTATAAGATTTCCAAAAAAACTACCGATCGCTTTAAAGCCTACGAAACCACTAA